ATGCATTTTATGAGAATATAAAATGGAATAAAATAAACACGATAATTATGGTACTAATATAACTTTATTATACATATATTAATGGTACAAAAATGCAGACGTAATAAAATTTAAGAATATTATTAAACACAATTAATTTGCTCGAATATAATAAGCACATCGTGTAATGTTTAATTTTAACCGACTTCAAAAAGGTAGGAGGTTATCAATTCGGTGTATTTTTTAATGTTTTTTACCTCAGAATTCTACAGTTTCTAAACCGATTTAGATTTTTTATTTGAAAAGATATACACACAGATTGATCCAATATACACGCTGAAATTTTAATGGTTGTTTTCCCGAAGTAAAATGATTTTGCCTTAGTAGTACAATAGATTTATTAAAATTAAAATTATTAGGATGCAAAAATGGCAGATTTACAATCGAGAAAAACAAAACTCGAATGCGATCACAAACCAATAGCAATATCTCGCAAGTAGGTCGGGCGTGCAGGCTAGCTTATACCGAATTACTATAATAAAGTCTGAAAAAAATTTCACTGGACGTAATGTTGTGTTACGTTTTTCGCACGCGCTACCGCTTCCTACACAGTGAAGGGCCATTAATAAATGTTCATAACATGAACTCTCAAGCGTAGTGACACGACATAAACTATTAAAAAAGGGCAGATTTACAATAGTATTACTATTGTAAATCTGCCCTTTTTAATTGTAATGTTTTTTAATTTAATAAATTGACTCTACTATCGAGACAGTATAATTTGGCTGCGGGACTACAACCACTAAAATTTCAGCATGTATATACGAATTGATCAAGCTTACAAATCAGTATACATATATATTGATAACCTTTCTTTTTGGGAGTCGGTTAAAATAGGCTATGTTTGGGTCTAACGTAACATCTGGTTAATGTTTGGGTGTAAAGTGGCATCTGGTTAGTAAAGGCGTTCTCATTAATAATCTCTTGATGTTGTAAATAAAAAAGTTTTTATTCTATACTCTAAAACTTAGCCTTAGTCAATAAACGAAGCAATTAAAATAAAATAGTTGAATAATAAAATAGACTAATAATAATAAAATAGACGAATCGCGATTAGCTGATCACTCCGTATTAGTTTTAAATAGGCACCCATTGTTATATAATGTTAACACTTAAAGAAGTAGGTATCTATATATAAACATTTGAGTTTTACACAGAGCGTTGCGATTAAACGTTTTAAACACAAATACAAAATAAATAGTTTTAAAAGAAAATTGTGATTTTTTCCCCACAACTAGCAACATTTGTATTATGAGAGCTTAGGTAAGTATTTTTTTAGTTTTACGTAATTATAATGAATTAAATGTATAAACTTATATGTGAAATGTAATACCATCACTTCTTTTATGTTTATCATCACCGTTGTGACAATATTTTACAACACAAACGGTAATTTTTACAATTCTTCGCGAGCTCTTCTCCGTAAGACGTGACGTTGCGCACTGACGCGTCGCTGAGTCAACTAACGCGGTTTCGCGTTAGTTTTACTTGCTTCACTTTCGGTGCGCGTACTAGTATTCTATGCGTAATAATTCTATGCAAATTGATTATGACGTCAGTGATTTTTGCTTCAGACGCCAATTCACAAGTTTTATGCTTCTTATTCACAGTTTTAGTATAGAGTCAGTTGAAAACCTGTTAATTAAGCGACTTTCACTGTTGTAAATAGATATAGTTAGAAAAAACCCTAATGAATTATAATATTTATTAAAAATAGGTAGTTTAAAGCCAAACATGTTAGTAATTACAGAGCCTACATTATCGAATAGTTTTTTTTAAAAATATAAACTGTAAATCCCCTTATTTGTGGAATGTTACCACACTTCTCTTCTGGTAACAAAACTTACATTATCATTGTAACTAAAAATAATTTTTATATTATTACTAACATGAAACAACTGAAATACACAACACACTCTTTTTCTTGTTTAAAACGATAAAGTACTCTTAGACATTTCGAGAAAAACAACGGCCAATTGCAAATTATTTCAAATTCAATTCTCGGTATACTCAATGACGGTGCTTTTTTTTATAGGATAGGGGTGACGAACGAGCGCACAGTCCACCTGATGGTAAGTGTTTGCAGTGGCCCATAGACATCTACATCTATCATCGATTACAAATCAAAAGGCAGATGCGTTGTCGCCCGTGAGGACTAAGATATAATGCCTCGTTTCCAGTAAAAAGGGTCTCCGGTTCTCTACACTCACCATACGAAACACAGCAACATTAAGCTACTATTTTAAGCTGGTGGCCTTTCCCTGGTCGAGCTAGCTCATTCGCGCTACATCTATACCAGTAATATAGCTGCACATGGCCCTACCACGTTTGAAAAATCAGCACATATGCTTTATAGGTTTTCGTAGGTATTATTGTCGTTGAACAGCATAGATAAAAATGAGGGTTTAAGTTGATGTTCATTACTAATAAAAATATAATTAAATAGAAAATTATAAAAATAATATCTGTGTATGTGAACTACATGTCAGTGGAAACGATGTTCGATTCCGACATAAATTTCAGGTTTCTTTATCGGCTTAAGAGCCTTGAGATATTATCGTAATTGACTGTCCGTTGGATTAAGTTATCTTCATCCAAAATTGTTTTTATACTCTAGATGATTTTTATTGTTATTAACCAAAATTATAATAATAATAATAATAAGGGTTTAACTGTGCAATGCAAGACGAAGTAATTAAAACGAATAACTACCGGAAGTACATTTTGAGGGATGGCACAGTTGACGTATGTCGCGCATGTCACCACCCTGGAGAGTCCCTCAGACATGTTATTTCCGGTTGTTCACAACTATCAAATGGCGAGTAAATACTCGCCATTTGATAGTTGTGCAAATGCACAGACATAACCAAGTAGCTAGAATAATACACCAGCAGCTTGCGATTAAATTTGGTTTTACTCAACAGGACGTTCCATATTATAAGTATGAACCAAAACCAGTCCTTGAAAATAGAAGTGTCACGCTGTACTGGGATCGGTCAATTATCACAGACAGGTTTATAGTGGCAAATAAACCTGACATTGTGGTGATAGACCGAACTGCACGCAAGGCAATAATAGTGGATATCAGTGTTCCTCATGACGAGAATCTCGTGAAAGCAGAGAATGATAAAAAGATAAAATATATCGACTTGGCTCATGAGATTGTCGCTATGTGGGACGTTGATTCTACTATTATTGTACCAATAGTTGTTTCAGTCAATGGGCTTATTGGTAAAACTATGGACGACTATCTATCCAAGTTGGGTTTGGGCAAATGGCTGAAGGGATTAATTCAAAAATCGGCCTTATTAAATACGGCTCGAATAGTGAGAAGGTTTTGGATGCCTAATTTCACCGATGGCTTAGGATTCCTCGCCGCGGTGGATAATAGCCGAAATAATAATATTATTTATATAGATTGTATTTATATTTATAATATTATAGTTTTGTGACAATATATATGTGATAATGTAATAATAATAACAATAAAAATAAATACAGTCCAACCAGATGAGAAAACTATACAAATACCCCATAATAATAATAAATATTTATTTCATTTCGAATTACACATGTTGACATACAGGAATCAGAATGATTACAATTAATAAAGTAACAATAAGTCTAACAAAAATAACATGCTATGATAAAATTAAAACTATGTGTAGCTAAATAATGTAGAATCTACAATAGAAGATAGAAAATTCATATTTATAATATTAGCTACCTGCCTGAACTAGGTTGAGTACCTGTGTTTCAGACATCACTTATACAATCGGTTTAATAATGTAGGACACTAGATATTTAAATAATTAAACTAAATTGTATAATAAATAAAATAACTAAATAACAATTATTTATTGCTTACAATTAATACAAACTATTTTAGTATATCTAACAACTTCTCTGTGTCTTCGTAATTTAATTTATTTAGAAATTCCCTTACACTTATATTACAGTCCTTATAACTTAGACTATATACCTTTAGTGACTTGTTGAGCTTGTTATATAGAAAGGGTCCTAAAAATATGTAAAATTTGTTCACAAATGCGTGTTTGGTTTGAGGGTTTACACAAACTAAGTCCATTCTTCTCCTGTCTATGGATTTTAAGTTAAATGGAAGTTCGGTATGTTGTTTTAATATGATTTTCAGGATAAACAACTGACGGACAGTTAGTACACTATATGCCAAGTACAGTTGATGTGTAGGAAACATGAATGGACGGAAAGTGGCTACCTTTAGAACTGCTCTCTGAGCACGTTCTAGTGGGAGTAATATTGTTTTAGAAGCAAGAAGAAAAATTATAAGTATTTCATGAGACATTTCGTGTAAAATTGACTAAAGAAATGTATATAATATTAATAACTATTCACGTGATGTACACTTGATTTGATATAATACGAAATTTTAATTTAGGACTTCTTTTTTAATTAATTATTGACATCCATGTTATGTGTGTTAAGAATTTTTAGTCTTGAATTTATCATAAAATTATAATTAAACGTTTTTTTTTTTAATAGAATCATGTACATTTAAAAAATTATGTATTTACATGCCACTGGCGAAATATGCTTGTACTATCTTTAATTATAATGTCTGTAACCACCATATTTCTGGCAAATAAATTATTATTATTATTATTATACAAAATCTACCAAGAACTTCAAAATGTGACGCATCAGCATAATGTGAAGATTTTTTTTTTAACAAAGTACTAATCATTTTTGATTGTATGAGCTAAGACTTTTGCCTGCCTTAATTGGCGAATCGTAACAACAACAAGTACTCTTTGTTGTCTTTGGATTACTCGATCATGATCTTGATTTCGATTTTCGACTCGATTAGTGAATATTGAATATATTACGTGCTCTTTGGACTCGATTTCGATTGCTCTCACTCTGAATTACTCAAAAATGCCAAATGAGTGATCGTGTATTCTGTAATCAGTTTGTGTTAAAAAATGGCAAAAACTTACGATTATTTATTCAAATTACTATTAATTGGAGATTCTGGTGTTGGTAAAACATCTATATTATTTAGATTTTCTGAAGATGCATTCAATATCTCTTTCATATCAACCATCGGTAAGTGCCTTCGGGTCTTTGTATCAAAGGTTATTGTCATAAAAGTTGTATTTTTTGTGTGTAATTGTCATTGAACAAGTTTTTTTCAATTTGTTGTTTTTTTGTGTGAATCTCATTATATGTATATACCAAAAGGGTGCGGCAATACGTTAATGAAGCCCTTATCAAATTAAATGAATGAACTGTTTATGACATCATACTCACTAATTTTAATTAGAGGATCGTCGATTATATTACTGGTCTATTCGCAGGTATTGACTTTAAAATACGGACGATAGATCTTGACGGCAAAAAAGTAAAATTACAGATATGGTATGTAAGGATATTTGCAAAATATTTGTGAATAGTTTGCAGCAATAAAATTGTTATTTTTTCATATTTTTTATGTTTTAGGGATACTGCAGGACAAGAAAGGTTCCGTACAATAACTACAGCTTATTACCGAGGTTCCATGGGTATTATGCTTGTTTATGATGTGACAAATGAGAAGAGTTTTGAAAACATTAAGAATTGGATTAGAAATATTGAAGAAAATGCCAGTGCTGATGTGGAAAAGATGATACTTGGAAATAAATGTGATTTGGATGCTAAAAGACAGGTAATTATTTGATTGTTGCTGTTTAAAATTATCTATTTATTTTTTATAAAATATCTATATGGAACTATATCAGTATCTTGAAACAAATTTATTTACATTTATGTGGGTAGCCTTGCTCATCATATTGATTGAATTTATTTTCTTTAATGTTGGTTACTGTCATTTTTTATTGTTGTCTTTTAATGTTATTTTATTATCCTGATTTTATAAATGTTTACAAAAAACATTCAAGTACAAATTTAAAATAATAGTTCTGTGTACTGTATAAATTTAAAATGATACTGAACTAGCATAATTTTATAGTTACTTTGTTTACTTAAAAAAGAGGAAGTATTCTATTATGTTAATGAGGATTTTCCTGTTAGGATAAACAGTTAGCCTGTTGGTACTGAAAACTATTTAGCAAATTTTAAAACGTAAATTAATGCTGTTTTAATATCTTATTCAACTACAATGTCCCATGGTAAAAATCTACTGAATTACATTCACTGAAGAATTACATATATTAGGTATCTCCTAATTTGATGAACATTGTGGAATATTTTTTTCTGACCTGCTGATGTTCTCATAAGGTAATAATAGGCTAATAGCTAGGAGGAGGAACAGTTATGTGTAATAATAATAATAATAATAATAGCCTTTATTTCAGACAGTATTTCATTTACAGTATCTATCTGGATTATTCTATATCTAACACTGGATTATATATTATATATTTTTATACTCTCAACGCTTAACTATTGTACATCGACAACCCTGTCTGTATGCCACTTATTGGCAAAGGCCTCCTCCAACCTTTTCCATTCCTCTCTATCCTTAGCAGTTCTAGTCCATATGCCTCCTGCTATGGCTTTAATGTCATCCTCCCATCTTCTACATGGTCTACCCCTTTTCCTTTTCATATGACCTGTAAACCAATTCATTATCGATTTGGACCATTTCTCCTTTCCTCTAATTATATGGCCTGACCATTTCCATTTTAACTTTTTTATTGTTATTGTGACATCTTTTGTTTTCGTGTGTTTCTTTATGGTTTCGATTCTTATTCTATCGGATAGTCTTTTCCCCATCATACTCCTTTCCATAGAGTTTTGGCAAGTTTCTAACTTTTTAATGTGTGATTTAGTGAGTGCCCAGGTTTGGCAGCCATAAGTGAGTATAGGTAGTATACTGGTATCGAAGAGTTTCCGTTTGATGGTTATGTTAGTATCGTTATTTTTCATTATTTCTTTTAGGCTCCAAAATTGTTTCCAGGCATTTCCAATGCGTCTGTCAATTTCTTTTGAGGTTAGATTTACAGGAGAGATTGTAGTATACATGTGTAATATACATTTATTAATTATGTGTTATACAGTTAAGTTTTGCGTCATATTATAAAATAAATGTTACATCATAATATACTTAATTTCAGGTATCAAAAGAGCGAGGTGAACAATTAGCAATAGAATATCAAATTAAATTTGTAGAAACATCAGCAAAAGACTCATTAAATGTGGAATATGCATTTTACACTTTAGCAAGGGATATAAAGGCGAAAATGGAGAAAAAACAGGTAAACTTTATATTAATAAACCTTTATGTTTTCACCTTGGACCCACTGAGTCTGGTATAGTACACCTTTATTTTTAAAAAATATAGCCTATTAACATGGTTATGCAATAATTAGTCTGCTTATTTATCTAAATTTATTATGTATTAAGGGCTTTAGTACCTTGCTCTGATGTATGCCCTAGCGGCTTTTTATGTGGAAATATATAGTTTTCAAAAAATTCTTTGTAAAAGTTTTAGGACTACATATTAGGATACTAAGAAATTATTACTAGTGCAACCCCCAGACCACATCAAACTTCCTTTACACACTCCTTTTAAAAAAAAACTACACATCTCTGACTAGGAGGATCGGTGGGGTGTGTCACCCTTCCTCCTCTCACCATCATCAACTAGTCAATGCAGTTTTGAATATTTAAACTATTGTATCCATTATTGTGTAAATAATATTTTCTTTTCTAATGTATTCACATTCACAAATTATACTACTAATACTATGTCAACTTTTATCTCAATTTACTGCTGGGATATAAAAAGATTTTAAAAGATTTACCAACAAGATCAGTCCATACTTACCATGCTGGACAAAAGCATTTGATGAGTGCATCACTAATATTCTCACACTAAAATGCTGCTATTGATAATATTCAGCAAGATTTGAAAGAATATAATATAGCTGTTCGTCATTCCTTTAGAGGTGCGTGAGGACATTAGTACTTAACAAGATGCAACATAATATGCTTTTTATATAAATTTTATTTCTTAAAGGACCTTTTACACTATACAAACAAGTATCATTGGAAAAAATATATCATGTAATATATTTCTTTTGTTCCATGGCTCTCTTTACAAAACAGAAGGTAATTGAAGTTTTACATAACATCTGTTGTTCTTTTGTTGTTTTTTTTTGCAGTTAATTTTTCATAAAAAGAATTAGTAAATATTTATTTCGTATGTAATTTTTTTATTTAAAGTAAAATTTTTAATTTTTTTTCTATAATGCTTATATATTTGTTGGCAATATATAAATCTTTATGCATGGTGATGAGATGTAGATCATCTGTAACATATGTAACCCATAAACTTTCCTGTGATAAGATATTAAATTTAGTAATACAATCTTCTGCATGCCAGTCAACTTTTCGAGTCATTATGATGACCAATTTCAATTTGCATGGGAAATTTCTATAGTTTCACATAAATATCCTTTATAATTTCAATATGTACATATTGTTATAGTTGCGTTATTAATATGTGTGCCATGATTTATTGGTGTTTTTATATTACCCGATTGCAGCGAAACCCAAAAGGAGGATAATATTTTTAGTTGGTATAAATGTTTGTCCGCCCGTAACCTGTAACTCATAAACTAGTCGTCAAATTTTTACATATATCTCAATCGACTTATTGCAATTATATATATATATATATATATATATATATATATATATATATATATATATATATATATATATATATATATATATATATATATATATATATATATATATATATATATATATATTATCTTATTAACATAGACTTTATGCAACTTCATCATAAAACAAAACTTTATATGAACTGTCAAAACTTGCATTCTGAAAAAGAATATTTATAAAATATATCTTGTAAATGGTATCACATAAAAGGTATATTTCACCAAAATTTTTATTATAAATAATGTTACGGCTAATAATGTCTAATTTATGAATAATATAGGATACACTTAAGTTCGACCAACCAGAATTGGCAGCACTTAGTTGTAGTATCTGACTTAACCTAGGTGTATCCGCCTACCCCTAGGTAGGCAGAGATTAAGACCTTTCATTTGGCATAACCCTGACATCTCTCTCCCCTCTTTTACACCCATATATCTACGCATACATGCTCCTTGGTTACGGGTTCTCCTAATCTAGCCAATTTGGTCAATAAACCTTCATCCAGGGCGTCCCATCACGACTCTGCTGTACATCTCTGCCAACATATACATTAAATAAAATTCTAAAATATCTCTTATATGAATTAAATCACTGCAGTATTTACTTGTTATTGCCCAAATTAATTTTTATAATAGGTATTTAATTTGATATTTTACCTTTAAATTCAATTGAATGTTATTGGATTTTTTTTATTTTCATGACTATAACCATCATTGTCACTCTCCAATCTATTATTAAATATTGACAGTGCAACCTAATGTTACGTAATATGTTTTAAAGAAACGTCCACAATGTGAATGCAAATCCCAGTTTACACCTTTAACACTAGATGTTATTGTTCGTTTTGGTTCATGCAGTAATCGCAGTGTAGACATGTAAAAATTTTGAACACAAACTGGGTGACAGGTGTGACAGATTTTGTATTATTTTATGATCGAAAGTTTGATTTAGAAGCCCTATAGATATGTAGGAGTAGTAAAGCGTTTGGTTAGATTCTAGAAAAGCATGTCTACGAAAGTGTCTACCAAAGTAGACATGCTTTTCTAGCGATTCAAGGATGAATAGATTATACTTCTCAGGGCCTGAAACATCTGCACATTCCCACCAACGTGCAAATGCAGCAACACAGTAGTAAAATGTTATAAATCATATCATAATCAGTGATATATTATTATTGACTACGAAAATTACTGTAATGCTTGATACTCACGGTCAGTTAAACTGATCAGTTAAAACGAATGTAAGCCAAAACGATTTCCCCACTCACTGGCTTCAAATCACGGTCAGTTTTTGTATGTACGTCAGTTCAACTGGTCAGTTTAACTAACCGTGTGTCGGCCATACGATACAAACACGTAAAGGGAAATGTCCACCGTTCATAGACACTTCGGCCATGGGTGCCCACATATAAAAGCATATAGAAATGATAATATGCAATTAAAAGAATGAAATGGTTAGGGAATTGGTTTAAAAAAAGTCCGGATTTTTAAGATATAAAGGTTTTTTATTTTCACAAGAACAGTTTTTTAACAGCAAATGACTTCGTATTTTCGTGACATTTAAACCACAATTGAATTTTGAAATTGAAATTCGCTTGTTACTGAGAGCTGGGGTCATCATTAACAGTGGATATCGAGTCCAAGTTCGTGCAGAGGTTATCATAAGAAGTGGGAGCGGGATTCATTTTCAGGCCGTGGTCAATAAGGTGAGAAGAATTATCGGAGCCCATTTATAAAGCTTCTTCGTTGCTTAGATAACAAATCCGCAAGAAAACAAACAAAATAACACAAATGCAAAGGAATTCGACTTGTGACTATTTAGTTTTGATAATCATGACATGAGCATAGCTGTCAGATTCGATGTTGCCAATTAACAGACATAAAATCAATAAATAGATAGCGATTTTTTTATTCAATTTATAATTTCATAAAAAAGAATAATCTTTGATTCGCTTTAAGTTCTATACGCTTTTTAAAATATGTTTCGTTTTATTTATTAAAATACCATTTTAAATGTATTTTTAAGGATAGATAAGAATAACAGTTAACTTGTGCAGTAGCGTTTTTGTTATTTTCTAAAGAGTACATGGTAAATCAAATAGCAATTCGCTTGTTCAATTATCATAACATCACAATAACTATGGAAAAATAATATTACAATTATAATAATGACACCATAAAAAATCGATTGAATAAACAGAATCGACTTTTTTAACGAGATTTGTAATTGGCAACACTTTTTATTTTATCCACAAACTAATCACTTGCGGATTTACCTAATTTCATTTTTATCTTTTCGGTACTTTTTTTTTGTGCAAAAATATTGCAATATTTTTTAGATACATAAATACCACACTTAAGGACCATAAAAAAAGATGTATTTTTTAACAAATGCAAATTGTTGGGCGTTCCATGGCCAGAATTGGGCATTCCCCTTTGCTTTGTAAGCATATTACGCTACTGAGATTCTAACAGGGATTTCAAAACAGGTACACAATTTCTTTACAACTCTTCATTTAGTTTCTGGTTAACGTTGTTCTTGTTCTACTTTGCGATACGGTTCCGGTTAAGGTATCGTTTTTAAAATCACAATATTTTTTTATATTCAAAATACAAAAGCCTTCGTAGCGTTGCATTATGCACTTATTTTTATACTAACGACCTGCCCCGGCATCGCCTGGATAGGATCTACTAATTTGGAGTTATTTATATTGAAGTTAATTTATTTTTTTACTTCTTATAAGCCAGTGCTTGACCACAATCCCACCTGGTGGTAAGTGGTGATGCAGCCTTAGATGGTAAATCGCACTGTCTTATCGTAACAAAAGCCTATTCACTCTTGCCTTGAAGACGCCTAGATTGTATTCGGACGGAAAGATAGACGCTGGCAAATTATTCCACTCCTTTGCTGTACGTATTACAAAAGACGAAGCAAACCGTTTGGTTCTAATGCGTGGAATATCGACAACAAAGGGATGAAGACCCGCCGACCGTCTGGTTGTCCGATAGTGGAAAGGAGAGGGAGGAATTAAGGCGTGTAATTCCTGCGCACATTCACCGAAATGCATCCTATAGAATACCGAGAGACTGGCTACTCTGCGCCTGTGCTCGAGGCTGACAAGATTGGTTTCAACCAAATCAAGGTCACCAATGAGCCTCTTAGCACGTCTCTCCACTGAGTCCAATGCTGCCAGGTGGCATTTTGCAGCACCAGACCATATGTGAGGGCAGTACTCCATGCACAACCGGACTTGCGCTTTATATAAGGTAAGAAGCTGCCCCGACGTGAAGTGCCGCCGCACCCTTGCAAGTACACCAAGTTTCCTTGCGGCTGCTTTGGCTCTGGACTCAATGAACCGACCATAGTTTAGGTTCGGAGAAAATTCAATCCCTAACAACTGAAGGCGGTCAGTGTACTCCAAGGATAGATTCCGGAAAGTAGGAGCCAAGGTGAGCGGGCACCTTTTAGCGGTAAAAAGACACGCTTGTGTTTTGGAGGCGTTAAATCTCACGAGATTGGCATCGCCCCATTCGGAGACTGCCTGTAATGTGAGACTCATAAGCTCAAACATAGCTTCTCTTTCTGACTGGATTTGATCCCGACTGGCCCGGGCGCTTGGTTGGTATCTCTCCACAACTGTGCTGTCGTCTGCATACCCATAGACACCGGGAATGAGCAGATCATTTATATGCAGCAGGAAGAGAGTTGCGGAGAGAATGGACCCCTGAGGAACACCGGCGTTAGTCGCCACAGTATTGGATGAGCAGCCATCAACGACGACCCGGAGAGACCGTTCACTCAGAAAGTCCTTCACCAAGACAATTAGGCCAGGGGATAAGCCGTACATTGAAAGCTTGCCCAATAGACTAGGGTGCCAAACCCTGTCAAAAGCCTTCGAAACATAGAGGGAAACAGCAAGTGCTTCACCACTGTTCTCGAGGGCTTCGCCCCATATGTGAGTGGTATACGCTAGAAGGTCCCCAGTTGATCGATTTCGGCGAAACCCGTACTGGCGATCACTGAGGAGATCATTTTGCTCTAGGTATGCCATGAGGTGGTCGTTCAATATACGCTCCATAATCTTGCAGAGTATGGAGGTAATTGAAATTGTCCAATAGTTGGCAGGGTCGGTACGGCTACCTTTTTTAGGCACAGGCTGCACATTGGCCAGCTTCCAAGATTTAGACACTATTCCAGTCCTGAATGAGAGGCGGAACAAGCGTGTCAACACAGGAGACAACTCAGATGCACAGACCTTTAGAACTATAACTGGTATACCATCAGGTCCACTAGCTTCGTTCACGTCTAGACTTCGCAAGGTTTTAAGAACCTCCTTGTTGGTGATACGGACCTCAGACACAGTGACCGCAGTGAGGTAATTGAGATGTTACGCGTTGCTACTGTCCAGACGCGAATTGCAAGCAAAAAGAGAAGCAAATAAGTCCGCTTTCTCCTTAGGCGCATGCGCCAGTGAGCCATCTGGTTTTACTAGCGGAGGCATTGTAGACCGACAGAAGTTTATCTCGACCGCTTTGGCGAGAGACCAAAAAGCTCTACTGCCAGATGGTTTGACAGATAGCTTAGTGCCGATGCGTTTAATGCGGTCGAAACTGGCTTGGCGTAATGCCTTTTTGCACGACTTGGCGGCTTGGTTAAAGGCTCTCTTCTTAAGGCTAACATCCGGAGCTTTACGGTCTCGAGCATCGCCCCAGGATAAGTACGCCATATGCTTGTGCTTTTCAGCACAAGCGCACTCGGCGTTAAACCAAGGGCGAGCTTTACCACAAATGGGCACGTCAGTAAAGGGGATGAAATACTCCATCGCTTGACGTATCACATTAGTTATGGCATCCGCGCAACTCGATGGGTCTCCAGAGGAGAAGCAGACCTACCGCCAAGGATAAGATGCAAAGAAATGCCGCATCTCATCCCAATCTGCTGACTTGTATCGCCACATTCGACGCACTCCGTGGAAATCGTAGTTAGGTGGGAAATATAACGACACAAATTTCACCAGACAGTGGTCAGAAGTTCCCAAGGGTGAGGTAACCTGAACATATCGTACCTGTCTGGATCGGTCCTCAGCAGAAGGTCGAGGCAGTTGGCTGTGTGCCCATCCACATCAGGTACCCTAGTCGCTTGTTGTACCAGCTGGGAGAGCCCCAGCGACAAGGCAAAATTCCACGCCTCTCTCCCAGCGTGGTTGGTCTTCTGGTATGGGAACAGCCAGTCCTGATGACAGGCATTAAAGTCCCCCAGAAAAACCAACTGTGCATTAGGGTACCGATTTAGAGCCACATCAGAGGCTTCACTGAGGTGTTCAAACAGCCTAGTTGTCTCCTGGTCGCCGCTGTGCGATCGGTAGACACAAGAATAAATAATTTTTTCCATTCCTGTGTCTATCAATACCCAGATCGTAGATCAAAGATAATTTATTTTATCAATTTTTGGATTTAACAAAATCTTCGTGCTTCATATAAAATATAGCCTAGAACTCTCCAGGCATTGCTCTATCACTTCAGACAGACAGTATTTTATTAAATGGTCCTCCATGGTGGCACTACTTCCGAGACGTGGAGCAGAAGTGCGGTGGTCTTGTTCTCCAAGAAAGGCGACAACGCTCTCTTGAAGAACTACAGACCGATTTCCCTTCTGAGCCATGTCTTCATGCTGTTTTCGAGAGTCATTACGAATCGTCTCGCACACAGACTCTACAACTTCCAGCCTCCCGAACAAGCCTATTTCTGAAAAGACTTTAGCACCATAGACAACATAAATACCATTCGGCAAATTGTACAGACGACCGAAAAGTACAATCTGCTACTTTGTCTTACGTATGTGGACTATGAGAAAGCCTTTGATTCCGTCGAAATTTGGGCGGTGCTGCAGTCCCTTCAGCGGTACTAAGTTGCCTGTCGGTATATCGAAGTGCTTGTACAGTAAGGCTACGATAGCTATCCGAGTACAGAACCAGAGTACGAAACCTATCCAACTGCAGAGAGGTGTAAGACAGGGTGACGTAATATCACCGAAACTTCACCGCTGCATTGGAAGACGGTTTTCAAGTTACTGGACTGGAAAGGATACGGTATTAACGTCAATGGCGAGTACATCACTCACTTTCGATTTGCCGACGATATAGTCCTTATGGTAGAATCGCTGGAGCACCCACTGACCATCGGGTGGACTGTGTGTTCGTTTGTCACTATAATCCTATTAAAAATATCACTTTTCGTCTTTGGAATTAACGAATACTGTGTGCTTGTTTGTCACCCTTATTATTATATATAAAATTTCAGTGTGTTCGTAATCCTTCTCCTCATATAAGCGGCTAAATCGAACTTGATGAAATTTTATGGGATTACATGGATTGTTTTTAACTATATTTGGATCCGGTAGGTGGCACTGTTGTCGTGATCCAAAAATCACCCGTGCGAAGTCATGGTAGTTCGCTAGTTTTATATAAAAAAGCTTACTGTATACTGTCCCGGCCGATGCATCCTATGTTAATGAACTTGATATCGGATGACTAATTACGTATTAATTTGAAAATTACATGTACGTATTTACGCCGTACAATGTCATTCATCAAAATACTCTCTTTTTTCTTATGACGTTTGACGATCGATGTATTGTTATTATTAGGTAATATTAAATAAGAAATAAACTATGACAACACTTCGCACTTCGTAATCTATCAAACCGTTTAGGCCACAAACTTACAAAAACAGACAAACATAATATACCCGAAAAATACAATCCTCTTTGACGGTCGGGTGAAAAGTACTGAGTGTGAGCATGTGTGTGTGTTATACTTGCTGATTTAACACGTTCATGTGTGATATCTTCTTTTGTTTGTACCTATGTGTAGTTGTTGCTCGATATAAAAATTGCAGGAGGCAAGTAATCCGCCCGGTGCCCGGAGTGGCGCGCACCAACTGAGAGCGAACGAGCAGCAGCGCAAGCCCACGTCGTGGCTGTCGCGGTGCAGCGTGCTCTGACGACGCCCCGCCGCCCGCTCCGCTCCCCGCCCCGCTCTCCGCCCCACTGTCTTCTAAATAACGGGCGGCGAGCACACCCACCTCGACTATATTTTTCGACCTACTGTTTTATCTAGGTGCGATAACTCCGATTCGGGGATCGGACTTGCTTTTTGTATTTTTATATCCACGACTTCATTTAACGTGAATCGCAGTTGCACAAAGCTATGTTGATGAAAGGTGCAGTAATGAAATTAAAATTGTAATAATGTGAAAGAATATTATGTTGGTAAGACAACAACGTAATATTAGACATCAATATAATATTTTTAGGTTATTTGTATTTACTACATATTGTTTAGTGAGAAATTTTTGGAAAGTATTAGCTTGGGCGACTGCTGTTTCATTAAACAGTATTTTGTCGTAAATTATCTGTAAAATATGTTTACTTCAAGTGACATTTATTTTATTAGGGCAAAATTACTCAGTGTTACATCTATAATAAAATATGGTTCAACGGATATTATTTCATTCATTAGATTCTTAGCTGTATTTTTCCTTTTGCTATTTTAATTAAGATATATATTTTTATTGTAACATATACTACATATTTAATTTGAATAAACAGTGCTTTTTTACTGATATTCTTTTAATCTGAAATCAACAGTGGCCTTGAGTTGTTATCATGATTCGAATTGTATTTTAATTTTCCCAATCATTCCCTTCGAATTTAATTAGTTGCATTAATTATTTCGGTCGCAGCAGTACATAGATGAAAATAAAACAAATAGAAACTGTTTTACATAAATGTAAATCAGATGTCGTTGTGTCTTAAAGTATGTAAAAATAAAATATTTCCCTACTACCCAAGGCTCATCCCCTTTTTCTATTCACAATCTAATAAGAAGTAATAACGTATTCGCATATTAGTCAACTTGACGCTTATCCGTTTTTGTAGCTACTCGCTGCTAGCGAGCTTTGTTCTGGTGTAACAAAGACGAAGTGATAAGCCGTATTGAGAGACATTCGATTTAAGTCTCAATAAAATGTAGAATTGTTTTATTTTTGAAATATCTACAATACGGGATCTCTTATCATTTAACAAACGGTAAATAGTGCATAAGGTGCGAGTCGTTTCGTATTGTAGCCGTCAACAGCTAAACTTGGCGAATATACTATTAAAAGGTCTTTAATCGGTTAAATACTAACGTTGCTTAATAGAGTAGCTCTCTAAAATCTCACAATCAATTAGTTATTTTAATAACTAACACTAATTTGTCGGTATAAGCAAAATATATAAGTAAAAACAAAATAGTAACACTATACTAAAAGAAATATAACAGGAGAACAACATGGTTACAGGAAAACACCTTTAGCCAAAAGTTTCACTAACCTCAAATAATGTGTTTTAAAAAACAGAAATCTATTGATTTGTGTCCTTCATTAGTCTCTAAACAGTCCACAGCTAAATATTTTAGGCTTCTTTCATACAGCGCTTCACAGGCAGATAAGTAATCACGGTATCAGACTGCTCACAACTTTGGCATTTTACAAGATTGATTACGTCGCCATTTATTAAAGTTTTTATAGGATAAGTGTGACAAACGAGCACACAGCCCACGTGATGGTAAGTGGTCGCTGTGGCCCATAGACATTTACATCTATTCTCGATTACGAATCAAAATGCAGATGCGTTGCCACCCGTGAGGACTAAGATGGAATGCCTCGTTTCCAGTAAAAGGGTCTCCGGTTCTCTACACTCACCATACAAAACACAATAGCGTTAAACAGCTACTATACGCTGGTATTCTGTAAGAGCGTGGTCCTTCCCCGGTTGAGCCGACCCATTGGTGCTACAACTTTACCAGATGTGTAACTACAGCATGGCTCTACCACATATAAAATCATCATGGTATCTTTTTGACATATCAACAACCATGGATCATGAATGGGTTCTCTTCATCGCCACCAGAAGTATTTTTTATTGAAATTTATTTTTGTAGTTAGTTCTTATCCTAATTTTAAAATAGAATGAAATCAAAAAATGGTAATATCGGTAAAAGACAAACAATTTTTATTATAAACATTTATTTGATAACGACCTATATTATGTACAAATTGCCCAACAATTATTAGTGGAAGAATTACGAGGCCACTGATTTCATTTTAAAATGCATGCTTTAAAAAAAAAAAACAAAAAGTATTTAGTAATTTTTAATAAAATAATCATGTAGTATGAATTTGTTTCGATGTAGACCTAAATGGTCGTAGCATTAGATTTTTTGTTCCAATTAGGGCACTTTTAGATGCAAAAGTCAATAATTGAACAAGTTTATTGATAGTGAAAATAAAGGCACCTGCTACAAACTTAGACCCTTTTCTCCAATAAATAACATACAATGGAACTGGAGGAAGTTTGTCCGACCAGATACCATTGCGGTATTTTTTTGCGCAAGTCTCAGCTGACAATATGACCGGAGCTATTTGTGACTCGAAGGTTTTCTCCTTAATGCCTTGAGGGACAGAAGCCTTTGCAAAACCCAGTTCTACTAACTTTTGTCCAATATCTAAGGTCTCAACTGATTTTTTCTGTAAAAAAAAATTAAATATTACTTTTTTATTACTTCAGTAAAACATGTTACCAGGTCCTGTATTTCTTTTTATAGCATAAGGGTGACAAACGTGCACACAGTCCACCTGATGGTAAGTGGTTGCTGCGGCCCATAGACATCTACATCTATCCTCGATTACGAATCAAAATGGACACCCGTGAGGACTAAGATGGAATGCCTCATTTCCAGTAAAAAGGGTCTCCGGTTCTCTTATAATCCAATATAGCGCGAGCTTAATGCTATATGGCATTCTCTACCAGCTAACCTTGGGTAGAACAGAGTGTATACATATATATATATTTGAACTGAATTTTGTAGGCTACGGATATGCTCATATAGTTTTCTTTTAAAAACATTTTTGGCAGGTATTGTTCGCAGGTCAATACATTTGTAGTTTTTTACCTCACCTTCATATTATTTATTATTGCAACCGATGCCGGTATACAGTCTATAAACTTATGATTGTAGGTACCGTAACATAATGTTTAAGGATATAATGTATACTAAATAATTTAATAAAATTAGCGCTAGCGCCCTCTAGTATCGAGTAGCAGAACTAGGAGTCAAGAACCTTCTATAAATTTCCATGGAAGAACTTTCTGGAACTAACGACACCTAGTCAATCGGGACCTATATGTACTCGAATATTCTAGATGTTTCTACAGTGGAAGGTTCTGGAAACTATATAAGGCCGGTATAGACCGCGACCGAGGCAGTATTGAATTGGCGATATAAGCGAATACTTCGAAGCAATACAACTGGGAACTAAAGTGATCAGTAGTACAATTGTGTTTTATTATTAGTGTGGTTTAAGTTGTAATTACTGTAATTAAAGTGTCAATTTTGGTAATTCACTCGGCAGTTTTTAATTGTCTCGAACCCCAAGCTCGTAACAATCATATTAAGTTTCAGTATTAAGTTCATTAAGCTTCATTTTTACACACGACGGAACGGAGAAGATGTATGCTTGTTTGTTTGTTGATGTTTTCTGTAAAGGGTCTGTAAGGCGATGGTTCTCAGATAGATGTTATGGTGTTAACTCGCCAGGGGACACTGCAATGAACAATTTTCGCTCGTTATAGCGATTTTTTCCCCGAGACGGCTTGACCGATCTAGATGCAGTTACCCATATCACTATGTTGATACTATAATAACAGATCTAAATGATCAATACAGCTTTGTGGCCGTTCTTCGGCTTCCTCGATTTGTGACCCGCGCAACGTGCTTCTCAATCGCTCTAACTTTTCCAACGCTATGCTAGAATGTGGATTATTGAAGATATTTCTTTGATTTCGATCAGTTAGATACTACTACGCCATTTTTACTAAGAGTCACATAAGCTTGCCCTTTGGCGAATGTTTTTGGTTCAAGATGAATGACCGCCTTATCGACTGTAGTGCCTTGCAATTTATGCACTGTAACGGCCCAACCTAATGTGAGTGGAATCGTTGCCTTTTCTATTTTGCTAGGAATTTTGTTGCCTTCAAATGATACACTCATTGGAGTTACGCCTACCCAATCATTTTCATAATGGGAATTTCTGCTGATAAAATGGCCACCAAATTGGAATAGGACTTTTTTGGGCAGCTCTCCATCTTCCGACTGATGATGACCCCTTTCTACTTAAAACTCCGAACTACTCCCTAATTGGCTAACCCTTCGCTGACCTTGATGATCATTCTAAATACCACTTGTGTGCACACACCCAATTTTATGTGTGATACTAGGTCGCCTGTGTTATTTGGGTCCCCTTAGTCCCTTTTGTTGTTGGGTTCCCTTGACTCATCTCGTGCATTTATCGCACAAACTTATAAAATAGCAAAATTTTAGTTAATTTCAGGGCAGGGAATGGCAGCCCTAACGGGTTTACTTGTGTTTGTAATTATATTACGTAATAGGTAGGTGAATATGTGTAGCAGCTATATTTGATGTTATTGCTGCGTCTGTCGCTACGACAAACAAATAGGTAAACAACGATAGGAAGGACTAAGGAAAGTCATAATTAGTTTTTTTATTATGAGAGACCTGACGGCAAATTACCCTTTTTTTTAAACGCTTTTTATTTTTATCTTTCGTGACATACTTCCTTTTAGTCGGGGATTTTTTAAACATTTTATTTAATCCTTTTTTGATTACAATTTACATCTATCCTGGGTTTTTTCAAAATTTTTAATTTTGCTTTTTATAGCTCAAGGTAAGCCTAAAGCTTCTTTTATGTTTTCATAGGTTTTTCTCACGGTAAAAAAAAGTAAACTGGTATGAATAAATTTTAATTATCTGACAGGGTTGGTCAAGTGTGATTTGAAAGTAGGTCTGGGTAAGTACCACCCCCTTACCTAATACCACTTTCCTGCCATTTTCAACTGTTTTTTTATCCGCCAAAATGAGTGAATCTAACGAAGAGATTCCTATACATTCTGCAGTTTTATTACAAAAAAGTGAATAATGCGACTCAAGTCGCGAAAAAAATGTGTGACGTTTGTGGACCTAATGCAGTGTCAGTATGAGTGTCAGTAGCACAAAGTTAGTTCAAGCGTTTTCAGTTCGGGAATTTTGATGTCAAAGATGCAGCTCGCTATGGTCGCACTTATACGGATAAAGTCGAAGCCATTTTTTTAAAAAGTGAAGCAAGATCGATCGATATTTGTAGTTACGGCACAGCCGAGGAATTGAGGATTGACCACAAAACAGTTTTGACCCATTTGAAAAAGGCTGGCTATACAAAAAAGCTCGATATGTGTTTCGTATGGTGATTATAGAGAACTGGAGAACCTTTTTACTGGAAATGAGGCATTCCATCTGAGTCCTCATGGGTGACAACGCATCTGCATTTTGATTTGTAATAGAGATGTAGATGTCTCTGGGCCGCAGCAACCACTTAGTATCAGGTGGACTGTGTGCTCGTTTGTCACCCTTATCCTATAAAAAAAATATTTGGGTACCACATGAGCTCACTGAAAAAAACTTAATGAATTGTGTACTCATTTGCGATTCTCTATTGAAACGTAATGAAACCTAACTATTTTTGAATAGATTGATCACTAGTGATGAAAAGTGGATCACCTACGACAAGAACGTGTGAAAAAGATCATGGTCAAAGGGTAGTCAAGCTCCGCAGACTGTAGCGAAACCTGGATTAACACGCAATAAGGTGATGCTGTGTTTGGTGGTATTGGAAGGGCATCGTTTATGAGCTTCTACCGCCGGCCAAAACCATCAACTCTGATCTCTACTGAAAACAACTTACGACACTCAAGCAAGAAATTGAGAAAAAACGGCCGAAATTGATCAACAGACTAGGGTCTAACTGTTAATATTAGTTTTTTTTTATTTATTATAAATTAATATAGGTCTATTTTTTTTTTTATAGGATAAGGGTGACAAACGAGCACACAGTCCACCTGATGGTAAGTGGTAGCTGCGGCCCATAGACATCTACATCTATCCTCTATTACAAATCAAAATGTAGATGCGTTGTCACCCGTGAGGACTAAGATGGAATGCCTCATTTCCAGTAAAAAGGGCCTCCGGCCACCTGCACTCACCAAGCGAAACGCAGAGGTAAACCTCTACTTCACGCTGGTTTTCTGTGAGGTCGTGCTACCACCCCGGTTCAAGCCGGCCCATCCGTGCGACAGCAAAAGCTGCCGCGTGGCTCTACCATGTAAAACGATCTCATCTCGATCTCGATCCACGTCTTTCATCATGATAATGCCAGACCACACATATCTTTGACATTTCAGCAAAAATTAAGTGAGCTTGGTTGGGAAGTGTTAATGCATCACCATATAGTCCTGACCTTGCCCCCTCAGATTTTCACCTATTTCGGTCTCTTCAGAATTCTTTGGGTAGTATTAGATTAACATCAAGAGACTGCCAAAACTACACATCGCATTTTTTTTGGTCAAAAATTCCAAGATTTCTACAGCAATGGGATTATGCCACTACTTACAAGATAGCAACAACTTATCGAACAAAATGGCATATATATATATACTAGCTCGCCAGGCAGACGTTCTGCCCTTTCCAACGACCCTTCCTAAAAAAATCCTTAAATTCGCAATAAAAAAATTTGATGGTCATTTATCGGGATAAAAACTATCCTATCTGTCAAGTTGGACCAAAATGCACATAATGTGCAAAATTTCATTGAAATCAGTTCAGTAGTTTAAGAGTCCATCGCCGGACAAACAATGTGACACATAATTTTTATATATAAAGATAAAACTTAAATGTAAATCAACTTTGAAGAAATAATGTCTTAAATTTGCATATAAAATACGAAGAAGCTTTTGCACTGCTGTGTGACAGTCTGAAGGATAGAGCCCAGTATAATTACAGGCTGCGAGGCATTTCATCTTAGTCCTCTGAGGTGACATCTGTAGCCTTCTTTATTTGATGTTGGTTGCAGGTGTCCATGGACTGCAGTAGCCACTTACCAACAGATGAATTATAAATTTGTCACATCAATCATATAAAAAAGACATGATAAGGATATAGAAATAACGGTTAATGCAGAACAAAGTGCATGGGGCTTTTTACCATTGTGTGAATCAGAATGTGTCAAAAAATGGAATGTAATGGTGTCAGTCCCCTTACCTTTAATGTTAGCGAAAAGTTGGGTGAGGGAGAAGCATGAGAGTAAAATTAAAGCTATAGAAAAAAATGTGGTCATTAAGAATGATTGGGTGAAAATTTGTGTGATAAAAAGAGTGGTTTCGAAGATGTACCTTATTCCTTGTGAACCTTAATCCTGGTCATCTCTTTTTGAACACAAAATATTTTCTTTTTGAAATGTGTACATATTTAAAAAAATTATGATAAAAAATATAATACCCCAGACTGTGGTAGATGCAGTAAGACAGATGAAACAAGGTCTTCCTTCTCTCTTCCAATTGGCTTTAAAGTCACTTTCTGGCCTTTTGCCACACATTCCAGCCAGTTCACAGCATTGCCACTTACAATATCTACACCCCACAACTATAAACAATATTTTTATTGCATAATTAATACTTATATACAAAAATAAGAAGTAGAAATGAAATAAACTGTAAATTATTAAGAAACTGTCCTTACATTTAGCATAATTTCTCAATAACTTTTAACTACAAATTTACTTTTGTTAATACTTGAAAAATGAATTTTCATAAAGTATAGTTCATATTCATGATGTATCTAGTACAGGAATGTAATAGTTCCAGGAACAATTTCAGACACTGGAACAATATCAGTTCAACCTAAACTGTTTAATGTAATCAGACAGTCTATATCCATTAATTCAAAGGAAGTTAGATAGTTGGTGGTGTTTTGCCCCTATGCCTTGATAAGAACATAATCTTGCTCTGTGCCCGATTTCTCTGCCATCCATTACAGCCTATAAAGTCCACATATAAAAGTCAACATAGGACTCCTTCGTAGATTGCCTCATTGGGGGATTTTGCCATAGTTGCAATGCAAGTGGGTTGGCAAGTGCATATTTTTATTATTTTGAGTTGTTATCAGGAATATGCTGCTGCCCATCTACTGGTTTACTTTTTCTCTGTCGTCGTGTCGTTTTTGACTTCTAATGACAGCCTCGGGACAATATGGGGTAGTGAATATTTTAACACTGTCACTATCCAATTATTTTCTCTCTCCCATTGGGTCAGATTGCTGTCCCATCGAACTATGATAATCAAGGAATAGAGAGTGCACCTGTGTTTGAGCATGCACTCATACTATAATCCTGTTCTGTTCAAATGACTAAAAATTGGTATAAAAATTGGTCTGTAGGACTAATATTACTATTCACTTATTTTATTATTATTATTATTTAACTGAAGAAAACAGAAAGCAGCATATTTACAACACTGAAACTTACCTTGACTGGGATTGGAGGTTTGCTGGAATGCCATAGTGGTAAGTATATTGGTGCTTTGTGGTTGATAAGTAGACGCACAGGCGAGTGTTGAACCCCCACATACACTCCATTTAATGGTTCATGGTTCTTTATGAAGTGATCAGGAACTTTAGTAGCCTTTGAAAACTTGCTGACCTAATAATTTTTTTTTGTAAAATTATTGTTAAGTAACAACAATAAAAATAATTATGAATAAAATAATTACCGGACGGATTTTATGTATAGAAAATGCCAGCGACGCAGTAGCAAGTGCATATACCGCTATCTGAAAATAATGTAGTATTGATAAAAAACATTACACAAGAACTTATTTCACTCACTAATGCATACATTTACGCCGCGATAATCTTGACCAAGTAAAGTTTGTAAATTGTAAAAGATATCCCCTTCCTTCTCAGACATTTTTGTTGTTTAACATATAATACTTTTACATAATTTACAATATTAGCTCATCAATATTTTCAGAAACACAACTTTGTATATTTGTAAGAGATTGACATTTGGACGTCAATGTCAAGCAGCCAAGTGTCAACTCAACTGTGATGACAAATGTCAATATACACTCTTATCTATGGTGAACTGTTTTCAAAATCAAAGAGTTGATTATTCAACTAAGTCATGGAGATTCGATAAAGAGTTGTTTTATACGATTTGCCAATTGAACAGGCAAAGGCCTAAATCCAAACAGCCTAGTTTAATTTATACTTTGTTTACTAAATTCTTCGCAATATGTAATATATCACAGTTTACGATGACGATATCACAAGGCGCCGTAGCGGATAATAATAATAAAAATAATAATTTATTTTATTTTCTCACCAAAATACAGAATTATTGTACATAATATTATAGTATAGCCTCAATAATATACTGTGAGAGACTGGTGCCTAAGCTAGGCTTTACGTCTGTATTTCAGGATGCCAGGTATCCGCCCTATGGTTGTATCCGGTATCCGCCCTTTAGGAAGAGTGAGCATTCTCATTTCATTAATATATCTTTTTTTATTTAATTAGGATTCTAGATATATTAAAAAGTGGTGCTAGTATTAACGTGTGTGTGTGTGTGTGTGTGTGTGTGTGTGTGTGTGTGTGTATGTGTGCGTGCTTTTGTTAGTTTGTGACTGGGTTAGTAATTAACTTTGATTCGATTAGTAATTACATAGAATTAGTAAGTAGTTGTTTAGTGTCACAATAATTTAGTTCTTGGAGCCAGATTGTTATTTTCTTTTTGCATATAGTTTTGTTAAAGTTAAATATAGGGACAATCTTATTAACTTTATTGTATAAGAAACATCCAAGGTGACAAAAGAAACGTTTAGATAATTTGGTGGATAGAGTTATATGACAGCGGTCCACGGGGTTAAACGCCTTTTATCTCGGGAGAGTGAGGGGTTGTATTTTAATAAAGCATGCTGTTTTAGCAAGGTACTTTGTATAAACAGTTGCCGCACAGTTAAAATTTTCAACTCTTTATATAGGAGCTCTGTAGGATAGCGATACGGTAGTGAAAAAGATACCTTTAAGGAGGAGGTATTACCATATTAACACAGATTGGGCCAAGGCGAAGTAGACGGATTTCTTTAGTTTCTCATCAGCCACGTCTCTCAGAGTTTTAAAAACATATATAAGTTTACGCAACCTGCTACTAAGGGTATTAATGTGTTCATGAAAACGTAGAATGCATCAATTATAACTCCTAAATATTTTACTTTTTCAGCTTGACATAGTTTTATGCAGGTATCTGCGTTATTAAGAGAGTTGGAACATGAGTGACTTACGATGGAATATGGTGGTGATGATGTTGTGTTGTGATGATGTTATTTTTTAATCTAAATGTGACATAACATGTTTTATCTTTGTTGAGTGTCAGCACATTACTTCGGAGCCAGTTAGAGATTGTGTTGTAGCCCAACTGGGCGTACGTATAGACATCTTGCCATGAACCTGCGCTAAATAGGAGGACGGTATCATCTGCAAAACTTATGATCCGCCCTTTAGGAAGAGTGAGCATTCTCATTTCATTAATATATATAAGAAATAAGGTTGGAGAGAGTACACTGCCCTGAGGCGTATCATAGGTAATTGTGCGTTCAGCACTGATGAATTTATCCACCTGAACGCACTGAGTACGTCCACTCAAGTAGTCTTCAAAAAGTTGCAGTTGTATACCTCTAATTCCCAAACTCTCCATCCTACGTAAAAGTATGGGTACAGAAACCGTGTCGAAAGCTTTGGCGAGATCTAGAAATATGCCAAGAACCTTCTGCCCATTGTCCAAGTTTGTAACAATATAATTAGTAAGTTCATGAATAGCATCGGACGTAGATTTACCTGACCTAAAACCATATTGTGAGGGCGAAAGAAAGTTATTTTTTTCCAAGTAGTTTACTAGCCTGTTGTTTATTATGCGTTCGAGTATTTTGGACAAGGCAGGCAGCACAGCTATAGGTCTATAATTATTGACACGGTCTCTGTCCCCACCCTTATAAATCGGGTGTATGATCGATTTTTTAAAAGCTTTAGGAAATTTTCCGGTTGTGAGAGCCAGATTGCAGATATTATGTCAGGGGTGGGACAACTACATTAATATTCTTTTTAAGGAGATTAGAGGATATTCCATCCCAACCTGTGGGATCTTTTCCGCGAGATTTTTACCTATATTAGCGAAAAAATCATTAACTGAATTAACAGAGAGCTCCGCAATGGATGATGTGGTTAATAAGTGATAGGATGAATTTTCTTTCTTTTTTGCCCTGTTTGTTATGTTATTTATTGCTCCCCAGAGTTGTTTAGGATTATTACTAGCCTTTTTTAATTAATTTTTTTCATATTCTAATTTAATTTTTTTTAACAACTTATTACAATAGTTTCTGTACCTAGTAAAAGATGTTTTTTAGACTTCATTGTCTGGCGACTTTTTTAATTTTTTTGTGCAATTTGTCTCTGTGTCGGATACAGCGTAAGAGACCTGGAGTGATCCATGGCTTAATGATTTTTTTACGGTTTGGTACTTTCACGGTTTTTGTGTTTTTTTTGGACCGCTTGTTTGATAAGACTTATCATTAAATCTGCTGCTACGTGAGGATCTTGGGTATTATATATTTCACCAAAGTTGATTAATTTTATGTCGTCCTCATCATAACTCATAACTCATCATAGTTAATGCGCGTCGTAGTTTTTTTAACCGCGATTTTGAGCATTTTGCTTGCGAGAAATAATAACACGGTTTCATGATCAGTTAGTGCTGAGTGGGCTACTAATGTTGAAGCAGTTTAATGGACAAAACGATCAAGACATGCATTTTGTCTAGTGGGCAAAAAATGTGCAGGCAGCAGGCCGTGTGATGCTAATAAATTTAAATAATTAAGTTTGTTTGTGTCATGGCATTATTCCTGGATGGTAATATTTATGTCCCCGGTTATTATTATATTGTTGTAATGTGTGATATTAGTCAGGATTATGTCAAGCGAATGCAGGAAGTTAGTGATATCTCTATAACTTGGTGGTCGGTATATTGCTAACAAAATGGTATTATGGTTTATTTTTATTTGGAGACAATTTGCATCTAAAAATGACGGTTCCTCTACAAAAACCTGTAGGTTTTCATGTATGTATACAACTATTCCCTCGTTTTGTGTTAGTTTGTTAGCAGTCCTAAAGTATTTATAACCTGTTAGGTCAGGAATATTATGTGTATTGGGAAGCCAACATTCGGTTAATGTGATGATGTCCCAATCGACCTTAGTCCTAGCGAGTATGGTATAGAAAACTATCATATTTTTTGAAATACGTCTAATATTTTGATTAAGTATTTTGAGCGATTGCTTTGGGGTTGAAATTAAATGGGATACAGTTGTCTAAATCACAGGTAGATGAATCCGACACTGAGACAGAATCTATGTTGTTTGTGTTATTTAGTATATTATCGAATTTTATAGTGTTTGTTTTTCATAGTTACATTTTTGTAAGTGATATTTAATAGAATTAAGTTGATAATGATAATTAATTGGTCGCCAGAAGTGGTACAGAGAGGAAGATGATAGTATATAATATACATTCCCGTATTGCACACAGCACGTGTATTCTTACTTAATAATATTAGTTGTATATAATGTGTATATGTATTTGTTAGTGTAGTATTTGTGTTTTGTAGGATATCGTATGTATATTAAATGATGTTGGTTATTAATACAGTTTTTAATTTAATGCTAGAAACATGCAACAAGAATAATATAATACTTTTGAACAACATTGAAGATAAAATAACGCAATCTAGTTACTTTTGTCTTCGCAGTTAAACTAGATCATCTTCTGATTTGATAAGTCGACTAGGCATCCCTTCTTTTTTGCGTATGTACACCTTACCATTGGCTGTCCAACGTTGTTCGTATTCACTAGTCTTAATAAACTGTCGTGCAAGGTAGTAAAGTCTCTTTGTCATGGCGGTGAGGACTTCAGATACGTATGGGAAATGCTTAGGTCCTTTTTCGTGCAAGTGGGTTGTGTTAAGACGGTTTTCCTTGTTCTGTTTATTATAGTTTTTAGTTGACTTCAAAAACTGTCCCTTTGCCGCCGTGGACGAGAACTCCACAATAACTGTACCCACTGAGTCAGTCTTACTCTTCAAACGAAAAATATTTGTAATATCCGTTTCCAGTACGGAATGATTAATAATACTGCCTAGTTTTTGGACTGTGCTAATTAGGGTTTCACGGGTTTCAGGGCATTGTAATGTTATATTTTTTATTTCAAGTGACGATGCTCTCAAATTTTTTTCCAAAATGTCTACCTTATTTTCTAATGTTTTTATGATGTGTTGATTTTTGTTACACTCTGCTTTTAAATTATTAATCTCAAGCACCGCTTCATCATATTTTTCCGACAAAAATGACAAGGTCTTCTGGATTTCTTCGTTTTGGGCACGGATTTCTGAGTTTAGAATACTAATTTTTGCATTTTGACTTCGAATATCTTCAAGTGCCGTTTGCAGGGTAGCCATTTTATTGTTTTGTTGAGTTTGGTTCGATACGAGCTCCTCAAACATGGTTTTCATCTCTATCATCATTTTTTCCATACGTCCTAATTCGTCCGACTCACGTTTTCTTTTCCTTTGCGTTATGTTTAAGTTTTCATTATTAGACCAGGATGTTAAATTCGGTTCAGAGATATAGCAGGGTGATGCCATGATTTAGTTTGTGGGTTTTTATTTTATTTTATTATTTATAAATATGTATTTCGTTTTAATAACTAAGGTATAAGAATTAGTAGTATAATATTTTATTTACTCACAAGGCGACCCGTATCAGCATACAACAATTTAGTTTTGATGCGTAGGAGAAGATTTTGGTTAAGGTAGTTTTATTGCCGAGATGACGGTGGAGCGGCAAAAAGGTCGTTGTTTGAAGATATGTAGTAGCAAGGCCGGTCGTTCACACGGTACGTCGCTCTGTTAGTTCGTTGACACTATGACTCACACTCACTGTTTATTTAAAATATGTTCGATTGATATTGATTAAGACTGTGTTATCTGGTAATCTTTTAACTAAATTCTTAGTTGGGTTTTTGCACTTTACAACACAAAATAACTAACAAAGAATAACCTAGAAGTTTATATCAGCATCGAAGCACTTGTATATTACTGAAAATCGCACCACTTTAACATATCAAAATCCACTTCAAACTATTATTTATACAATAATAGAAGAGTAGCAGAACCAGAAACAGAAACATAAACTTTTTATTCATTAAAGGTTATAAATAATACTTATTGCGAGTCACTCACTGACCTCAATATACAAGCCACTGTTTTGCTTAATTTACCACAGGGAAAAAATAACAGTTTACAATCATATAAGTTACGTAATTAACATCACAAAATAAATTACAAATATCTTGGTAGCGATCACCTCATTCCCAGGGGCTATTACCATCCATAAATACCTTAATATCATAATTACCCCTTATAAACAAACTATTTAATAAAGTTTTTGAACTTTGAAGAGGTCTGTTTATTGTAGAAACGTATACATAACATAATAATTGAAGTCGAGTAACTACAACATGTGTTTGTTTCCAGTTTTTTTTTATAGGTAGGGTGACAAACGAGCATACAGTCCACCTGATGGTAAGTGGTTGCTGTGGCCCATAGACATCTACATTTATCCTCGTTTGCGAATCAAAATGCAGATGCGTTGTCACCCGTGAGGACTAAGATAGAATGCCTCTTTTCCAGTAAAAAGGGTCTCCAGTTCTCTACACTCACCATATGAAACACAGCAGCAAGCTGCTATTTGACGCTGGTATTCTGTGAGCTGGTATTTACAAAATGAGTATCACTTATTTTTTGAAACTACTTTATTTCTGTGTACATACTGTTAGCTTGGGGTTCGAGATAATTAAAAACTGCCAAGTAAATTACCAAAATTGACACTTTAATTACAGAACACTAATTACAATTTAAAACCACACTAACAATAAAACACAATTGTATTACTGATCACTTTAGTTCGCAGTTATTTCGCTTCGATGTATTCGCTTATATCACCAATTCAATACTCCTCGGCCGCTTTTTTTTTTTTTTTTTTTTTGCGCCCGAAGCAATTGGAAAAGGGCTACCCCGAAGGGAGGCAGAAAATGCATTACGCATACCACGATGGCCGGTCCATCGTGGTTATGAGGGACTCACTACCTACAAGGGGGAACCTAAGTGATACCCTCTAAAAACTGCCTTTGGGGACTGGCAACCAGCTGTTGAAAGCTTCACATGCCGTATCGTAAAGCGACCCTCTTTTGGGAAAAGAGGGCGCAGGCGGCTATAAGCCGCTGAGGGAGTGCCTGGGAAGGCAAATTAATTATGAATAACTTAATTAGAATTGGCCTGAGCCGCCAGGAGGCAGTTCAGGTCGTTTGAAAGTTTATTAGGCGGGTCCGAGAGGGAGTTTCTCGGCCTGCGGACGCTATAGCGGGAGGGGAGTGGGGCTGCATAATTAGCAGCCTCACGAATAAAATGATTGGAATGCGACTCTGAGGCTTTGAAGAAGTTCTCAGAGAGTTTTTTAAGGAATTGTTGAATTGTAGGGAGCTCTAGGTCCCGATGAAGGTCGGCATTGCGGACGTACCAAGGTGCGTTCGCAGCTCGACGACAGAAAAGGTTTTGAACTACTTGGAGTTCATTAATGATTTTAGGGTTAGAGTGGGCGAAAATGGGGCCCGCGTAGGACATGACTGGTCGTATACAGACCTTATAAAGGGTACGCTTGTTTCTGAGGGACATTTTACTGTGTCGGCCCAACATACTGTTGAGCCTATTCAGGTAAAAACGTGCGTGACGGGTTACTCTTTTGACGTGGGGCCTGAAAGTTAGCCCTGTGTCTAGAGTGACACCTAAATATTTGGCAGACGTATGCCAGGGGACAGGGGTCCCTAGCATACGTATTGGTGGAGTGTTTTTGAGACGGCGTCGTTTATAATCGAAGTGAACGGCGGAGCTCTTCTCCGGGTGCGGTCTATACCGGCCTTATATAGGGTCTCAGATAGTTTCCAGAACCTTCTACTGTACAAACATCTAGAATGTTCGAGTACATATCGGTCCCGGTTCTAGAAGGATCTTACCTCTCCTAGTTCCGCTACTCGATACTAGAGGGCGCTAATGGTGACTGGTGTTGCCATGTACAAGACATTAATAGTAGCGCGCAACATTACCACAAATTAATAATAGACCAATTTTCCCCCCAATGGGAAGAAAATTGATATTTCGGATCTTGCCGTAGGCCTGACCTCTGAGATTACCTCTACCATTTACGTCCACCTATCAGTGTGAGTGTCCATTATCTATCCTTTTCCCACCATAAACGACCTATCTATCACTGTCTCTTTGTCACGCTGTACCTGACAGCTAGAGTCGGGTCGCACAGAGGCCCGCTTATTTACTTCAGTACTCTATATCAGCCGGCAAGTAATTGCCCCGGTCAGGCCTACGGCAAGGCCCGTAATATCAATATTCTTCCCATTGAGCCCACTGAGCGACTAGATTTTAAATCATAGATCGCTCTTATGGCCCTCTTCTATAAAACTATAATTTCAGGGTCATTCGCGTGTCCCCATAGCAAAACACCATACGACATTATGTTATGGAAATTGCTAAAGTAAACCAGTCTAGTTGTTTCAACGCTGATAAGATTTCTAATCTATTTTATATCACATAAAATTTAGCAGAATGAAAGCTGCAGCTTCTTGTACAGTGTGATTCCAAGAAAAATGGTGGTCAATAAGACAGCTCCCCAGTAATCCGTTGGCAGTCAAGTTCCCACGCAAAATACGCCAGTATTCTAATTTTTAAGCATTTCTAAATCTATGTTTTAACTGTTAATCTTACATTCTTACTTATTTAAAAGTATTTGTAAAATAAATCTGTAGTAAGTTTGTAAAATAAATGCAGCATGCAACACTTAAATTCCACGTCACGTCAACCAAATTGACAAGTGCAAATAATATCGAAAGCAAACAGGTTCAGAATTTCAGAATAAATAAAATTATTTTATTTTGTGTAGCACAAATTAAACACAATGATCAGCGTATTAAATACTATCGATACAGGCCATGAAGATATGATACATGATGCTGAATTAGATTACTATGGATTGCGATTAGCAACATGCTCTTCTGATAATTCAGTGAAGATTTACGACATCAAGAGCGGCACGCAGACTCTTGCCGCCGATTTGAAAGGCCACTTTGGACCAGTGTGGCAAATCGCATGGGCACACCCAAAATACGGTAATCTACTAGCTTCTTGTTCTTATGACAGAAAGGTCATTATTTGGAAAGAGTCTGGCGAATGGACGAAGTTGTACGAATACACAGGCCATGAAAGCTCTGTGAACTCTGTAGCATGGGCTCCTGCCGAATACGGACTTATATTAGCTTGTTGCAGCTCCGACGGGTCCATATCTATTATTACATACAATCAAGATGGTGGCAATTGGGATGTTAAAAAGATACCTGGCGCTCATGCTATTGGTGTAAACTCAATAAGCTGGTGTCCAGCAATATCAGCAGACCTTAATTTGGATCCTCTTAGTAATAAGGAAGCACCTAAAAGAATAGTATCTGGTGGATGTGACAATTTGATAAAGGTAATTAATAATTTTAATGAGGTGTAATTGCTAATTAAAATTTATGAGTAAACTTTAGCATAACATTACTTCATTTTTTAATAATTATTTATTAATATGACTTGGTTTAGGAATAGTTTCTATCTTTTACTTATTATAAAACTTGGGTACGCTATATATACTACTTGACAAAACACTATTACTTGCTCTTCCTACTATTGTCAGGCCAATATCAGGCTATCATAATATTGATAGTAACCAATTGAGTAGCATTTTTTTTAATAGGAAAAGAGTGACAAGTGAGCACACAGTTCACCTGATGGTATGTGGTTGCTGTGGCCTGTAGACATCTAAATCTATCCTCGAATCATAATGCAGATGCGTTGTCAGCCATGAAGACTAAGATGGAAATGCCTCTTTTCCAGTAAACAGGGTCTCCGGTTCTCTACACTCACCGTACGTAAAATAGCAGCATGAAGCTGCTATTTTACACTGGTATTCTGTGAAAGCGTGGTCCTCTCTACTAGAGCCAACCCATTCGTGCTACATCTATACAATTAATATAGCTGCAGCATGGCTCTACCAAGTATAGAAGAGAAGATGAACTTCTAATTGCAGAATGTGATACTCTACACAGAATAATAGCTTCATCATCAATTTAATTAAGATTGATGCTGGCGAATTTCATTCCCAAGAAAATAGTTAAGTTCTTAAGCTTGTTAATTTTTCTACCGACTTCAAAAAGGAGGAGGTACTCAATTCAACTGTTTTTTTTGTGTGTTACCTTATAACTTTTTTCTAGGTGAACCGATTTCGATGATTCTTTTTTTATTTGAAAGCTGGTGCTTCTCATGTGGTCACATGTAAATTTGATCATGGTCTGACCAATAGTCTTTGAGTTATCTTTAATAACTTATATTGAAGTTGGTTGTACAAAATTTTTAATTTTAAATTATTATTGTTGAATGTTAAGGTAATGATATAAAACTTTTATGGAAATCGATAGAAGATTAATAAGGAAACTATTTTGACCTTTCCTACATTAACTTCAGTATTCATATATTTAGCACATAACCTAAATGAAAGAAGTTAGTACACCTATGGTGTGATTTTTTTTACAGCGTTCGTACTGATTAGTATTAGTTGAAATTTTGTATGGTGTTCCAAAAAATTATGCCTTAATGCTCATATGATCCAGTCCAAAATTTACCATTTTTTTCTTAATCAACCTGTAAATGTCCACTGTTGGACAAAGATATCTTGCAATGTGAGGAGTATAGTGTTGTGTTGTGAGGTTTGCCTTAATCATAATACTTAGTAGGGAGTTTGACAAACACAGTGCCAGATGCGTAGCACTTGATTCTGCTACTTGTCTTGTCTGAGTATTTTATGCCTCATGTAAGTGAGATAGATAGTTTATCACATCTTTCGGAAAACATATTAGAAATTTTGAAATTTGAGTGTATATGGTAAAATAAATCTTTATAGATCTGGAGGGAACAAGGAGACCAATGGGTGGAGGAAAATCGTCTTGAAATGCACATGGATTGGGTGAGAGATGTTGCATGGGCACCCTCACTAGGACTTCAACATTCCATGATCGCTAGCTGCTCACAAGACAAGCGAGTTGTCATTTGGACAAGCGATGACAATGTGTCGTGGACACCAACAATCCTTAACACGTTTGACGATGTTGTATGGAGTGTTAGTTGGTCACTAACTGGAAACATTTTGGCTGTTTCTGGTGGTGACAATAAAGTCAGTCTCTGGCGAGAGAATGCCGATGGGCAGTGGTTATGTATAAGTGAAGTCGCCAAAGGACTAGGTCAAACTCCAAGTGAAGAAAGAAGCACTCTTTAAATTTATATGTTAATAAATATTTTTAATTTCTGAAATAATAATAATATAATTAATCAATGTTTAATGATTTATTTTTCCTATATATGTTGAATGTTAAAGTGTTGAATTCACTCATCCCTAAATAATTTGGAAATAAATATCCTAATAACCGAAATTTAACATAGTATATAATACAAAAGCTATGTAGCGGGGGCCTAATAGAATTCATCTCATCTAATGAATGTCGCCAAAGTCGACTTGAAAATCCTGGCATTTCTCTTGGGCCCTACATGAGATGGCAGAATATTGAATTCCATTTACTGTGAAAGAGGTTAAAAGATAAATAAAAAGTCTATAAAATAATATATAAAAGGTCTGTGTCAATCAGATGAATAATAAACATAACACTACCTTCCAACAAGTTTTGCTTTGTAACAAGCCAAAAAAAAAGTTAAATTATAGAAATAATTAATAAATCTTCTAAACCACTTATAATGGGTTTTTATTTAGGTATATATAAAGCTTAAAAAAAGCCAAAACACAACACTAAAAATAGCATATATAGAACTGATAGCATTCCTGAAATTGCTGCCAGTAGCATTTTCTTGAAGAGGCCCTGCCAGGTCCTTGAATAGGCTAGACTAGGCTATGCTATAAGATACAACCAAGGGAGAATAATAATTTTCCCTTGTTCCAGTAAGTGAAGTGTAGTGTGATCTCCACTAGGTGTAATCAACCTACAAACTGTTTTGGCCAGTAGGTTCTTGAGACAATGGCTTTGTAGCAATATATAGAGATAATAATTCACTTGTGACTAGTAAACTTGTGAAGAACTGTTATTATATAAAAAAACACCAGAGAAATAATACTCAATTATCATTGCGAATGTTTTACTTAATATCATAATTTTATTAGGTATCACTTAATAATATCACATATTACTTAAATTAAATTCTATTAATTCTAACAACAAAGGCATCTTGTAATATTCAGCAATTGTCTTAAATGTCATTAGTTGTATGTGTATTTCTTTTTGTGGGACCATTAGTGCAAAATCACCAGCGCAGTCGCAAACAACAGTCAAGTTTTCTCTTTTTACCTGCAAGAAAATTGCATAACGTTGGTATAATTCAATTGTAAAATAAAATAATAATAATAAAACATTGTATTTAAATTGTAGCAAAATTCTAACCACATATTATGGGACAAGTTTCTATAATACAAAGATTATTTACAGGAAATAATTTAGTAATTATTAATTATTAAATATGGTTGATGGATTTGTCTATTTAAAATACTTTTTTAGAGTTATAAAAACAAAATTTCTATAAAAATTGTAGAATAATCACAGACCAAAAAAGAGGATGAAGGAGTGCTGCATTATACATTCGACATGCACACATATGCACCTTAGACTGTTGGTGGTTGCAAATTATTTTAGATGCATGTGTGTGCGTGAATGTGTTCTTACGTGTATATGTAGCGCTCCCTCTTTCTTTCTTTGTTGGTCTGACATAATAAATAATATAGTGTGCTGACGTTATGTTTTTACAGTCAAAGAACCTTCCTGTGTTTGTATTTTATCAAATACTGAAAAATTTAAATGGAAACTCAAATTATTAAAGAAGTTCATATTATAATTCCAATTAATGTCAACTACCCGACCTCATTGGTATACGGCTGGTAAATCATTAGGTTTACCAACTGGGTACCAATGAGGTAACAAATATTGCATGTTAATAATGAGAGTCACTACCACTTACTTGATTGCATCTTGTGCAAATAAGGTCCTGCAATGTGTAGCTCATCGCCCGCCGATTCATTATTTCTATGAGCCTCCACTCCAACTCCTGATTATCGTATGGGGTGCCGCAATTGGGGCACAGACACACTGGACTGAAATAGATGTACTATTATGTATTTTCTACGTTTTCTATCTACGCATATACGTCTAAACGGCTTTAGATAAAATCGGTCACAACAGATAGAGCATCAATCAGATTAACACAAGGGAGACATGCGATAAAAGTTGAGAATGAGTATGAACCGCTCATGTAGTCCACGCGGGAAAAACGGTCGAAGTAAGTATAATAAAGAAGTAAGTACACCGGTACTCACATGCCGTGTCGCGTGTCGATGTGCGTGTCGTGGCACAGGTAGAGGTCGCGGCACACGCACACTTTGCTAATGAGTTGGCACGGACTCACCAGTACACCGGTAGTCACGTGTCGTTGTGCGTGTCGCGGCACACGTTGCAGATGAGCTCGCACCAACTCACCAATACATCGGTACTTACGTGTCGTTGCGCGTGTCGGTGTGCGTGTCGCGGCACACGTGCACACGTTGCAAATGAGCTCGCACCGCCTCACCAGTACACCGGTACTCACGTGTCGTTGCGCGTGTCGGTGTGCGTGTCGCGGCACACGTGCACACGTTGCAAATGAGCTCGCACCGCCTCACCAGTACACCGGTACTCACGTGTCGTTGCGCGTGTCGGTGTGCGTGTCGCGGCACACGTGCACACGTTGCAAATGAGCTCGCACCGCCTCACCAGTACACCGGTACTCACGTGTCGTTGCGCGTGTCGGTGTGCGTGTCGCGGCACACGTGCACACGTTGCAAATGAGCTCGCACCGCCTCACCAGTACACCGGTACTCACGTGTCGTTGCGCGTGTCGGTGTGCGTGTCGCGGCACACGTGCACACGTTGCAAATGAGCTCGCACCGCCTCACCAGTACACCGGTACTCACGTGTCGTTGCGCGTGTCGGTGTGCGTGTCGCGGCACACGTGCACACGTTGCAAATGAGCTCGCACCGCCTCACCAGTACACCGGTACTCACGTGTCGTTGCGCGTGTCGGTGTGCGTGTCGCGGCACACGTGCACACGTTGCAAATGAGCTCGCACCGCCTCACCAGTACACCGGTACTCACGTGTCGTTGCGCGTGTCGGTGTGCGTGTCGCGGCACACGTGCACACGTTGCAAATGAGCTCGCACCGCCTCACCAGTACACCGGTACTCACGTGTCGTTGCGCGTGTCGGTGTGCGTGTCGCGGCACACGTGCACACGTTGCAAATGAGCTCGCACCGCCTCACCAATACACCGGTACTTACGTGTCGTTGCGCGTGTCGGTGTGCGTGTCGTGGCACAGGTCGAGGTCGCGGCACACGTGCACACGATGCAAATGAGCTCGCACCGACTCACCAATACACCGGTACTTACGTGTCGTTGCGCGTGTCGGTGTGCGTGTCGCGGCACAGGTCGAGGTCGCGGCACACGTTGCACACGTTGCAGATGAGCTCGGGCAGCACACACGAAGCGCACGGCTCGCGCCACTGTGCCGCCTCGCTGAACTCGCCCACGCCGATCAGACGCAACAAGTTTCTGCGCAGTAGCGTCACCTGCGAGTTGTAAACATTAGTAAAATAGAATAGAATACAATCATTTTAATTCAATATAGATAACAACAATACTTATTGAAAGTCATTTAAGATTTACCCCTGATTCGGAAAAAAAGTCTGTCCTGGAAAGAACCAGCAAGAAATTCCGAGCGGAACTGTTTTTTAAACATTAATCTGTTGAGACACTGTCCAACACATCGGATTAGCACATGCCACATTTGTAGGCCCCTCAGAACCATAGATAAGAGTGCTCAAAATAACTCTTTTTTTAAATGTTATTTATAACAACTAAAATTCTAAAATTTTTATTAGAATTAGTCTCGTTACAAAATTCCGAGAATTTAGATTATACGAGAAATAAATTAAGAAAATTTACTTAAAATGACGACCTTCGGCCATTACGCCACTTTACAGTTCGAACTTCGCAGTTCGATGTAGTACTTGACAAACCCGTGTCGATGGCGCTGTTACAGAATTATTTCTATTTGTTTTACCAAAGGAGACAATCGATTTTGGGTCCACTAGAAATTTATTATAGCAAAGGGCCTAGGTTTTATGAAAATCTAACCGGAATCATGAAATCTGAAAAAAAAAAGTTGTTTTGATATTTGTGTTCTGGCTAATGTAATATGAAAAAAATGCGTGTAACGAAGAACGAACTACTAAAAGGATTTTCCATCAATCTTAAAATACCTATAAATGCAAACTTTATTTAATACTATTAATTATTGACCAGTGCACTATTTTAACTTAAAATACCGATGAAAAATACTAGACAAACACACTTTTAGTATGTTTTTAGGTTATTGTGATATTCATATTTTAATTGTTAATTTCTCAGTATTCCCGTTAGATGCGGTAAAACTAATATTAATATTATAATATTTAAATTATAAAGAATAAATCGACATGTATATCATTAAGTTACGCCACAATTTGTGGTGGGCCCATTATCCATACAAGAAGAAATTGTATGCTTTCTACCTTAAAGTTGCCAATGTATTTGAAAACCTATAAAATGGGAATATTCACCTATTGATTTTGTATATTTTTTAAAGGATAAGGGTAACAAACGAGCACACAGTCCATCAGATGGTAAATGGTTGCTGCGGCCCATATGCATCTACATCTATCCTCGATTACAAATCAAAATGCAGATGCGTTGTCACCCGTGAGGACTAAGATGAAATGCCTCATTTCCAGTAAAAAGGGTCTCCGATTCTCTACACTCACCATACGAAACACAGGAGTGTTAAGCTGCTATTTTACGCTGGTAATCTTCTACTGATTTTAAAATATTATGTTGTTTTTCTGTAAAAATAATTCTTTAACATCGCTATCTACACGGTTTGTCAAGTACTAGACCCATCTATGGTCAATGGTCGAATGGTTAACACGTACTTGTGAATGTTTTTCGGTATTTGGTTACTTTTCCTTAATTTCGTTAATTTTGTGGTGGTGGATTTCTTCTGTTGTAAGTAGACAAAGTTTATAAGATATAGTTAAATCTAATAATATACTCAATTATGGGTGACGAAACGGGGTCTCCTCGTGAGAAACCCCCTGACCCTCCTGATGAAGACATGTGTCTTGGATTAAATGACAATAAAGATGGTGACCGCGGTAAAAAAAGACACGCTGAGACTCGAGCATTTGATCCAGTATTATATTTAAAAAAAAAACCTATAGTTGATTTGACAGCTTCAGTAAATACCATATATTATAAATATCCCTGCCTAGAGCAAAACTTTAGAATGTATGGGCCAAATGATCAAGGCCCTTTTATTGTCTACATCTCCCGTACCTCTTCAGATCCTAGAATAGGGCTATCACTTCGACCAATTAAAATAGGTTTATGCTTGTCAAAAAATAATATAGAAAACAATAAAAGAGGGGGAGCCAAAAGCGTCGGCATAAATCGTATCTCTACTGAATTCTGCTCAGCAGATGAGGTTAATAAATTCCTTAATAATCCAATGCTTGCAAAAGAAAAATTGATTGCATCTATTCTATCTTATAATGTTTTCCGAATGGGTGTCATCCGCGGTGTTCCTGTGGATTTGTCAATGAAAGAACTAGCAGAAGCTTTAGAAGTTAAATCCTAAAAGCTCGGCGTCTTCAGAGAAAGACTTTTGCTGAAAGGTCATCATCCCCGATATGGGACATTTAAAGGTCAGATACTCCCCAAATATGTATATGCATTTTTCACATCCCTTGCAGTTGAAACTTATCAACTCTTCACCATACAGTGCAAACAGTGTTGTCTATTTGGCCACGTAGCAGATCAATGCCGCTCAAAACCACGCTGCTTCCGATGTGTCCAAGAGCATACTGAAGCAAGCTGTTCTATTTCTGAAAGTGAATCCACTTGTCTGTTATGCGCAAAAAATCTAGAATCTTTGCTAATATTAGTTGTAAACAACTTCTATTGGACTAATAAAAGCTGGCCTCTATTCTTAAATCTCTAAATAGATTAAAAAATATTGGTTATCCTTGTATAACATCCCTAATCCTACCCTATTTTGAAACCAGTTATGAAGCTCTATTACTAAGTCCTAAGCTCACACTGAATTTAAACATTAATAAAAATTCCCCAACTGCAAACAGTACTTTCTACAGCCTTTTGTAGCAAAAAAGACCTACAGACCACCTTTTCTTCAATTGTCAAAATCACCCAATTTCTTTATATGACATCCTACCAAAAACAATCCCTCGACCAGTGAATATTAATTCCCTCTTAACTATCCCTGATTCCATATATGTCAATATCATCTCAAAATATATTCAAATGTTTAATATTAAACTCTAATTATTGTGTACTAACTTTAGCTTAACCTAATTCTCTATTCCCTGCTCAGGCTAATCCCCTCCTATAACTAGTTGTTTGTTCTATATTGTGATGTCCACAATTCGTGTATTTAGTTGTTTTGTTTTTATCCACATTTTTACCTAATAGCCGCCAACTCTTTTCCCCTCGAGAAGCCTCAAGACAAGGTATGACAGACCAAAGACCGGACATTGGCAGAATTATTGTGACCTAACCACAATACCAAGGGCCATATTGATAGAAAGAAAGTACTACATCGACCTGCGCAGCCGACGTAGTTTTCCGCGAATTTAATAAAATAGCGCTGTTATTAATATCGCATAGGTTTTATGCATTAGTTGAAAGGGCCTGGTTTCAGAATTTAAAAAAAAAATTATTGACCTTGGCCTGACCACAAGTCTGACGGAGGTGGTGCCGATATAATGTCGGGATCTGAGAGGTTTACAATATAATATTTTGTACAATTAAGTTTGAAAACATTTAGATACAGTATGGTAGCGATTACCTCATTCCCAGGGCTTATCAACCATGTACTCTTTATAGTTAGTAACCCTTATCAAACATTTTTTGCATAATAAAAATTTTAAACTGTTTAATAGATAGATCCTGCATATTTTCTGGGACTTCGTTGTAAAACCATACCACATTGCCCCATAAAGAAATTGCTGACTCCTTGAGAGTCGAGTAACTGGTATAACTAGCTTGTGCTTTTTCCTAGTATTTACAGAATGTACATCACTATTTTTAATAAAACTATTTTTGGTTTTTGTGTACATACAAAAAATAATCGTGAATATACTGAGAGGCCAAAGTTTATATATTTATTACTTTCTATAATTTTTTTTTAAAGTATTCTGAAAAACAAACATCGTTTCAATGTGAGTCACACTGCCCATACAAGATTTCATATTACATTATGCTATGGAAATAACTAAAATAAACTAATCTAGCTGTTTCAACACTAAGTTTGCTAGCTAGTTTAGATATATATGGGGGCCCCATTGGAGCTTCGCATCAACTGTAATTTCAAGAAAAACTGTGGATTCAACAAGACTCAGCTCCTTCCCGTTTAAAAACACACTGGTATTCATCGTTTTAACATGATGTTGAAAATCTAAAACATTTAGTTTTATTACCGTTTAAAAGCAAATTGTTAACGTTAAACCTATACTACTTTTGATATAGCATAATTCGTCATATTTTAATAATTGCCGCTTAAGACGGAAAATAAACGAATTATAATCAGCAAATAAAACTAATAATCATGTTTACTTCCTACCAAGTAAGGTAAGTCATTAATATAAACTAAAAACAGAAAGGGGCCAAGAATTGAGCCCTGAGGAACACCCATAGGTACTACCGATCCCAAAGACTACTCCCATTAATATTAACTGTTTGCGTTATATTATTTAAATATAATGTAATACGTTTAAGCGCTATGTTTTTTTTTACACCATAATGATGTAGCCTCCTGATTAATCTCATGGTGAACGGTGTTGAAAGCTTGGAAAGATCACTAACTATTTTTATTTTATTTTATAGGATAGGGTGACAAACGAGCACACAGTCCACCTGATGGTAAGACGGCCATTACACGCCTAGGCAAGCGTCAATCAGTTGGATCAATCATGATTGATGTTTGAATGATAGAATAATTTCCACATTACACGCTCATGCTGACTGATGTAAGTCAAACCCAAATTTTCGGAGGGAAAGGACCTACCTATAAACTAAGCTCATTTTCGATTCACCATTTAACTTTAATTTAATATCTTGAAAAGTAAAAGAAAAAAAAAACGAATAGGAAAAATTGTAATATTTAATATCATTTTACCCATTTTAATTTAACGCGCGCAAATGTTCGACCTCTTCGAGCGCATAATCGATACGCGGCTTTATTTGAAACGCATTTATAGATGAAAAATAAGTTTACCTTTTATATTTATTCGTATAGGGTGGATGTCCCTATTACCAGCCTTTTAATGCCAATTTAAAATTTTTTTTGTATACCTAATGCCAGCATAGCATAGGGCTATGCCTTTTGAGTTTTTGGTAGGTACCTATTGTAGGTAAGTTTTAGGGGTACTGAAATAAATTCATAACAACTTTTAATTTTAAATCATGCATGTCACAAGCATGAAATATGTATTAAGATAGACGACAACAATTATTTTATTTTAATGTTTTACTTCTTACCTTTCTGTGGTATCTTTACCAGTTCCATTTTTATTTTAACACTAAACAATTAATTAAAACAAAATTAGAATAAAAATTATGTATTATAGTATTATGTATATGTAATATAGTATGTATTTATAGTTAAGACTACTAGAAATCTTATTTACGAAGTGAAAAGGCGGAAAGGCTGGAATTAGGGGCGTGGCTGGTATTAGGGGCATCCACCCTACACGGGGTGCTGTCTAAGCGTTGACGTGACTGATAGTTGATTGACGTAAAAATCAAAATATCCAAATATTTGTCGATCAATTTCATGCAACCGTCAATCACCGCATTACACGGTAGGTTATTCGTCAATCACAACCATGATTGTTGTAAAACTGACAGCATAACTTACCGTGTAATGTTAACCGTTGTCACCAGTGAGGACTAAGATGGAATGCCTCTTTTCCAGTAAAAAGGGTCTGCGGTTCTCTACAATCAGCATACGAAGCACAGCAGCATTAAGCTGCTATTTTAGGCTGTTATTCTGTGAGAGCGTGGTTCTCTCCGGTTGAGCCGACCGATTCGTGGTACACAGCTTATACGATTGACATAGCTGCAGCATGGCCTTAAGTTTTTAACTTAAGTTTTTTTTTGTTATAGTTTTATAATGTAAATAAATGTTTATAATAAAGGTATAACTTTACTATGTTCAATTAAATCAGGAAACATACCAGATTTGATACTAGTATTAAAAATATATGTATACGTCTCACACCTGGGCACTGTCCATTTTTAAGAGCTAAGAAGTTCCAGCGCGTGTTGGTGAACTTCACATGTCTTTATACATTTTTATTTCACAGACATGCTGGCTTCTTCACTGCTGAGGAAGTGGTAAACTAGCACTTAAAATTGAAATTTATTGGCGCCGGCGGGGATCGAATTTAGAGTTGTTCGCGTATTGTCATTACTAGCTCTCTATCTTGACTGTCTATGTGATATAGATTGTTATGTTTTTAGCTCAATATAAGGCAGTTATTTCGATATATCAGAAAGACACTTCAATTTTATTGATACGTATAAATTAACAGGTTTATGTTTAGCAGATAACTAGTGAAGGGCTGTAATGAAGGTGATGATGTATACATTTAGAGATTAATGTAATCTAGAATAATAATAATAAAACGTATAGTTAGTTATATAGCACACAATGACCATTCTTAATAGCTTACTCTTAAGATTTTCGAGGATAATACCGTACAGTACTTATAATCTCGTCGATCGTGTTTTATTTGGGGACTTATAGAGTCAAATTATGATATGAGTGGCGTGTGCCAAACAGTATGCAATAAAGCGTCGCTCGAGTCACCGACCGTTTCGACCAAATAGCAGTGTTGCATTGGCAAGCTGTGCTATTCGGTGGGAAAAATAGGTGGTACACACCTAAATGAAATCCTAGGCAGAAAGGAGACAAAATTAAAAGTAAAACTGAAGTACTGTGTTTAATTTTACATTTAAAATTTTGCGGTCCGTATACATAATTGTTAGGCTACAGTTGTTCACATTTTTAAAAATATAAAATGGAGCAAACGAGCATGTGGTTCACCTGATGGTCAGTGACAACCGGAGCCCATGAATAACTGCTACTCCAGGGTAATTGTAGGTGTGCGTTGGCGGTGCAAAGAGGCTCCGTCCTTAAGATCCTTCGAAGTGGTATCGGTCGGGATTAATTATTATTATTTGTTTTGAGTAATCGTGTCGTATCGTTGGCTGCGCTATACCTGTTCCTCCAGCGCAGCGTCGAGCGACAGCACCTTGCAGACCGCGTTCACGAACAGCAGCGCGGGCGTGGCGCCGGCCCCGAACGCGTCAGCCCGGAGGCCCGGCTGCGCCTCGATGTCACCCGCCCGAAGCGTGGGCATACGCGTGTTTATCTTCTCCGTCACTCTGTACGGTATTCAAATGTTAGTTCACACTATTTCCGACTTATTACACAAAGTTACATCGTGACGTAGAAGAATGAGAAATAGTAGAGTAGAAGTAAGAATATCCACCACCCCATATATTTCCGTGGATGTGGCAAAAGGCGACAGAGGAAAACAAACCAGGAAATGGGCAGCAGCGTCTTCCTAATAACAGCTACAGAATAAAATAAACGAATTACTAGCGTCTATTAAAATGTAGCGTCAGTTAAAATAAATAATATTTATTTCACCGCAAAATAATGTTACGAGCTTGAGGTTCGAAACAATTAAAACTGCCGATTGAATTACCAAAATTGACACTTTAATTACACAACACTAATTACAATCTAAAATCACACTAATAATAAAACACAGTTCGCCGTTATTTCGCTTCGAAGTATTCTCTTGTATCGCCAATTCAATACTGCTCCGGTCGTGGTCTATACCGGCCTTATATAGGGCCTCAGATAGTTTCCAGAACCTTCTACTGTAGCGACATCTAGAATGTTCGAGTACATATCGGTCCCGAAATTTCTGGAAGGATCTCGACTCTCCTATTTCTGCTACTCGACACCAGAGGGCGCTAGTGTGACTAGTGTTGCCATGTACAAGACATTAATAGTGGCGCGTAACACTGCCCCCTCCTAAGACATGCTCGTCCCGAGCATTATTGGCCCCATAATAACGCGCCAGTCGATCCACATGGACAATCTTAGGAGTACCTCTGGCACCTTTCTGTATCCGGTAGGTTACATCATTGATCCTTGTCACAATCCGGTACGGTCCGTCCCATTTAGCTTGAAACTTAGGAGAATTCCCTTTGCTGCGAACTGGATTGTGTAACCACACTAGTGAACCTTCATCAAAGCCCTTGTTGTTCATTTTGCGGTCATACCGTGTTTTCATCTTCTCAGACGTTTGCTGGCCCGTCTGTCTGACTTGCTCATAAATGTCATTCATTTTGTTCCGCAAGTCATTTGCATAATCGGTTATACTGCGTGGGGCATCAGGTGGTATTCCGGTGATCAGGTCTGCAGGCAGCCGCAATTCTCTCCCAAAGTTTGCGAAAGCTGGTGTCACTGATGTACTTTCGTGAACAGCGCTTCAATATGACAACAAAAACGGTTGTATGTGCCTGTCCCAGTCTCGTTGCCGTTTTTCCACAACTTTTGCTAGGTACCTCTCCAATGTCTGATTAAATCTTTCTACCATTCCATCAGATTGTGGGTGGTAAGAAGTTGTTCGTGTTTTCTGAGTACCCATAACTCGGCAAGTTTCCTGGAATATTTGAGACTCAAAATTCCTTCCTTGATCGCTGTGAATCTCTAAAGGTACTCCAAAACGACAGAAGACTTCATGAACTAGTTTATCTGCAACTGTTGAAGCTTCTTGATTTGGAATGGCGAAGACTTCTGGCCACTTAGTGAAGTAATCCATCACTACCATGAAATACTTGTTACCACTTTCAGTTTCTGGAAACGGCCCCGCAACGTCAATGGCTATCCTCTCCCATGGTGCACCAACATTGTACAATTTCAATGCGCCTCTACTACGAATTTGAGGTCCCTTTACAGCCGCACAACTTGTACATTTGCGGCACCAGTCCTCGACATCGTCACGACAGTGGACCCAGTAAAACCGTTCTCGGATCTTCAGGAGAGTTCGTTTAACTCCCAGGTGGCCTCCTGAACAACCACTATGGTACAGCCGTAGAATATCCGGCACTTTAGCCTTAGGGACAACCATTTGCAAATGACACCTGTCTCCCCGACCATTTTCCCATTTACGGCACAGGACTCCATCCTGAATCAGCAAGCTGTCCCATTGGGCCCAATAGCTTTTCGTGGTCGAACTCATTGCTGAGACGTCGCTCCACTTGGGCTTAGGAGCACTGGCCTTAATCCATTCCAGAATCGGGCTTAATGTCCGAATCTTCCTGCTGTGCATGTTGTAGGCTGTCCTTCCACTCATTGCTGAGCTGGTCTGTCCTGAGCATTCTCACAGATACCACTTCCTTACCCTCTTGCCTAGTACAATGCTTGCAATCTTCAGGGCAAGGTCTTCTTGACAATGCATCTGCATTGCCATGAGATTTTCCGCTGCGATGTTCGATCACAAAGTCGTATTCCTGCAGTAGTTCTATCCATCTCGCAACTTGTCCTTCCGGATTTTTGAACTGCAATAGCCATTTCAGTGCAGCATGATCAGTTCGTAAGTGGAATTTCCGCCCTAGAAGATATTTGCTAAAATGCTGCAAGGACTTTACCACAGCAAGCAATTCCCGTCTCGTGACACAATAGTTCCTTTCCGGCTTTGACAACGACTTGCTGAAGTACGCTATCACAATCTCTTGATCACCATTCCGTTGAGAAAACACACCGCCAAGTCCTATATCACTTGCGTCTGTGTCAACTATGAATTCCTTGCCCGCATCAGGGTACCCCAAAATAGGTGTTTTGCACAGGCGGTTCTTGAGCTCCTGGAATGCAATATCGCAACTTTCATCCCAGCAGAATTGTCGCTTCTCCTCGGTTAGCTTGTGCAGAGGTTTGGCTATATCTGCAAAGTTCTTCACAAATCGCCGATAATAAGAGCACAAACCCAAAAATGCTCTAACCTGTGTCTTGTCTTTTGGGACCGGCCACTCCTTGACAGCAGCAATTTTTTCTGGATCCGTGCGGATACCTTCTTCCGACACTACATACCCCAAAAAACTAACTTGCCGTTCGAATAGTGAGCACTTCTTTGGACTCAACTTGAGGTTGGCACTCTGGATCTTCATGAGCACGCGTTCCAGGTTTTGAAGGTGTTCCTCAAACGTACAGCCTACGATGATGATGTCATCCAAATAGACCAGACAAGCATCTCCAATTAGCCCGGTAAGTACAAGCTCCATCAACTTTTCAAACGTTGCTGGAGCATTGCACAATCCAAACGGCATGACTTTGAATTGCCACAGACCCTTTCCTGTGGAGAATGCAGTTTTCTCCTTGTCCTTAGGGTCAATTTCAACCTGCCAGTAGCCACTTTTCAGATCTAGCGTACTAAACCACTTTACGCCTGTAAGCATGTCCAGCGTGTCATCAATTCTTGGCAAGGGATAGCTGTCCTTCTTTGTAACGTCGTTCAGGCGGCGATAGTCAACACAAAACCGCATGCTGCCGTCCTTCTTCTTTACCAGCACCACAGGTGAACACCATGGACTAGATGAAGGTTCAATAACACCATCCTTCACCATTCCCTCAATCATGGTTTCCACTTCCTTTTCACGTGCTACAGGCAATCTTCTTGGCCGCTGACGAATAGGCAATTCTTGTCCTGTGTTTATTTTGTGTTGAACTAAGCCAGTCTTTCCTATGTCAGCTTCGTTTGACGAGAAAACATTGGCGTACTTGAGTAACAACTTCTTCGCCTTGACCATTTCATTCGGGGAAAGAACGCTGCGACAGTCTTCTAAAAGTGTGGTCACTATCGTTTGTCCATCCTTGCTGGGGGTCCCGGTCGATAGATATTCGCATCGACGCAACCAATCCACTTCCTCACTAGTACCAACCAATGTGCCTTTTTCTATAATCTGTTCCTGATCACAAAGGTTCAACACACGTACTCCTGAGATGTCGGTGGTTCTGACCAAGGTTCGAGCCACTTTCCATGGAAGGTCATTGTCTACCCTTTCCACGAGTACACAACGATGAGCTTGCCCAGGACTCCGAGGAAGACTAACCGGCACAATCGTTTCCGATCTCGGCGGAAGAACAATCTTCTTAAGGCTGTACACATTCCCTGGTAACGCCCCTTCCACGAAAAGTTCTTCTTGTCCACATTTCAAAACACCTTGCTTAACGTCGATCTCACAACAATTCTTCCTCATAAAGTCTAGGCCCAGGATGCAGTCGTCCATTATATCAGCCACGATGACATTATGCAGGTAGATCATGTTGCCTAGCTTCAACTCCATCTCCTTCTCTCCACGGACGGGTATGCGCTGACCGGTGGCTGTCACCAAATTAATGCGTTCCCGGTTGTATGCGGAGTCCCCAAGGAACCGACTTATAAGTTGGGAACTGACAACCGTGCGAGAGGCTCCAGTGTCTATGGTCAGTTTACACGGCGTTCCGTTGACTTCGCCCTTGATGATTAGGCTGTTCCCATCATGGGTTTGTGAGATCGAAATCCTTGGGGCTCTTTTAACATCAGCCAGCACCCGCCCCGCAGTCCTGGCTTTTACTCGTTTCCCTGCTGCTGCTGGCCGGTGCTATTATCCGCACTACCCTCTCGAGATCGATCACCTTCCCTTTCTACAGTTCGTTTAGGGCAGCTGGATCGAAGATGGCCCCTTTCTCCACAGCCGTAGCACCTAGGGCTGTAGCTTTTATTGCGGTCCTGAACTTTAGCTGCTGCAACCTCCCTGACGCGGTGGGAACAATGATCTTGCCGCACGGCTTCCACCTCCAGTGCATGGGTCAAGGCTTCCTTAAGCGTCTCGTGGTGCCCGAGCCTCACAGCAGCTCTGACTTCAAGGTCGCGGATGCCGTCGATGAATGTCTGCACCATGTTCTCTACAATAAGCGCAGGTACAGACTGGTACGCTTTTCGAACCAGCTTCTCCACCTCAAGGGCCCACTGCTGCAGGTTTTCGTTACTGCGTTGCACGCGATCTTTGAGCTGCGCACGAAAGACGTGTTCCAGGTGAGCGTCGCCATATCTCGCCTCCAATGCCTCAAGGAGCTGCTCGTAAGTCACTTCCTTACCGAGAGCTTCCAGAACAGTTAATGCCTGGTCGCGCAGGCCTAGGGTGAGAGCAGTCATGGCCTGACTTTTATTCCAGCCGTTCGCTTTCATGACAGCCTCGAACTGGATTTTATAGGCCGACCAGGAAGAAGTCCCGTCGAACGGTGGCACTTTGAATCCACGTAGCGAAGGTGTTGTAGCTATCACGGGAGCTGTAACTCCATCCCCAAGTTTGAGGTCGTCCAGCGTTTTCTTCACATCAGCCATCACGTTGTCAACCCGATTGTTCACTTGGTCGATTCGGGTTTCAGCTTCCGACAGGCGGTTGTCATGTTGAGCAACCCTATCCTTCACCTCCTTTATCTCTTTCCCGAAGGTAGCGTGAAGGTCCTTCCTGAGGAGCATCTGTTCTTCCATACCGCGCTGCAGCTGCTCTTCCAGCCGACGGGTCTGTTCCTCCTGTCGGCGGGCCTGTTCCTCCTGTCGGCGGGCCTGTTCCTCCTGTCGGCGAGCCTGATCCTGCAGCATCATCATCAGAGCACCTAAGTCAGGTGCTGTAGATGCAGGAGCTGATGACGGGCCGGCCTCCGTTGTCGGCAGCTGGCCCTCCGACGTCTGTGACGTTGCACCACCAAATCGTCTCTGGTCCGTCTCCAGCTGGCGTTGACTTCGGGTACGGATACCCTCCATGTCGTCCTTTGGTAAAATCGGCATGATTTGATCCCACTTCTGACACCAATTGTTACGAGCTTGAGGTTCGAAACAATTAAAACTGCCGATTGAATTACCAAAATTGACACTTTAATTACACAACACTAATTACAATCTAAAATCACACTAATAATAAAACACAGTTCGCCGTTATTTCGCTTCGAAGTATTCTCTTGTATCGCCAATTCAATACTGCTCCGGTCGTGGTCTATACCGGCCTTATATAGGGCCTCAGATAGTTTCCAGAACCTTCTACTGTAGCGACATCTAGAATGTTCGAGTACATATCGGTCCCGAAATTTCTGGAAGGATCTCGACTCTCCTATTTCTGCTACTCGACACGAGAGGGCGCTAGTGTGACTAGTGTTGCCATGTACAAGACATGAATAGTGGCGCGTAACAATAAAAAGTGCGACGGAGATGGAAATTATTCCATCTCGCTTCCTTATAGCCACTAAGGCCGCGTACACTACATCAAAAAGGGTCGTGACAGAAAATCTTACACTTTTTCTCGCCTAGACCCCCTCTACCGAAATCGTACTGTCCGATAAGGAACTTCGTTCCAAAACAGCAGTTGGTAACCCACAAACTATGATAATATCCCCCCTTTGAAGCGATCTGGGAAGACCTATGTTCAACGCTGGACTTTTTTACACTGGTAAGATAACAAAAAGTAATTTATAATTAATTTAAGCTCAAACTAAAATCTGTTTTAAAACAACAACAACTTTGCTGTATTTCGTATGGTAAGTCTAGAGAACCGGAGACACTACCCCTTAAATGGTAGTTTTTTTTTATAGTATAGGATGACAAACGAGCACACAGTCCACCTAATGGTAAGTAGTTGCTGTGACCCATAGACATCTACATCTATCCTCAATAAAAAATCAAAATGCAGATGCGTTGCCACCAATAAGAACTAAGATGAAATGCCTCTTTTCCAGTAAAAAGGATCTCTAGTTCTCTACACTCACCATACGAAACACAGCAGTATTAAGCTGCTAATTTACGTTTGTATTCTATGACAGCATGGTCCTTGCCCGGTCGAGCCGACCTATTCGTGCTATAACTATATTACTTAATATAGTTGCAGCATGACTCTACCACGTATAAAATTATTAATAAGATGGTGTAGCCCGTAGACACCTTATCTTTAATTAATAATCAAGATGTAGATGCTTTGGTACCACGTGAGAACTGGTAACTAAGTAATATCTTACGTAAGATATTACTTAGTTACCAGTAGTGAAAAGGTACTAAGGTCAACCGGGGCTAAGGCGTCTTAGGGGTTAAGGCGTCACATTCAAATATCATATGAAATACGAATTTAAGAACTACTCACGCCATCTTTTAAACATATTTAGCACCAGACTAAAATATTTAATTAGTAGATGTCGATACTGGCCTCATTTTTGTTTAAATTTTCGCCATCTTGAATATGTCACTTCACTTCGAAGCTCGCGTTAGTGATATGTGGTTATTGAATCCCCTTAAATCTCAGTGTTTTCTAGACTATCGGTGTTTTTTACCTGTAAGTACCTTTTATTCTGAAATGTTTTACGGTTTGTTTTAATTATTTTTAGTAAAGGCCTAAAGATTAATTGTCCACGTGCAGTTAAAATATTTTAGGTTATGTTTCTTCATCGGGGCTATCGCGTCTGCCTTATTGGGGTGATTGCGTCTATTGTAACGCAATAGCCCCATTGTATGAGGTCCTAAACCTTTTTATTTTAAGATAACAATAATGCAATAATTGATCTAAATACATATACACTAAAATCATTTTTTTAAATATAGTTATACCCTACTTATATATGGATGGATGAATATATTCATGTTTGTTACCCTTTCACGCCTAAACGAAAGAACAGATTTTGATGAAATTTGGTATGGAGATAGATTAGACCCTGGATTAATAAATACATAATAGGCTTTTAACAGACTTTGGAACAAGTAGGTGGTTTCTCGCGAGTGAAACGGAATTACTTTAAATATTACAAACAAAATATATTGTTTGTAATATTTGAAGTTTTTTTTTTTTGGGTAATTTCACTGTTTATTTGACACATTTTTCTAGATGGTCTTTGTAATTAAACCTAAATTTTTCTTTTAGATTTTTTAAAATGGTTCGTTCATATAAAAGAAAAACAACACCAACTTACGATCTTGAAACCTTAAAGAAAGCAGTAGATGAAGTCAAAACTGGCAAAATAAATTCGTACCAAGCTGCAAAAAAGTATAACATTCCTCGTATGACTATATGTGATAGAGTAAATAACAAAAAAGGTATCGTAAAGGAGAGCCGAGGACCACCCACAGTGATTGACAGAGAAAATGAGCTCAAACTTGCAAATGGTTTACGGGTTATGGAAAAATATGAGTTCGGACTCACTTCCAAAGAAACGCTAGATTTAGTTGCCGTACACGTGAGTGAAAATAACTACAAAACACCATTCAAAAACAACAGACCCGGTTATGATTGGTTTGCTGCCTTCAAGAAGAGGCACAATTTGTCCTTAAAAAGACCTCAGGCGGTGGAAATGTCAAGAAAAGTGGCATGTGACCCTTTTATTGTTAATGAGTATTTTGATACTCTTGATGGAGTTTTGAGTGAACTTAATTTAAAAGGAAGACCTGATAAAATTTGGAACCTTGACGAGTCAAGTTTTGGAAAAGATCCCGAACGAACAAAAGTGGTTGGAGCCCGTGGATGTGCCAGTACACGCACAATCGCGTCATCTGGAAAAGATAATGTCACAATTTTGTTCACAGTCAACGCAATCGGTGACAAATTACCACCGTTGATTATACACAGAGGAAAAAATACGTGGGACCAATGGCTCTCAGATAAAGGATTTGAAAACACATCCTATGCTGCCACTAAAAATGGATGGATCGATGCAAAAGTATTTGAAAAGTACATGTTGAACACAGTGCTACCGCGTTTAAGTGAAGATCCACCCGCTTTATTAATATTTGATGGCCATTCTACCCATATCCAACTTAAAATTTTAGAAGAAGCACAAAAACGAGGCGTAACTATTATAAAATTACCATCACATGCAAGCCATCTTCTGCAGCCATTAGATTTATCAGTTTTTAAATCAATGAAAAACACTTGGGATGCAAAACTTGTGCATTGGCAACGGTTAAATGTGGGCACTAAATTGCCAAAAGATGAGTTTAGTCGCCTTCTTGGAGAAGTGTGGCGTGAATTAGACACAAAAATAATTAGAAATGGCTTTAAAAAAGGGGGCATATATCCATTTGACAGAAACGTAGTTGCAGACGAAAAATTTGATCCAGAATCATTGAAAAGGTTCAGGGAACATAAAACGATACCAAAACAGATTCAGACATTAAAAAAGTTAAGTTTGGCGGCCGTTACCCAAGAGTTGAGCATTAGCAAAAATCCCATAGCAGCGTCATCAAAATTAGTTTTGCCAAACCAGGAGATGAAATTTGATAAGTCTAATGATTCAAAGGTAATTAGAATTATTGAAAATAGAATTTTGGCTCCCTCGGAAAGAGTTTCTTTCGAAACTTTATTATTGCAGACAATAAAGAAAAGTGACTCGACAATAAAATTGAAAAAAACTAAAATTGCTAGGGGGTGTGAAATAATAACGCGAGAACAGTTTATAGAAAAAAAACGATACGAAGAAAAAATAAAGCAAGAAAAGGAAAGAACTGCCATAAAAATCCCCAAAACAAAAAATATAAAAAAAAATTGGACCAAAATCGAAAAAGAAATTGTATAAAATTACAACAACAAGATGAGACTGATGAAAGCAAAGATATTTAAAAAAACCTTGTAGTAAGAGCTTATCTAAGCAAAAACCTAATAAAAATGTTAAAAAGAAAGCTAAGAAACAAAAGAAGTGTTTTGATTATGACGAAGAATCTGAAAGTGAATTAGATATTAGTTTTGCTGAAGTTTTCGGTTCTGCTGAACTTTCTGATGAAGATTTTGATACCTATCGTGAAAACTTTTTAGCGGAAATAAAAAGTTATGATAACTTTCTTGAAGATTTGTTGCAAGCCACAACAGAAGAAAAAGAAAATGACAAATCTTACGTAAATAATGATGTAGACACTACAAATATTGAACAATTTGAACCGAATTTAAACAAAAAGAACCTAGAAGTTAGTGATTGTATACTAGTAAGATTCACAACAAAAAAGTCTGTGAAGTATTTTGTGGGGACCATCATTTCTATTAATGACAATAACATTCCTAACGTCAAATTTTTAAGAAAAATAAAAAATAGTAAATTTGTTTCCTTTCATTATCCAGACGTGGAGGATATATCAGAAGTAAAGAATGATGATGATATCATAATGTTCCTTGAAAAGCCTGATATATCTCGAAGAGGGCATATTACTTTCAAAGAAAATTTTAAAATGTATAACATTCAGTGATTGTCAAATTAATTTAGTAATTAAGAAGACCTGAGTGAGAGTGACAATATCTATAAAATTGCATGTGATCTCATTACCTGATTATTGTGATAACAATGATAATGAAACTAATATTAATTAATAATAATGTTTGTTAAGGTACTTCACACCTAGCGAATGTTACACAATTAAAGTCAAATCTTTACATACAACATTCAACATACAATAGGTATGTAAGATTACACTATTTAAAAAACTGATTATTAAGAATTTAGTAATGATGACAGTATTAACTAAATAAAACATCTCATACTTTTTTTGTATTCGCTTTTTTATTTTCTATTAGAACTCGTATTTTTATTATACACTATTTACCTAATTTCAATGTGTTTGATTTTTTTTTTCTATTTATAAATGCTAGGTGTATAAAAGTGGAACTTGTTTGCAAATTATGTCAATGGCAACTTTTTTTTCTCACAAGTAATGAGAAAAAAATCGTTTGATACCTCTGGAATTTAGGATGGGGCGAATGCGTCTACCACTTAAAGTATAAATTAGACGCCATAGCCCCAAATTTTTTTGTTCGACTTAATAGGAGAGACCAAGCCAAGAATATCGCTTATAAAATGATAACTAGCTATATCATGAGCGATCTAATATATTTTTTCGATTAATTGTGTTACGAAGGCTTCCTATTATGTGGTACTTGCTAAAGACGCCTTTGCCCCACCTGGGGCTTTTGCGTCTAAAAATCTCAACTTGTAAAGAATGGGTGTTTTCAAGCAAGGGTTTTAAAAATATCACGAAATAATATTTAAATATAAAATTTTATTAAATAATGTGTTATATGTTTTAATTCACATTGTTTTAAATTATACAACTAAATTAATATGATCAGTTAAAAATGCCGCTTAAAGTATCGTGACGCATTAGCCCCGGTTGACCTTATATACAAATCGCAGCAGTATTATGTTGTTATTTGAAGCTGGTGTTTTTTGAGAATCTTCCCGGTCTTTCATTTATCGTCCAGACGCATTCCTACTTTTTTAATATTATTTCAGTGGTATCATAAAGTCTATCATACCTAGCAGTAACTATACATGTAGTTGTAGAATATTAATACAATTACTATTACTAGTATTAATCCAATCATTGTTATTACAATAATTATTCAAGAAAGAGCAAAATGAAAAGTGTATTCTCACTGGAACAGTTTTTGTGAGATCTCTCCCGCAACTAAAGCAGCAAGTCTGTCTGGTTCAGTATACGCCGCACTGAGGAAGCCCGCCACTGCCACTGAAAACTGCTCGCGAACTGCACGAGGGAGGAACTTAGCCAAATTCCACTGCATTGTTACGGCACCCTGCAATATAATAAAAATAAAGAATTGGATGGTTTTCTCAATCACCAATTCAGTACAAAATCCTTTTGATGAATATTAAAATTCTCTTAACAGATTCTAACTGCTGTAACTGCTGAATGAACAAACAAATATTTCTAACTCACCTCTCTTAAATATCTTTAAGCCTGCTATCTAATAACAGACAGCCTCGTAATATGGTCGTTTGTCGCCCTCACGGTGATCAGCGATTGGTTGCGTGGTTGGAGGGTAGGCCGGCATTACGCGGCGGTTTGTTTTTAATTTTACAAACGGCTGCGTACGTCAGGTGGTGATTGGTCGCATGTGTTATCGCATGACGCAGTCGCTCACCACTTAAATAGGGAGCGGTTGCGTCAGCGGGCTGTATATATAGCAATTGTTTTGGCTCGCCCCTCATTTAACGGTCAGCCACCGCAGAGTCTACATCACCTGAAGATGCCTCGTGTATAGGCGAAACACGTGTCGTATTGTCGTCAGTGGTGTGTCTTTCCTTGCGTAGTGGTGTTGGGAGTAGTGGTGACGGTGATAGTGCACGCAATTGAAGGAGGGCGGAAGGTGCTCTTCAAACTAGGTAAGACATATCATTTTATTTTATCGAGCGGATGTACGCGAGGTAATTTTTACCAACTTTAATATAATGGATTTCTGCAAAGTAACGTCGGATTCTATTAATTAACTTGCCAGTGAGCCACATGCTCGTTTACCCCCTCTTCTATAAAAAAATATGCAGAAATCAAACAATAATAATGTAAGGTGTTTGTTCGCGCCAAACACATTCAAGGATTGACGCGAGAGGGCCCTCGGCGCGGTGCAGTCATACCGGTTTGACTTTCGGTCGTGCGAAAAACGCCCAAGGGCAGTCAGTCGTCTGTCAGGTGTGCTAACAATTGGCACGCTGCCAATTAAGCGCGGGAACTCGGAATAATTAAGCGCGGACGGTAAAAATACGGTCTAGGAATTTTGTGGCGCGTATCCCTACTGGAGAGCTTCCCCGGGACTTATTGGGTCCGACTCAGAATCTGTATAAGTGCATTCGACAATATTAGCTAGTGCGGCCTCTGTATTCTAGAACTGACTATTGCAACGCGAAACGGTAGTGACCTTTGACCCAGAAAATCCGTGCGCGTTTTGGGCGGTAACCTTATAACCAGCGATAGTTAGTGGCTTCTGTAAGTTAGTTAATCGTACGATAGAGTTAATTGACTGTCAACGTGACGAAAGAAGAAAGTGACGGTGGAAAACCTCGGAAGCCCCCTCAAGTTGGAGCGGTGTCGACGCTCGGGCTGCTGCCGACGGCCAAGGTCTAGGTTCAATCACCATCAGTCACACCCAGATACACATCACATCACTTATTTCCCTTTCACTACACAACCACATGTGACCTGACCGACTCCGGAGGGACCAGTCGCCTTGGATAGCGGTAAGTAAACTCCGCCTAATTCCTCTGCCGGTCGACTGGCCGTAGTATAGAACGCTCCCCCATATATTTTAGTGTAATTCGAGAGATTCCACGTGGCCACATTGAGGCCCGACCTACGTTTGCTCGGGAAGTCTTCTGCTCATGGGCCCCAGAGGATTGGATCCTTTAAGGGAGCAGCCGTAGGCCGTAACAGTGTTGGTCGTTACTTAAGCGGTAAGGGGTTGCGTCAGCGAGATATATAACTGGGTAGTTAATTGGCTCGCCACTCACTTAGTGGTCAGCAATCACAGAATCTATTTCTCCTGATGATGCTTCGTTTAGAGACGAAACAGGTGTCGTATTTGATAACCGTTAAAGATTTAACGGTGATGTATCTTTCTCCTAGTATAGTGAAGTTGGGAGTAGTGGTGACGTTGATAGTGCATGCAATTAAAAGATGCTGGAGGTGCTCTTAAAAATAGATAAGGCACATCATTTATATTTTATTTTTTATGCATATTATGTGTACTTGGTAGACCATTGAAGAAAAAAAATATACAGATTTTGAAAAAAGTACACATTTACAACAGATTTGACAGATCTTACGGTGACTTTTTCATATGCAAGTAAAGCCATCGTAAAAAAAAAACCACAATACGTCCTGAACTAAAAATAATTAGTAGGGCCTTAAGCAAGTTATTCTATTCAATAATCAAATGTAATTTTGTCATACCTCGTCCTCTGTTACTGTGTCTTCGCTCGCTGGCGGTGCTTGTGATGAGCCCACTTCCACTAACCCTTCAGGTAATTTGCCCTGCAGACGATATATTTACGTCTAAATGTATGAATACATAATAAGATGAATCTATGCGAAGAAAGTTTTGATAATTGTGATAGTAACAGCCAGATAGTATTTTAATAATGAGTTGATGATCCACCTGATGGCTCACACCAATAAAGTAAGATAGACGTATACTTCCGTACATTTTAAGTGAAGCCAAAACCGAACCCGAACCATGCGCAATTTATTGTAAGAACTTGAGACCAGCAACATGGTTTGGGCGCATACTGTGTGTTCAGCATCGAACTTTTACAGACCGATATAGGAAGAAGAAATCGTCACTTGAAATCTTTCTTTGCAAGTCAAAACCAGATAAGTGGATACCGCAGCACCTCGACACATAAAGCGAATTTAGACGAAAGTAGGTTACAAATGCGTCATGATCCTTGAGGACTGTGAATACCTCACAGCTTTTATTTCCATAAACTATACTGACTCAACAGTGGGTGTACTCGGCGAAGAGAGAACTCCTGATGAAATGATAGACAGAAAAATAACCCTACCAATAGTGTCCAAACGACAGTGAACGATGTGGCGTGACGAGGTTTGAAACATGGATGCTTACATTAGAATCTACACGGAAATCCGCATAATGCACACAAACAATAGTTTTTGACTGAAACTAAATTCAATTAAACCTTGAACTGACTTTTTTTATTCACAGAATACCAGCGTAAAATAGCAGCTTGATGCTGCTGTGTTTCTTATGATGAGTTTAGAGAACCGGAGACCCTTTTTACTGGAAAAGAGGCATTCTATCTTAGTCCTCACGACTGACAACGCATCTGCATTTTGATTCACAAACGAAGATAGATGTAGATGTCTATGGGTCACAGCAACCACTTACCATCAGGTGGACTGTGTGCTCGTTTGTCAGCCTTATTCTATAAAAAAAGAAGAAAAAACTCATTCTTTACATTCTATCAAGAGTACATTGCTGAACAAGTGCCCTTCTTAGATTGATTAATGGGGTGTTGCTATAGTTGCCACGATTGACAGGCAAGTTCACCTGTCTTTTATTATTTTCAGTTCATATGAAGAAGACGTTGTCCATCTCATGGTTCAGTTTCTCTCGTCGCCTCTTACAACATCCATGTGCCATAAGTGAATTTCCTTACGGTGCCACTACCCGGCGTAGGCTTGCTTTGATGTAAGTGGGTATTCAAAAGTATTACATAGTAACATTTCGTCTCACGACATTAATACCACGTCCCAGTAATAAAGAAACGCACACACGCACACACGCACACCAACTTTAACTCACTTGTATGCCGGCGTGGTTTGCCTCGTCTAACCACAGCAGGTAGGACCAGCACTGTTTGTACCGGATGTCGATGCCGTGGAACAGCTCCTTGTTCCTGATGCTCTGCACCACAAACTCCACATAGCCTATTAAAAGTAAGTAAGTCTCACACGCACAGTTCTCCTTTAATTAATGATAGGGTAAACATAACCTATTTAGCGATACGAAATAGCAGATCCAACGGTCCATTAATGTGGCATAAAGAAATCTATTGTACCCGTCACATGGTGGCATAAGAGGGTCCACCATCACGCCATTTCCTGTGGATGTCGTAAAAGGCGAATTATAGGAGCTGAATGTTGCTGTAGTTTTTTACGCACATTGATTTTTTTACGTAGACTTTATTCTGTACTTGGGTTTTACTTACATGAATTACACATAAACAAAAATCTAAACTCAAACCAATTTTCTTTAGGTCTTACAAGAACTTATTCCTTGCAGAATTCGAACCTGCAGCCCTACTCCACCCAAAATACCTGATGTAAAATACAATTACTTCTACATCACAATATCCCTCGATCTGATTGATACAGGGTATAAAGGCAAAAAGAAAAGAAATGTAATATCTGTAATATTTCTAGGCCGGAGAAGGGTCACGCTCACACAGAATACTAGCGTGAAATAGCTAGGAGCTATAACAGCATAAGGCTGCTGTTTTGTACGGTAAGTGTAGAGAACAGGAGATTTTTTACTGGTAACTGGGGATTCCTTCTAAGCACCTGCTTTTTGATTCCTCATCCATGAAGTGTAGGTGTCGATGAACCATAGATTAGATGGATTCTGTGCTCGCTTATCACTCTTACTTTTATAAAAAGATCTTTTTTACTTATACTTACTTTTACAAGGTTACACAATAATACTTAGTTTTATAAAGAGAATACAGTGTAGTGGCGGTGTAAGAATATCCACTACCCTATATCATTCCGTGGCGACAGAGGGAAACAAATCAAGAGATGGACAGCAGCATCTTCCTAAGAACAACAAAAACTAAAAAAAAAACTGCGGTTGCTAACCCAACTATAGCAAATATCCCCCTATAAGGCAATCTATGGGGGAGGTGTATGTTCGGCAGTGGACTTTAGTAGGCACTACGGGACATTCAGCGCAAATTGTAAAGCGCCTTACGTGCATCTTACTGTCTATACGTGTATCGTCCTGCCAAGGTTGTGCAAGATACGCAATGCAAAACTATAATGAGTAGGCTTGTCGGCAATTAATAATTATATCTTTTAATACTTCAATATAAATTATTACGAATAACTCGAAAAACTATTAGTCAGACCTTGATCAAATTTATATGGGACCACATGAGAAGCACCAGCTTTCAAATAAAAAAAAGACTCATCGAAATCAGTTCACCCAAAAACAAGTTATGAGGTAATGACATATGAAAAACAGAACATACGTAGAAAAGCTGAATGTATCGTATATTACTCACCAATGCCATCCATAACAGTGTTCTTTTTTGTGTTCAGTAGTATCTTGTTGAAATCCGCGTACACAATCGTAGATCCCAGTCGCTTGAACTCGGCCACCAGCATGAGGAACAATTTCTTCATCAGGTTGTACAATGTGCGACGTAGCGCAGGGTCGTATAGTAGTGCTGTCGGAGTTTTTAGCCACCTGTACAATTACGATAGACTTTAGTTTTTGAACACTTGTAAGTTGTAGCACTTATGGATTTTGTAAATTGGTCAATGTAGCAGGTTTCTACTCAAACATTGTCGCACACGACTGCTATATATATATATATATATATATATATATATATATATATATATATATATATATATACTAGCTGGCCAGGCAGACGTTGTACTGCCCTTAGCGGCGAACCTCTGCACTATAAAAATACTTAAATTTGCAATAAAAAATACTGAGTGTCACTTATCGGGATAAAAACTATCCTATCTCTCAAGTTGGACCAAACTGCACAGAGTGTGCAAAATTTCATTGAAAGCAGTTCAGTAGTTTAGGAGTTCATCGCGGACAAACAACGTGACACGTAATTTTTATATATCAGTCGTGTCTGTCTTGAGTCTAATGGCAGCTAAAGTCGATTCTTGTTGTATATGTACGTGAAGCGGGATTAGCTCCAGCATAGCCTATAAGGTTGCTGGTGGTGTAGTCCTTATGCAGCCTGTGGCAGTCATATATGCCAGTTTCTGGTAATGCTGAAGCTTCTTTATATTTTTTAATTATTATTGCACCAGAAAAAACTGCACTGATGGCAAATAAAGATTATTATTATTATTATTATTATCACACAAAACATTGATAATATTTTAAAAATCTTCATAAAAAATAGTTACATAATACCTAGAAAGCGTACACTGCGACCTCACCTTTTGCCGCTGGCTATTCACTACGGACCCGCGGACTTCGCTATGCGACAAGCTAATGGCTACATACAATGCGTGTTTCATGTGACATTCATAAACATCCTACGTAATACGCCAGTAATTTATTTATACTCAGGGTAAGGGGTATACTAACACTGCGCGATGCGTCTGTGTGTCTAGAAAATGTCAATGTGGGTGTTCTATAACAAGTTCTCACGCCACAGATTACTTAATAGTTTACAAAACAGATACATCACTCCCATACAAAAGCGAAAATACCTACGCTATAATAGCCTAAAAAATTTTAATAATAATATCTGCTGTTCGCAGCGAGAAGAAAATGTACCATAAGTATACGCATAAAGAGTCGAGATTGTGTTGACCGCCGTGCGACTCACGTGCAAACGCGTCATCGCACGAATGCGCTAGGGTTGTACCTATGATGATTATTGTAATAAAATGAATCTTGCGAAATAACCATATTTTTTTATTTGTCAATCAAATATGTTTAAGTTTTATAAAATGATTTATACATTTTTTTCCTTCTCCGAATTCTCGGTTATTAAATCTTATCGTTGAAAATATCCTAAATCTTACGCGATTTACAATTTTAATAAATAATCATGAGGAAAACAGGAGCAAAGCGGAGAAAAATCAATGGTTTGTAAAATTTGTAACACGCTGCTGCCAGGCCGATTCATTATGGCGTTGTCAAAATTATTTAAGACTTATTATATAATTTGGGTGTCCAGGTTGTCACTCAATTTATAAATCACAGCACTGTTATGCTGTTGTTTCGATGTAATCTTATAGTTAAGAAAAAAAATGACAATTTTTCATTTGTTTTTTTGACTCTGAAACGCATCCACTGCACAATAATTACGTGGTTACGGCATTTCGACGAGTAAGCGCGGGAAACGTGCGCGGTGCAATCGCTCAGGCGGGCGTGCGGCAGCCTAATGTCGGTTGTATCGTGGGCAATACGCAGAACGGTAGACATATAACGCAGGGCCTTGAGCGAGTGACGGAGGCCTGCCCACGCTTAAGATCTACGGTCTTAAGGCTTTCTTGTGTAACAATTTTTTATAGACCCATTAAATATAATATATTTAATATAAGGCCAAATATATTTCTCCTTTTGAACTCCGCCCCAGTCGAGTGAAACCTTTTCAACAATCTTGCACTAAAATGTTCATCTTACGAAAACTGATCCCTATTACTCGCAAAGGAATCTCGACATTTTTTTTATAATTTCAAGTTATAACAAAATATTAAAGTGTAGAGCTAAAAATATACTGTGTAGTGGCGGGCTAAGAGGCGGCAGCATGAAGATGAAACAGATGAGCAAGAAATAGCTCAAAATAATAACAACTGCGGTTGCCAGTAGGCTTGGGCAAAAAATATCTATATCGTCGTTATTTTAAATAGCGTTATATCGACATATCGATATTTATTTTAGAGTGTCGAATTCGTATCAATTTCGATATATTTTAAAATGTTGTATCGTTTTTTTCTTCGTCCAACCGTCAGTAAATAAAATTATGGACCTTATCTTTACATCATGCAAATGATGACGATATATCGATATTTATTACGCGATAAATATCGATACTGTTTAAAAATATAGATTTGATATATATATATCGATTTGTATGATATATATATTTTTTCCCCTTGCCCATCCCTAGTTGCCAGCCTGTGTGTTAAGCGTAGTAACTATGGCAAATATTTCTTCTATTAGGCAATCTATGGGGGGGGGGGGGGGGGGGCTATATGCTGCAGGGGATTTTTGTTAGGCTGTTATGATGATGAGAGCTAAACATATATAGAATATTGTCAACCATAGAAGTGTTATTGACCTGTAAAAGTGGGATATCTGATAATCGGCGAAGACGTTCTTGTAGAGTGTGACGTCGCGCAGCCACGACGCAATCATCGTACGCAGGATCTTGAAAGCAGCGCTGCATTGTGCTGTCTCGTCGTAATTCACAGATGGATTCGCCCCTAAAATTTCAAATAACTTTATGACTAAGATTTAATATTTATTTAAATATCATAAAATATACAATATTTATTGTGATGTTAATAAAAAAGAAACTAACGCTGGCTGCTTTTTCTCGATGAATGGCCCATATTGAACCTTTGAGCGGGAAAACAACTTTTTTTTTATAGAATAAGGGACAAAGGAGCACACAGTCCACCTGATGGTAAGTGGATGATGTGGCCCATAGACACCTACATTTATCCTCGATTAAGAATCTAGATGCAGGTGCTGTCACCACTAAGGACTAAGATGGAATGCCTTGGTTACAGTAAAAAAGGTCTACGGTTCTCTACACTCACCATATGAAACAAGGATTTTTATTTTTACGCTAGGATTCTATAAGAGCGTGGTCCTGCTCCTACCCCGGTGGAGGCGACCCATTCGTGTAAAAACCATATAGCTGCAGCGTGGTTATACTACGTATAAATTATCTCGGCGGCCATTGCGTCCTGTATGCCGTGCTCCAGCTGCAGGATGCGGTGCGACACTCACCGGCGGCCATGGCGTCCTGTATGCTGTGCTGCTGCGCGCCGAACGACGTGGCGACGCTGGTGCCCTCCAGCTGCAGGATGCGGTGCGACACTCACCGGCGGCCATGGCGTCCTGTATGCTGTGCTGCTGCGCGCCGAACGACGTGGCGACGCTGGTGCCCTCCAGCTGCAGGATGCGGTGCGACACTCACCGGCGGCCATGGCGTCCTGTATGCTGTGCTGCTGCGCGCCGAACGACGTGGCGACGCTGGTGCCCTCCAGCTGCAGGATGCGGTGCGACACTCACCGGCGGCCATGGCGTCCTGTATGCTGTGCTGCTGCGCGCCGAACGACGTGGCGACGCTGGTGCCCTCCAGCTGCAGGATGCGGTGCGACACTCACCGGCGGCCATGGCGTCCTGTATGCTGTGCTGCTGCGCGCCGAACGACGTGGCGACGCTGGTGCCCTCCAGCTGCAGGATGCGGTGCGACACTCACCGGCGGCCATGGCGTCCTGTATGCTGTGCTGCTGCGCGCCGAACGACGTGGCGACGCTGGTGCCCTCCAGCTGCAGGATGCGGTGCGACACTCACCGGCGGCCATGGCGTCCTGTATGCTGTGCTGCTGCGCGCCGAACGACGTGGCGACGCTGGTGCCCTCCAGCTGCAGGATGCGGTGCGACACTCACCGGCGGCCATGGCGTCCTGTATGCTGTGCTGCTGCGCGCCGAACGACGTGGCGACGCTGGTGCCCTCCAGCTGCAGGATGCGGTGCGACACTCACCGGCGGCCATGGCGTCCTGTATGCTGTGCTGCTGCGCGCCGAACGACGTGGCGACGCTGGTGCCCTCCAGCTGCAGGATGCGGTGCGACACTCACCGGCGGCCATGGCGTCCTGTATGCTGTGCTGCTGCGCGCCGAACGACGTGGCGACGCTGGTGCCCTCCAGCTGCAGGATGCGGTGCGACACTCACCGGCGGCCATGGCGTCCTGTATGCTGTGCTGCTGCGCGCCGAACGACGTGGCGACGCTGGTGCCCTCCAGCTGCAGGATGCGGTGCGACACTCACCGGCGGCCATGGCGTCCTGTATGCTGTGCTGCTGCGCGCCGAACGACGTGGCGACGCTGGTGCCCTCCAGCTGCAGGATGCGGTGCGACACTCACCGGCGGCCATGGCGTCCTGTATGCTGTGCTGCTGCGCGCCGAACGACGTGGCGACGCTGGTGCCCTCCAGCTGCAGGATGCGGTGCGACACTCACCGGCGGCCATGGCGTCCTGTATGCTGTGCTGCTGCGCGCCGAACGACGTGGCGACGCTGGTGCCCTCCAGCTGCAGGATGTGGTGCGCCTGCAGCAGCGCACACACGCTCAGCGCGTCGTTCTCCAGCTCCACGCACACGCCGTACGCACCGCTCGCGTTGTGCGTGCATCCGGACATCTCTTCCACTTCGCTTACCAGCCTATATAGGACATCCATTAAAAAAATATAATTTACATGTGCACTTAGACTAACAAAGAAAGATATTAATTTTTTAAAAATAAAACGTTACCCCCACACTAGGATTTTCTCCTGTGTCGTGGAGGCAGTTTACAAACATAAATTGCACAAGGACAAACATCCAGACCCGGAACAATTATTTGTAGGCCATACAAATACTTGTTCCGTGCGGGATTCGAACCCGCGGCCCCCAGCGCAACAACTGATTGCTAAGCCACTGCGCCACGGAGCCGTCTAAATTTATTTTATTTATTTGCTTTTAGTATATTATATGAGATATTATTAAAAATTATGTATTATAATTTGCAATTTGTGTAGTATTTTTCTTTGACATATTTTGCTTTATAAAAATTAACCTATTCAAATTACGAGTAATTATTACCTATTGTTATTGCTGAGAAACAATCTGTTTCGTGATAAATTAATTTTATTTTTTATAAATAATAGAAAATTATACAAAATACTACAAACATTTTAAATGAGGTGTTTTTATGATGGCCAAATGGCCACACCAGTCGCACCTTAACCTACTGTCGCTGTTAGAATAGAATAGAATAATTTTTTATTCAATATACATTACATGTGTAATTCTTATTGAAAGTCATTTCTTACTTTACCACTGGTTCGAAAAAAAACCTCTGTCCTGGGAAGAACCAGCAAGAAACCCAGCGGGACTTTTTAAAAAAATAAATTTTACAATATAAATGATTACTAACTATTTACAAAATTTATTTTAGAAACTGCTTGGAAGCGACCACCTCATTCCCAGGGGTTATTATCAACCATGTATTCATTTATACTATAATAACCCTTTTTATACAGTTTCAGCCTAACAAAACATTTAAACTTGGTAATAGAGAGAGCCTGTACACTTTCCGGGACCTTGTTGTAATAGCGTATATATTGCCCCAAGAATGAATTACTGACTCTGTAGAGTCGAGAAAGTCGCATCACTAGCTTGTGTTTGTTCCTAGTTTTTACAGAATGTATATCACTTTTTTTACTAAAACTACCTTTGTTTTTGTGAACATACATTAAATTTTCGTAAATATACTGAGAGGCCAAAGTTAATATATTTATTTCTTTAAATTTATCTCTAAGAGACTCTCGGCTTTAGATTGTAAATAGCTCTAATGGCCTTCTTCTGTAAAACAAAAATTATCATAACACAATTGCAATGTTGTATTAGACGCATCGACTGAATATAATTCAGGCTGCTAGTTGAACGGTGCCCTTTAGTAAAAAGGCTGGACTGTTAACTGAAAGGCTAATTAAACTAGTTGACTGCAACACATACATAACACTGTGCACATTTAAAGTGAGGAAGAAATCATGCACAGCTTATTGATAAGTACCGCACGGACACATCATTCTTCTTCGTTCTTTATTATTATACTTACTTACTTTACTCACTACTTATACTTTATATATTTTTATTTAGCCGATAAAAGTCATGAATTTATATTACATGTTACATGCTTTATAAATATTATTTGATGATTACATGTGAGTATGTAGTACCAGTTTAGAAATAGCTAAGGAAAAACTAAATCTATTTTATTGACGTACCTATTGTCATCTATCTCTCGGCCACCCAAATCTGGTCTCTCTGAATTAGAACACCACAACACAAAGTTATGCTTGATCAAGTGCCGCGCATAGAATAGATCTGCTCCAAATAATGTCGGATCTGATGGCATATTACCCAATGGCACGTGGAAGTATCTGCATAAATAGAACAAGTGGTGAAATAAAAAATTTTTACAAGCGACTTCAATATAAATAAACTGAGAAAATAATCGATATAGTCGAAGTCAATTAAACACACATTATTATTTTTTTTTATAGGAGAGGGGGCAAACTAGCATGCGGCTCAGCTGATGGTAAGTGACTACCGCAGCCCATGAACAACTGCAACACCAGGGGAACCAGGGGAATTGCAGATGCGTTGCCGGCCTTTTAAAAAGGAGTAAGCTCTTTTCTTGAAGGTCCCTAAGGATAACTCAAGAACTACTGATCATATCTTGATCAATTATATTTATAACTTAATTTATATAGGACCGCATGAGAAGCACTAGCTTTCAAATAAAAAAAAATCATTAAAATCGGTTGACTTAGAAAAAAGTTCTGAGGTAACACATAAAAAACAGTCGATTCCGGTCGGTTCCCTTTCCTTTTTTTGTAGTCTGTTAAAAATAAATAAAATTCATCACTTAATATAACGCAAGTTAAAGTCGATTTTAAGTAAATAAAAATTGTAATATAAAAAGATTTTCAGATTTAAATTTTATCTGTGTTCTTAGCCATTGAAATAATTTTAGACGCATTTGGATATTTACCTGCACTGTTCAATAGTGAGGTTCAGTACAGACTCCAAATTAAGGTAGTGACGAACGATCGCCCTGGCGCCAATCCGTTGCCACTCTAATGTGCTATACAAAGTCTCCACATCTCGAACGTGTAGCGGCACCAGCGGAAAATCTGAGAGGTCTAGAAAATAAATACATATAATTAGATTTTTTTCTTATAAGAAACAAGTTTTAACTAACAGCGGCGGCGATTATTCCTCAACTTAAGAGGATTGTGTAGTGCCGATACGCGGCGCGACTAGGTTGTTTTTGGATCTAGTGCTCGACCGACGGTGAGCGCTGACATCGGTTGAGCGTAGCTATATCAATGGCTATTAATATATCAAAACCTATTAACGGCTACAGTGCAGCGCTGATGAAGTACTACGCGCGTACAAGGACCGTCGGTCGAGGTCGTCGGTCCGACGTACGTCGGTTGACTGACGCGCTATGGCGGTACATGCGTGCGTTTAGTGCGACACTGACAGAGCGACCGACCATACGCGCGTACGCATTATCGCGAACAAAAATGAACATTGATACATGAACATTGTTCTCGCAATTTCGTATACAATGCACAAAATTCTCCTTCAATTAAACGGTTTTCAATTATTGGGTGCACACGATATCTTCTTCGTCTTTTATGCCGAGTATACAGAGTTAACAAATGGATTCATTTTTCTTGGTAATTGTACACGTCTAACAAAGCTTGCCGTCATTTAAGCACTAAACGCTTGGCCTCGACCGACGATCAGGACGTACCGTCAGCGCGTAAGGTACGTGCTGACCGTCAGTCGAGTACTAAATCCAGCCTAAGAGAAAGATAGTTCAGGTGAAAAATGGTGTGCACAGTTTTGAACTTTAAAAACTTGTAATTCGGTTACGCCTTACAGTTACAATGAAGTTATATCTCATGACATATGTTATGCGGTATAGTATGTTGCAGTAAGTGTGGTGTGTTGTGGTACATAATAGTTTGTAACGCTGCGCGGGCGGCGACAGGGCAGACTGAAGCGCCACGAGCGTGGGCCCGCAGCGCGGTGTGGTGTGTAGTGTAGTGTAGTGTAGTGTCACGTGGCGCGCGTACCGGGCACGAGCGCGAGCAGTGCGGGCGGCGACAGGGCAGACTGCAGCGCCACGAGCGTGGGCCCGCAGCGCGGTGTGGTGTGTAGTGTAGTGTCACGTGGCGCGCGTACCGGGCACGAGCGCGAGCAGTGCGGGCGGCGACAAGGCAGACTGCAGCGCCACGAGCGTGGGCCCGCAGCGCGGTGTGGTGTGTAGTGTAGTGTAGTGTAGTGTCACGTGGCGCGCGTACCGGGCACGAGCGCGAGCAGTGCGGGCGGCGACAGGGCAGACTGCAGCGCCACGAGCGTGGGCCCGCAGCGCGGTGTGGTGTGTAGTGTAGTGTAGTGTAGTGTCACGTGGCGCGCGTACCGGGCACGAGCGCGAGCAGTGCGGGCGGCGACAGGGCAGACTGCAGCGCCACGAGCGTGGGCCCGCAGCGCGGTGTGGTGTGTAGTGTAGTGTAGTGTAGTGTCACGTGGCGCGCGTACCGGGCACGAGCGCGAGCAGTGCGGGCGGCGACAGGGCAGACTGCAGCGCCACGAGCGTGGGCCCGCAGCGCGGTGTGGTGTGTAGTGTAGTGTAGTGTAGTGTCACGTGGCGCGCGTACCGGGCACGAGCGCGAGCAGTGCGGGCGGCGACAGGGCAGACTGCAGCGCCACGAGCGTGGGCCCGCAGCGCGGTGTGGTGTGTAGTGTAGTGTAGTGTAGTGTCACGTGGCGCGCGTACCGGGCACGAGCGCGAGCAGTGCGGGCGGCGACAGGGCAGACTGCAGCGCCACGAGCGTGGGCCCGCAGCGCGGTGTGGTGTGTAGTGTAGTGTCACGTGGCGCGCGTACCGGGCACGAGCGCGAGCAGTGCGGGCGGCGACAGGGCAGACTGCAGCGCCACGAGCGTGGGCCCGCAGCGCGGTGTGGTGTGTAGTGTAGTGTAGTGTAGTGTCACGTGGCGCGCGTACCGGGCACGAGCGCGAGCAGTGCGGGCGGCGACAGGGCAGACTGCAGCGCCACGAGCGTGGGCCCGCAGCGCGGTGTGGTGTGTAGTGTAGTGTAGTGTAGTGTCACGTGGCGCGCGTACCGGGCACGAGCGCGAGCAGTGCGGGCGGCGACAGGGCAGATTGCAGCGCCACGAGCGTGGGCCCGCAGCGCGGTGTGGTGTGTAGTGTAGTGTAGTGTCACGTGGCGCGCGTACCGGGCACGAGCGCGAGCAGTGCGGGCGGCGACAGGGCAGACTGCAGCGCCACGAGCGTGGGCCCGCAGCGCGGTGTAGTGTGTAGTGTAGTGTCACGTGGCGCGCGTACCGGGCACGAGCGCGAGCAGTGCGGGCGGCGACAGGGCAGACTGCAGCGCCACGAGCGTGGGCCCGCAGCGCGGTGTGGTGTGTAGTGTAGTGTAGTGTAGTGTCACGTGGCGCGCGTACCGGGCACGAGCGCGAGCAGTGCGGGCGGCGACAGGGCAGACTGCAGCGCCACGAGCGTGGGCCCGCAGCGCGGTGTGGTGTGTAGTGTAGTGTAGTGTAGTGTCACGTGGCGCGCGTACCGGGCACGAGCGCGAGCAGTGCGGGCGGCGACAGGGCAGACTGCAGCGCCACGAGCGTGGGCCCGCAGCGCGGTGTGGTGTGTAGTGTAGTGTAGTGTAGTGTCACGTGGCGCGCGTACCGGGCACGAGCGCGAGCAGTGCGGGCGGCGACAGGGCAGACTGCAGCGCCACGAGCGTGGGCCCGCAGCGCGGTGTGGTGTGTAGTGTAGTGTAGTGTAGTGTCACGTGGCGCGCGTACCGGGCACGAGCGCGAGCAGTGCGGGCGGCGACAGGGCAGACTGCAGCGCCACGAGCGTGGGCCCGCAGCGCGGTGTGGTGTGTAGTGTAGTATAGTGTAGTGTCACGTGGCGCGCATACCGGGCACGAGCGCGAGCAGTGCGGGCGGCGACAGGGCAGACTGCAGCGCCACGAGCGTGGGCCCGCAGCGCGGTGTGGTGTGTAGTGTAGTGTCACGTGGCGCGCGTACCGGGCACCAGCGCGAGCAGTGCGGGCGGCGACAGGGCAGACTGCAGCGCCACGAGCGTGGGCCCGCAGCGCGGTGTGGTGTGTAGTGTAGTGTCACGTGGCGCGCGTACCGGGCACGAGCGCGAGCAGTGCGGGCGGCGACAGGGCAGACTGCAGCGCCACGAGCGTGGGCCCGCAGCGCGGTGTGGTGTGTAGTGTAGTGTAGTGTAGTGTCACGTGGCGCGCGTACCGGGCACGAGCGCGAGCAGTGCGGGCGGCGACAGGGCAGATTGCAGCGCCACGAGCGTGGGCCCGCAGCGCGGTGTGGTGTGTAGTGTAGTGTAGTGTCACGTGGCGCGCGTACCGGGCACGAGCGCGAGCAGTGCGGGCGGCGACAGGGCAGACTGCAGCGCCACGAGCGTGGGCCCGCAGCGCGGTGTAGTGTGTAGTGTAGTGTCACGTGGCGCGCGTACCGGGCACGAGCGCGAGCAGTGCGGGCGGCGACAGGGCAGACTGCAGCGCCACGAGCGTGGGCCCGCAGCGCGGTGTGGTGTGTAGTGTAGTGTAGTGTAGTGTCACGTGGCGCGCGTACCGGGCACGAGCGCGAGCAGTGCGGGCGGCGACAGGGCAGACTGCAGCGCCACGAGCGTGGGCCCGCAGCGCGGTGTGGTGTGTAGTGTAGTGTCACGTGGCGCGCGTACCGGGCACGAGCGCGAGCAGTGCGGGCGGCGACAGGGCAGACTGCAGCGCCACGAGCGTGGGCCCGCAGCGCGGTGTGGTGTGTAGTGTAGTGTAGTGTCACGTGGCGCGCGTACCGGGCACGAGCGCGAGCAGTGCGGGCGGCGACAGGGCAGACTGCAGCGCCACGAGCGTGGGCCCGCAGCGCGGTGTGGTGTGTAGTGTAGTGTAGTGTAGTGTCACGTGGCGCGCGTACCGGGCACGAGCGCGAGCAGTGCGGGCGGCGACAGGGCAGATTGCAGCGCCACGAGCGTGGGCCCGCAGCGCGGTGTGGTGTGTAGTGTAGTGTAGTGTCACGTGGCGCGCGTACCGGGCACGAGCGCGAGCAGTGCGGGCGGCGACAGGGCAGACTGCAGCGCCACGAGCGTGGGCCCGCAGCGCGGTGTAGTGTGTAGTGTAGTGTCACGTGGCGCGCGTACCGGGCACGAGCGCGAGCAGTGCGGGCGGCGACAGGGCAGACTGCAGCGCCACGAGCGTGGGCCCGCAGCGCGGTGTGGTGTGTAGTGTAGTGTAGTGTAGTGTCACGTGGCGCGCGTACCGGGCACGAGCGCGAGCAGTGCGGGCGGCGACAGGGCAGACTGCAGCGCCACGAGCGTGGGCCCGCAGCGCGGTGTGGTGTGTAGTGTAGTGTATAGTGTCACGTGGCGCGCGTACCGGGCACGAGCGCGAGCAGTGCGGGCGGCGACAGGGCAGACTGCAGCGCCACGAGCGTGGGCCCGCAGCGCGGTGTGGTGTGTAGTGTAGTGTAGTGTAGTGTCACGTGGCGCGCGTACCGGGCACGAGCGCGAGCAGTGCGGGCGGCGACAGGGCAGACTGCAGCGCCACGAGCGTGGGCCCGCAGCGCGGTGTGGTGTGTAGTGTAGTGTCACGTGGCGCGCGTACCGGGCACGAGCGCGAGCAGTGCGGGCGGCGACAGGGCAGACTGCAGCGCCACGAGCGTGGGCCCGCAGCGCGGTGTGGTGTGTAGTGTAGTGTAGTGTAGTGTCACGTGGCGCGCGTACCGGGCACGAGCGCGAGCAGTGCGGGCGGCGACAGGGCAGACTGCAGCGCCACGAGCGTGGGCCCGCAGCGCGGTGTGGTGTGTAGTGTAGTGTCACGTGGCGCGCGTACCGGGCACGAGCGCGAGCAGTGCGGGCGGCGACAGGGCAGACTGCAGCGCCACGAGCGTGGGCCCGCAGCGCTCGTCGCGGTATCGCTGCAGCGCGCGCGCCACTCCGCGCCACACCGCGCGCGCCTCGCTCTCCACTTGCACTTCCCACGTTAGCTCCGAGCCCGGCAGCTCCGCCTCCGACGTACCCAGTTTTATCCTGTATATTACAAAGGTCATAATAGCACCGACAAACGAATTAACGACGGGTAATTTCTCTGCATGCCGCGGACGTTCAACTTACTTTAGAAAATCAAGCTAAAGCACGAGCAGTGCATTACATCATTGGAAAAATCACTCCTAACTTAAGTATTTTAAAAATAGCAGCAGGAGTCTTGAGCACTGCCGTTGGGAAAGTACAAGGGCACGAGGTGGATACGATAAACATCTGTTTCTCTTAATAATCTATCTGTTATTTAAGATATAACTTGAAAAGTTTATATATGAAATGAATAATAAATATAAAAATTGTTATTTCATGCTTACTTAGCTGTCCGTTCGGCAGTAAACAGTGTGTTCATGTTAGGAACTTGATTTGTCTTTACTGTATCGAGCACGAATAAGTAGGCCTTCTTGATGGGGCCTAATATTAAGGACCACATGCTACGGCTCGAATTTAACGCCGAATGTTGATAAAGAAAAATATGTTTTATTGGTGAAACTCCATCCTGAAAAATATCATATATGATTATTAGTTACCAAGATGGAGGCTTTATGACCACAGCATATGGGATTCACGGCCATTTTAGTTATAATAGCTATTAATAAACTTAAGTGTGTTTCATATTATTGTCTAATAGAATCCCTAAAGTTTATTATTAGTCTTAAATATATACAAAATACTCACTTGTTTTGGCAAATAAGGTTGATGAGCAACACTCTTAAACTGAAGTTGGTTTAAAGTAAATGTGTCCATGTTGTTGGAGCCCATTTGAATCAATCTAAAAAAAAATTTACCAAGTGTTATGGGAATGAAAAATTCATTCGTAAAGCATGCAGCAACGGAGTGGGAAAATTTGCCAGTGTCTGTTTTGCCATACGATTAAAATATGGGCGTCTTCGAGGCAATAAATCGTAAATAAGCTTTTGTAAGGCGGTTGGGCATCTTTGCCTATATCTCCATTTTCCATCAGTCAAGCACTGGCTTTTATTAAGTGAAAAAGGAGTGTTTTGCTGTGCATATTATCTCTAATAACGACAATTCGAAAGCGAAATCTCACCTTCTAGCCTCTTGTGGATCGACGACGCAAATACAGCCCAGTTGCACCAGTACTCTGAATTCAAGACTCATTTGTGTTTCGTAGATGCCTTCAATTTCTGGAGCTGACAGTTCTCCCATTAACTCTCTGTAAAGTTTGTACAATAAAGAAATATAAGTTAGTATCGCGTATGGTGTAAATGGACACTTTTTCTCCAAACTCTTACTTCTACACATGACGCAGTCCACTTATAGCGGAAAATAAATCATAAACTTCTTCATCACCTCGTGTAAATCTACTGCTAGACATAGGTCTCTCCTGTTGTAGGTCCTTAATTGTCACGTTTGGCAGGCCACCGGTTTGGATGTTTTACGTCTGGCGTAAGCGAGATAGCTACATCTATTTAAAGCCATAAGATTTTTGTGTACTGGTAGAGGTGCAGCGCGGGGTGTGACGCATGTTGGAGCAAGGGAGTCCCACCGGCTAGTACAGTCGGCGCGAGTGGTGCACTCACTCGTGGTGGTCGCGGTACAGCTGCTCGGGCACGGTGTACTGGTAGAGGTGCAGCGCGGGGTGTGACGCATGTTGGAGCAAGGGAGTCCCACCGGCTAGTACAGTCGGCGCGAGTGGTGCACTCACTCGTGGTGGTCGCGGTACAGCTGCTCGGGCACGGTGTACTGGTAGAGGTGTAGCGCGGGGTGTGACGCATGTTGGAGCAAGGGAGTCCCACCGGCTAGTACAGTCGGCGCGAGTGGTGCACTCACTCGTGGTGGTCGCGGTACAGCTGCTCGGGCACGGTGTACTGGTAGAGGTGCAGCGCGGGGTGTGACGCATGTTGGAGCAAGGGAGTCCCACCGGCTAGTACAGTCGGCGCGAGTGGTGCACTCACTCGTGGTGGTAGCGGTACAGCTGCTCGGGCACGGTGTACTGGTAGAGGTGCAGCGCGGGGTGTGACGCATGTTGGAGCAAGGGAGTCCCACCGGCTAGTACAGTCGGCGCGAGTGGTGCACTCACTCGTGGTGGTCGCGGTACAGCTGCTCGGGCACGGTGTACTGGTAGAGGTGCAGCGCGGGGTGTGACGCATGTTGGAGCAAGGGAGTCCCACCGGCTAGTACAGTCGGCGCGAGTGGTGCACTCACTCGTGGTGGTAGCGGTACAGCTGCTCGGGCACGGTGTACTGGTAGAGGTGCAGCGCGGGGTGTGACGCATGTTGGAGCAAGGGAGTCCCACCGGCTAGTACAGTCGGCGCGAGTGGTGCACTCACTCGTGGTGGTCGCGGTACAGCTGCTCGGGCACGGTGTACTGGTAGAGGTGCAGCGCGGGGTGTGACGCATGTTGGAGCAAGGGAGTCCCACCGGCTAGTACAGTCGGCGCGAGTGGTGCACTCACTCGTGGTGGTCGCGGTACAGCTGCTCGGGCACGGTGTACTGGTAGAGGTGCAGCGCGGGGTGTGACGCATGTTGGAGCAAGGGAGTCCCACCGGCTAGTACAGTCGGCGCGAGTGGTGCACTCACTCGTGGTGGTCGCGGTACAGCTGCTCGGGCACGGTGTACTGGTAGAGGTGCAGCGCGGGGTGTGACGCATGTTGGAGCAAGGGAGTCCCACCGGCTAGTACAGTCGGCGCGAGTGGTGCACTCACTCGTGGTGGTCGCGGTACAGCTGCTCGGGCACGGTGTACTGGTAGAGGTGCAGCGCGGGGTGCGCGCGGGGCAGCAGGCGGGTGCAGCGGCGCCAGTAGGTGCCGCAGTCGGCGGCGCGCGCCACGCGCTGGTTCACGTAGAACACGCGCGCCACAGACAGCCGCACCTGGTGCAGCTCCGCGCCCACCAGCGCCCACACCCGAAACAGCCCCGGCTCCGACGTCTCCGCCACCTGCATAAACAGCATCCTTGCAGACTTTCACGAGTCCACCGGTGAACATACGCCTCCCTCGTGGAATGCTTCATAATTTATGTGTTGGGTCATGAATGGATTTCGCCAGTTGTAACACTTAGCATGCAGATTAAAACTGAAGTTTGTTATTTATTATTTTGAGTTAGGAAGTAAGGAGTTGTTATAAGGAATCTTCCTGATAACAACTCCTTACTTCCTTCTTTCCTTCATGCATCCATCCATCGACTTCCTGCATGTCTTACCAGGTCGTCACTCCATCTAGTGGGATGCCGCCCTACAGTTATTGTACGTGGTACATCCATGCTGCAATTTTATTAGTAGTATAGTTGTAACACGAATCGGTCGGCTCGACCGGGGAAGGACCACGCTTTCACAGGATACCAGCGTAAAATAGCAGCTTAATTCTACTATGTTTCAGATGGCGAGCATAGAGAACCGCAGACCCTTTTTACTGAAAACGAGGCATTCCATCTAATTCCACACCGATGACAACGCATCTGCATTTTGATTCGTAGTCGAAGATGTAGATGTCTATAGGCCATAGCAACCACTTACAATCAGGTGCACTGTGTGCTCGTTTGTCACCCTTATCCCATTAAAAAAAAACTTCGCTTACTAGTATGAAGCTCCCATTTAAGAACCTTTCTTCCTCATAGATTGTCGGTTCTTCTAACTACATGGCCGGGCCATTGCCATTTCATGTCATCAATCAATTGAGATATGACAGTTACTTCGATTTTATTGCGGACATTCTTATTACACACAGAAACTCCGTTAAGCTTTCTCATACGGCCAGCAGAAAATCGTTTCAGATACATCACTTATCACTGGCAACACGCACTTGTTACACAATCTTGTTTTCAAGTTTTGAGATATACGTGACGAGAAGATGTGTGAAAAAAGGCCCTGATCAGACTTCATCACACTATTACAATCCACAGCTGTACATGGGCTCTTACCATTGGAGAAAGGATTTGCCACAATCGCTACGATTGTCGATTGCACCAGACGATTGAATTCTTAATTAATTAATTAATATATTAATATATTAAGTATAAAAGGCTGGAATTAAAAAAATAAATATTCTAGCTTTTTATACAACCTTACGAAGAAGATATACAGATGGCTTTTAGTTTTTTTTAAAGTTATATTTCTCAAGGTTATCTTGCAATGTATGCCTAAATTTGCAAAGAAGGTTCCGAATAAGTAATATAGGCGAATGGCGAAAAAAAATCTCAAAGATTACATCCTTTTTATCTTTTAAATTCAAAATATGTGGCAATACATTCTTTTAACTGATTGTCATTCATAAACATTTAACGCCTTCTATTTTACTACGCACGCACACATTCGTAAGGGTCGCTCAGTTACAAATTTAGGTATCTAATCGCGCTTCCTGCACCCTTCAGTCATAGGTTACATCGTTAATAAGCAAAAATATCTTTTATTTTAATTCATGACAATCCTAAACCCGTTAAAATTGTGAAAGGAAAATTGAAAACATAATCCGCGTCGTCATTTTTATTATTATTTATTTATTATTTAAATTTATAATTACTACATGGAATGCTAAAATAGATATCTTAGTCCGTTGTTGGGACATCCTTTTAAGTAAACAACTGTGACAGGATGTCCCGCTCTTCCGTAGAAGTAATTAGTAGTGAGAGTGTCGCGAAGAAAGTAAACAGTAGGCAAAAACATTTGTGAATTGATTGACACACACAGGAGTGCGCGTAAACGTAGTTGCACATTCAATTTGGAATATTTTAAAATAAAAGTAGAAGTCTTATTTACTCATTTACATTTAAAATTTTATCCCCTATTTTTGTCACACTTATGGGTGTGTTTTTATAAGATTGCAAACGCAGAATAAACAACGTCAACATGTAATCAGTAATCACTTACATGTAACCTCCGTGGTTGGTCACACTAAAGGAGGATGGCGAGAATGCATGTATTTTGGGATTCTGATAGGAGTGGCGTTCCGGCCGTTAAAACAGTAATAAATAACAAAACCAAACAATTCTACTGAAAAGAAAAAATTTAAATATTATGTCACTTCTACAACTAAGGCAAATCTAACGGATCGCCATATTATTGTTGCGCGCCACTATTAATGTCTTGTACATGGCAACACTAGTTACACTAGCGCCCCCTAGTGTCGAGTAAATGAAAGTGTTGCGCGCCACTATTAATGTCTTGTACTTGGCAACACTAGTTACACTAGCGCCCTCTAGTGTCGAGTAGCAGAACTAGGAAAGTCGAGATCCTTCCAGAAATTTCGGGACCGATATGTACTCGAACATTCTAGATGTCGCTACAGTAGAAGGTTCTGGAAACTATCTGAGGCCCTATATAAGGCCGGTATAGACCACGACCGGGGCAGTATTGAATTGGCGATACAAGAGATTACTTCGAAGCGAAATAACGGCGAACTGTGTTTTATTATTAGTGTAATTTTAGATTGCAATTAGTGTTGTGTAATTAAAGTGTCAATTTTGGTAATTCAATCGGCAGTTTTTAATTGTCTCGAACCTCAGGCTCGTAACAATTGGTGTCAGAAGTGGGATCAAATATGCCGATTTTACCTAAAGACGACACGGAGGGTATCCGTACCCGAAGTCAACGCCAACAGGAGACGGACCAGAGACGAATTGGTAATGCAACGCCGCAAACGTCGGAGGGGCAGCTGCTAACCACGGAGGCCGGCCCGTCAGCAGCTCCTGCATCTGCAGCACCTGACTTAGGTGCTCTGATGATGATGCTGCAGGATCAGGCTCGCCGACAGGAGGAACAGGCTCGCCGACAGGAGGAACAGGCTCGCCGACAGGAGGAACAGGCTCGCCGACAGGAGGAACAGGCTCGCCGACAGGAGGAACAGGCCCGCCGACAAGAGGAACAGACCCGTCGGTTGGAAGAGCAGCTGCAGCGCGGTATGGAAGAACAGATGCTCCTCAGGAAGGACCTTCACGCTACCTTCGGGAAAGAGATAAAGGAGGTGAAGGATAGGGTTGCTCAACATGACAACCGCCTGTCGGAAGCTGAAACCCGAATCGACCAAGTGAACAATCGGGTTGACAACGTGATGGCTGATGTGAAGAAAACGCTGGACGACCTCAAACTTGGGGATGGAATTATAGCTCCCGTAGTAGCTACAACACCTTCGCTACGTGGATTCAAAGTGCCGCCGTTCGACGGGAGTTCTTCCTGGTCGGCCTACAAAATCCAGTTCGAGGCTGTCATGAAAGCGAACGGCTGGAATAAAAGTCAGGCCATGACTGCTCTCACTCTAGGCCTACGCGACCAGGCCTTAACTGTTCTGGAAGCTCTCGGTAAGGAAGTAACTTACGAGCAGCTCCTTGAGGCATTGGAGGCAAGATATGGCGATGCTCACCTGGAACACGTCTTTCGTGCGCAGCTCAAAGATCGCGTGCAACGCAGTAACGAAAACATGCAGCAGTGGGCCCTTGAGGTGGAGAAGCTGGTTCGAAAAGCGTACCAGTCTGTACCTGCGCTCATTGTAGGGAACCTGGTGCAGACATTCATCGACGGCATCCGCGACCTTGAAGTCAGAGCTGCTGTGAGGCTCGGGCACCACGAGGCGCTTAAGGACGCCTTGACCCATGCACTGGAGGTGGAAGCCGTGCGGCAGGATCATCGTTCCCACCGCGTCAGGGAGGTTGCAGCAGCTACAGTTCAGGACCGCAATAAGGGCTACAGCCCTAGGTGCTACGGCTGTGGGGAAAGGGGCCATCTTCGATCCAGCTGCCCTAAACGAACTGTAGAAAAGGAAGGTGATCGATATCGAGAGGGTAGTGTGGCTGACAGCACCGCCCAGCAACAGCAGGGAAACTGGCGGGTGCTGGCTGATGTTAAAAGAGCCCCAAGGATTTCGATCTCACAAACCCATGATGGGAACAGCCTAATCATCAAGGGCGAAGTCAACGGAACGCCGTGTAAACTGACCATAGACACTGGAGCCTCTCGCACGGTTGTCAGTTCCCAACTTATAAGTCGGTTCCTTGGGGACTCCGCATACAACCGAGAACGCATTAATTTGGTGACAGCCACCGGTCAGCGCATACCCGTCCGTGGAGAGAAGGAGATGGAGTTGAAGCTAGGCAACATGACCTACCTGCATAATGTCATCGTAGCTGATATAATGGACGACTGCATCCTGGGCCTAGACTTTATGAGGAAGAATTGTTGTGAGATCGACGTTAAGCAAGGTGTTTTGAAATGTGGACAAGAGGAACTTTTCGTGGAAGGGGCGTTACCAGGGAATGTGTACAGCCTTAAGAAGATTGTTCTTCCGCCGAGATCGGAAACGATTGTGCCGGTTAGACTTCCACGGAATCCTGGGCAAACTCTTCGTTGTGTACTCGTGGAAAGGGTAGACAATGACCTTCCATGGAAAGTGGCTCGAACCTTGGTCAGAACCGCCGACATCTCAGGAGTACGTGTGCTGAACCTTTGTGATCAGGAACAGATTATAGAAAAAGGCACATTGGTTGGTACTAGTGAGGAAGTGGATTGGTTGCGTCGGTGCGAATATCTATCGACTGGGACCCCCAGCAAGGATGGACAAACTAGAGTGACCACACTTTTAGAAGACTGTCGCAGCGTTCTCTCCCCGAATGAAACGGTCAAAGCGAAGAAGTTGTTACTCAAGTACGCCAATGTTTTCTCGTCAAACGAAGCTGACATAGGAAAGACTAGCTTAGTTCAACACAAAATAAACACAGGACAAGAATTGCCTATTCGTCAGCGGCCAAGAAGATTGCCTGTAGCACGTGAAAAGGAAGTGGAAACCATGATTGAGGGAATGGTGAAGGATGGTGTTATTGAACCTTCATCTAGTCCATGGTGTTCACCTGTGGTGCTGGTAAAGAAGAAGGACGGCAGCATGCGGTTTTGTGTTGACTACCGCCGCCTGAACGACGTTACAAAGAAGGACAGCTATCCCTTGCCAAGAATTGATGACACGCTGGACATGCTTACAGGCGTAAAGTGGTTTAGTACGCTGGATCTGAAAAGTGGCTACTGGCAGGTTGAAATTGACCCTAAGGACAAGGAGAAAACTGCATTCTCCACAGGAAAGGGCCTGTGGCAATTTAAAGTCATGCCGTTTGGATTGTGCAATGCTCCAGCAACGTTTGAAAGGTTGATGGAGCTTGTACTTACCGGGCTAATTGGAGATGCCTGTCTCGTCTATATGGATGACATCATCATCGTAGGCCGTACGTTTGAGGAACACCTTCAAAACCTGGAACGCGTGCTCATGAAGATCCAGAGTGCCAACCTCAAGTTGAGTCCAAAGAAGTGCTCACTATTCAAACGGCAAGTTAGTTTTATGGGGTATGTAGTGTCGGAAGAAGGTATCCGCACGGATCCAGAGAAAATTGCTGCTGTCAAGGAGTGGCCGGTCCCAAAAGACAAGACACAGGTTAGAGCATTTTTGGGTTTGTGCTCTTATTATCGGCGATTTGTGAAGAACTTTGCAGATATAGCCAAACCTCTGCACAAGCTAACCGAGGAGAAGCGACAATTCTGCTGGGATGAAAGTTGCGATATTGCATTCCAGGAGCTCAAGAACCGTCTGTGCAAAACACCTATTTTGGGGTACCCTGATGCGGGCAAGGAATTCATAGTTGACACAGACGCAAGTGATATAGGACTTGGCGGTGTGTTGTCTCAACGGAATGGTGATCAAGAGATTGTGATAGCGTACTTCAGCAAGTCGTTGTCAAAGCCGGAAAGGAACTATTGTGTCACAAGACGGGAATTGCTTGCTGTGGTAAAGTCCTTGCAGCATTTTAGAGTGTATCTGCGAGGATATTCAGGACAGACCAGCTCAGCAATGAATGGAAGGACAGCCTACAACATGCACAGCAGGAAGATTCGGACATTAAGCCGATTCTGGAATGGATGAAGGCCAGTGATCCTAAGCCCAAGTGGAGCGTCGTCTCAGCAATGAGTTCGACCACGAAAAGCTATTGGGCCCAATGGGACAGCTTGCTGATTCAGGATGGAGTCCTGTGCCGTAAATGGGAAAATAGTCGGGGAGACAGGTGTCATTTGCAAATGGTTGTCCCTAAGGCTAAAGTACCGGATGTTCTCCAGCTGTACCATAGTGGTTGTTCAGGAGGCCACCTGGGAGTTAAACGAACTCTACTGAAGATCCGAGAACGGTTTTACTGGGTCCACTGTCGTGACGATGTCGAGGACTGGTGCCGCAAATGTACAAGTTGTGCGGCTGTAAAGGGACCTCAAATTCGTAGTAGAGGCGCATTGAAATTGTACAATGTTGGTGCACCATGGGAGAGGATAGCCATTGACGTTGCAGGGCCGTTTCCGGAAAGTGAAAGTGGTAACAAGTATTTCATGGTTGTGTTGGATTACTTTACTAAGTGGCCAGAAGTCTTCGCCATTCCAAATCAAGAAGCTTCAACAGTTGCAGATAAACTGGTTCATGAAGTCTTCTGTCGTTTTGGAGTACCTTTAGAGATTCACAGCGATCAAGGAAGGAATTTTGAGTCTCAAATATTCCAGGAAACTTGCCGAGTTATGGGTACTCAGAAAACACGAACAACTTCTTACCACCCACAATCTGATGGAATGGTAGAAAGATTTAATCAGACATTGGAGAGGTACCTAGCAAAAGTTGTGGAAAAACGGCAACGAGACTGGGACAGGCATATACAACCGTTTTTGTTGTCATATCGAAGCGCTGTTCACGAAAGTACATCAGTAACACCAGCTTTCGCAAACTTTGGGAGAGAATTGCGGCTGCCTGCAGACCTGATCACCGGAATACCACCTGATGCCCCACGCAGTATAACCGATTATGCAAATGACTTGCGGAACAAAATGAATGACATTTATGAGCACGTCAGACAGACGGGCCAGCAAACGTCTGAGAAGATGAAAACACGGTATGACCGCAAAATGAACAACAAGGGGTTTGATGAAGGTTCACTAGTGTGGTTACACAATCCAGTTCGCAACAAAGGGAAATCTCCTAAGCTTCAAGCTAAATGGGACGGACCGTACCGGATTGTGACAAGGATCAATGATGTAACCTACCGCATACAGAAAGGTGCCAGAGGTACTCCTAAGATTGTCCATGTGGATCGACTGTCGCGTTATTATGGGGCCAATAATGCTCGGGACGAGCATGTCTTAGGAGGGGGCAGTGTTGCGCGCCACTATTAATGTCTTGTACATGGCAACACTAGTTACACTAGCGCCCCCTAGTGTCGAGTAAATGAAAGTGTTGCGCGCCACTATTAATGTCTTGTACATGGCAACACTAGTTACACTAGCGCCCTCTAGTGTCGAGTAGCAGAACTAGGAAAGTCGAGATCCTTCCAGAAATTTCGGGACCGATATGTACTCGAACATTCTAGATGTCGCTACAGTAGAAGGTTCTGGAAACTATCTGAGGCCCTATATAAGGCCGGTATAGACCACGACCGGGGCAGTATTGAATTGGCGATACAAGAGATTACTTCGAAGCGAAATAACGGCGAACTGTGTTTTATTATTAGTGTAATTTTAGATTGTAATTAGTGTTGTGTAATTAAAGTGTCAATTTTGGTAATTCAATCGGCAGTTTTTAATTGTCTCGAACCCCAGGCTCGTAACATTATGTTAAAACTCAATATCTATATGTTAAAATCAAATAAATACTGGGAAGAAAGAAACAATTATAGCGACATATTCAGTAAGAGCCTCTAAAAAATAAAATGAATAAATTAAATCATAGGCATATACTTTATTACTCTATCTTTGACCAACGCCATTTTTCTACCAACTTCAAACAGGAGGAGGTACTCAATTCGACTGTATGTTTTTTTATGCGTGTTACCTCCTAACTTCTTTCTGGGTGAACTGATTTCCATGATTCTTTTTTTATTTTATAAGCAATTAACTTTTAAAAACAGCGTAATTACTTACCTTTATATAAAAACTAACAAAAAACTTTCTATTTTATCCACGTAATTATTTTTTTAAATTTGTAGTTGCCTCTTACACTCACGCGGCGAAGTAAATAAGACTAAAGTATGTGACGTAAACTTGACGCGTAGGTAAAGGCGGAAACTCGTAATTTGAAGTAAATTCTGTTAATTTAAAGAAGCGTAATTTAGTAACTAAATTAATCTAATAAAATTTTAGTTTTATAATTAATATAAATAACATTTAAAAAATAATTGTTCTCAGCACAATAACTATGGTTCTGACTAAACGTAGTGATCACATACTCTTTGATTCTGAGGGGTCCTTTCTAAATATAACCATACTCTTTGGAGCGTTCTACAAATAAAAAAAGGATTACCACATGTGGATTTCAAAGATTTGACAGATTAAAGCAATGGCAATAAAAAATAATGACAAGGGCTGGCAGTCATGTCAAAAAAATGTCTGGCGAACAAAGAGTATATAACCATTACGTTTAGTGGTGAATAACGTTCGGTTATTGTAAGACGACCTATTTTTTAATAAATTATTTATTTTACTCCCGTAAATAATTTTTATATAAACATTGTATAAACTTATAATTTTAATTAATTTGAACTTGCATAGGCACGATACTTCGTTAATTTTAAAATATGTGGGTCCAATTTCGCTATTGTCCTTTGTCTAACGGCATTCCACTACAATACTTACTTCAACTACATGCACTTACGTTAACTATGGTCACAACTACGATAAATATGGCCCATAAGGTCGTTGGTTTGTATTCCAGGTCAAAATTTTGTATAATTTCTATATGTATAAGTGAATATAATTCGTTGTGTACATTTAATAAAAAAATAAATACAACAGCTCTCCTATACCTGTATGATTTGCCATGGTGTGTTCAGAAGCGTACGTTGCGCCCTCCTAATAAAACCACCCAGTGAGTTGACGGGGCCTGTGCTTTTGGAAATCACTGGTGCAGTGTTGTCCATTTTCCCTGAAAAGAAAATCTCAGTTTGAACCAACCAACTCGAATAGTGTTAAAAGTTCGTTAATTTTAACCAATATCTTTTTTTAATAAGATGAGTTTGGTATATAACCATATACTGCTTTATGTATCGTAAATTAAGAATCATAATATTGATAAGTAAATGTCTTGTCTCTTACCACGTTTGCTCCGGCTACGTAGGCCCCGCTGTTCCATTTGCCACTTCCACTTTTTCTTTTGGAAAACTATCCAAGCAATTCGCTCTTCCTAAAAACACAGGTATGGTGTTACATAACAATCAAATCATTTCACTGTGTTTTCATGAAATCAACATGCTACACATAAGCTGCACCGTTTTTGGCCGATTGCAGCGGAGCAGCAACGTGAGTGAGTACGTATACATACACTCACTGATCTCAATCGACGATTTTAACAAAAATGATGTCATAACCCTTGAACCATCAAATACTTGTGGCCTAAAAATATAAACATAAAAACCGTTTTAGCTAAGATAAAAATTACAAATGATTATTTTAGTTTTACTAGTTTAATAGGCTTATTTTAGTTTTAATAATTATCCTAAAGAACCTATACCTTAGTTGTTCCAAAAGGTGGTGGCGCTCCTAACGCCTCTCTCCAAGTGGCGGCTTCCTTAACCGGCGATTCTTCCCGCTTCCGCTTTATAGTGTGCACTATCGGTCTGATCGGGCTTTTCTCTGTTGATTTCTTGCCAATGTCTTCTATGTCTATTTCATTACTCTAAAATAATGCATTAATTAATTTATTCGTTGTCACACTCTACTTAAATTTTATACTAAAAAATATTGTGGTGGTGATGGTGATAGGAATGCTTCTCTGCCTGAGTCTGTCTGAGTACATACCACTGTCGTATCTATTTTTGACGACAAATAGCAATGCTTTTCCCACCACTGTATTTCAGCTACAGATGTCCATGGACTGCTGTAGCCACTTACCATCAGGTGGATTGTAAGTTTGAGAGATATGCGAGACTGCAACCTTTCAAGTGTCTATATTAGATAATAAAATGGATACGATAAGAAAAATGTAATAAAATGTAACACTATACTTACAATAGAAGCGTCATTATTACTTTCAGTTCCCTCGTCATCGTCATCATGCGTTTCTTGTGCCAGCTCCTTTGGTTTAGCAGAGAACATGTCAGTGATTTTTCGCGTTTTGAATTTGTCGGTCTTCGCCAACATCTTCTTGTGCAACCAGTCGGGATACTGGACCCTCGGTACCGGGTTGTCCAACTGGTTGCATGACATAAATATTACTTTAAATTACAAATCACAAAGATTACAGAACATACAACAGCGTGAAGAAATCATTCCCAAAATAGGATAGATCTATGCCCAGGAGTATAGTTATGGGCCGGTGAAGAAGAGTAAATTGACAGTCACGTGGCTTGTTTTTACAGTGACAATGTCGTACCGTTTAAATAAAACAAGTTTTACGGATTTAATCGCTTATATTAACGTCGAACACCTCAGACCACCGTTACTATGGGTGTTGTAAAGTACTCGAAACTTCGGGAATTTTAAATAAGTTAATATACACGATTAAATTTTATTTATTTATTCTTTATTGCATTTTTTAAAACAAAATAATACAAAGTGCGGAATTAATGACTTGAGGCATTCTCTACCAGTCAACCCATAGAGTGGTGAGAATTTGACGTATGTATAGCAATATAGAACAAAAAAAAAAACAAAAATGATAAAACAACATAATATATACATATATAAATACATAAATATACAAATATATGTATATTTATATATATAACATATAATTAGGACATACAAATAACTATGAATATATACAGCTGTTTGGCAACACATATGAGATGGATGAATCATGTAAGAAGTGTTGTCTTTAATAGATGATTACGTACCAATTTTTTTAAAACATACTATAAATTGGGTGCTTTTCTGATGTAATCTGTAAAACTTAGTTTCATTTAAATGTGTAGTGTTTGTGTAAACATAAGGCATTTCTTACGTTTACACGAATACTCGTACTAGCGGCAAGTACTCGTCGTATCGGGCAATTTCGACCACGGCAACAACTTCCTGTAGTTGTCATCTGCCTGTGCTAAAATTCTATACAGAGTAACAGAGTTTTAACATAGAGACACTCACTCGTCTTCTACTAAGCTAGTTAGAGTTTAGACACGGGGACATACACAACACATCCACACCCGAAAAAACCAATGACAAATACAATTTGTGTATTTGACACAAATATTGGCTGAGATTTGAATCAAAGACCGCTCTAACCACTGAATAATGGTACCCTAAACAAGGTCTCGCAGTCGTCAGTAATGGGACCTTGATACTTGACAATGAAGTTTTTGACACTGCAGTCATTTGAAATACTGAATGCGTAATGAAAACCATTTCCAAGATAAACACTATAATAAGAAAAGAAGCAAACTAAGAATGAAGTATTGTATATATGTTTATCATAATCCAAATATGTTGTATTGGTTTGTACGTATATATTCTCACAACCGGACTCGATGGCAGGTAGCCGCAAGCTAAACGCACAGTGCGAACAGCAATCGTTCTATCCGGTAGTCGAGCCGAAGTTCTCCCGGACCGGAATGTTTTGGCAGCCGCATCGCAGTGCGAACAGAAATAAGTCTTACATATATTTTTTTGGCTTGAGAATAACCCCACAGTGCATAATATGTTTCGTAAGCTTAAAAAATACTCACGCCCTGCATAGCGGCGGGTATAGTGATAATCTTCTGTATGGCGCCGCTGAGTCGCTCGATGTAGTAGGCCCAGTCGAGCACGTCCCGTATGTCGACGTCCTCAGTGATGGTGTTGTCTTTAAGCCAGCGACGAAGGTGGTGTCGCTTGACGGCGGCCGGCGACTGGAAGATGGCCAGCGGCACCGCGCGTTCCGTCACTGGAGCCCCGTCCGGCTTCCGCGAGATTATGAACCTGTAGCCAGAGTGTACAACGAAATTTTCAGGGGTTCACAACATTTTTTGGAATTTTCTTTATGTAATACATTCAATATCTTTTCAAATCAACAAATGAACGTTTTAGTTATATGTTTTATACAGCGTAATGTTTTAGAATGTTAGTTAAATGTTTCGAGAAGAAACTGTGAAAGTAACTCCATAAACAGATATGTTGTTTTCAGTAATTTTTAGATTCCTATTGGAACATTATGATAGTAATGTTATGAATTGCACTAAAAATAGTATTATTCCAGTAACAACAACACGAAGGCCATCCTACATACTAACCTACAGGCCAAGCCTGCATCCTTCACCATCTGATCACCGAGAAATTCGGCGAGCCGTTTCGCTGTGGATATTGAAGTGGACTTTTGCCCTCCATAGTCCTCCAACTTCTTCGACATGGATCTGTTCTCAGATATCAACTCGAACAGCTCGGAATCGGGCATGTTGGAGCCCTTACTGTACAGGACGTCCAACCAATAGTCTGCCACTTTGGCCACAGCACCGTAGCACGATTTTAAGTCGTTCCCTTTAAGGAACGCCTCAAACACTGACGACTGGAATATCTTTATAAGCTGTAGTTCACCGCGACGTTTAACTTCGAAACCTGGAAAATACAATGGTACTTCATAAATTGATTTAACCAGGGACTATGAAAGAATATTATACCAATTTTTTCTCTAGTAACCAACTTTACATGCATGCGTCATACTCCTTGCTGAGTAATGAACGGCCCTTTGACGTTATGGCGGATTTATGCGATTTATGGCGTAAAATGCATTCAAAAAAAGGAAAACAATTTTATCAAAAAAAAAATTTTACAAAATATATTTTTTATGCAATTTATTATATTGTTATATTATGTAAAGCCAAAATTAATTTAAATATATGATAATGTACATTATTTTTCTGTTCTTTACATTCTGTAAACATCCGCAATCAAACTCTATATACCAAAAGACAATAAATTTTAAGAAGCAGTTTGTGAAACAAGTTTTTCCTTTTCATTCCTACAGAAATTATTTTGATAATTGGCATAATAGATCTTTTAGAATGAGAGTATACTTAACTCTTGTCAAATTCACGGGACCAGATAGAAATAAATCAGAGACACTGTAACTCAAGTATTAAAAAGTTTAGTCTGCAGTGGCGTAGCTAGGCGTGGGCGAAGTGGGCTCTCGCCCACGGCCTCGCACTTAAAAGCACCTCGCGAGGTCTCATAAAATGCGATACCCGGAGTTTACCATAGACGACTAATTAACTTGATCACTTGTACGCTCGAAAAAGAAAGTCACAAATTTAAAAGCGTGTTTGTTTGGGGTATCGCACGATTGCTTAGCCGTTGTAACTGCCTTCAAAGACCGCGACAGTTAAATTGACAGAATACGAGACTTGTCAGGAACTAATAGTTACGAGTAGGTATGTTGTATCAAAGCATGTTTGGTAGAATAGGATGGATCTATTGGGCAGATCTTGGGAACGAAAGAAAAAGGGCCCCGCTGATGCGACTTCGCCCAGGTCTATATTAGTCCACGCTACACCTCTGTTAGTCTTTCACATTTGAGTAAATAACAGAAGTTATTATCGATTTTTAGTGTTTAGTATTCGCGTAAATATTAGAAATCTAATCAAAACTAGGTCAGTTTTAAGTAAATAAAAATTACCTTTCAGTTCAGCCAAAGAGCCGTCAAAATTGAACACGGCGTACCGCTTCTTTAACTTCTTGCCTTCCTCTTTAGAAGCGGGAAGCACCATAGCGAGGTAAGGTCCATCCACTTCAAAGAAGATCGAATTCTCAGCGCGCTGCTCATATGTTTTCGTTGCCGGGTCCTTCAGCTCGAAGTATTGGTCGTTTGTAAAATAATCCTTAAATATTTTAATTTATATTTTTCGGATGCTTTTTATATTTCTTTAAAGAAAAATTATTCCTCCTCAAGCAACATTTAATTGATGTGAATACAAGAAAAGTGGTAATTACAGGGAAACAGTATAAAATATTCAATTAAAAATTAGGGATAATACCTTATAGAACATCCCACAAACTGTAGCAGTAGTAGAAGAAAAAAGCAAAATTAAGTTTCTGCTTTAACAGTGTACACAATTAGCATTTCATTTGAACCTGGGGCCAGAGTAAATTACAATAAATAGATTTGTGGCTTTGTTCTCCATCAACTGTTAACACTATACTAAATCAATAACGTACCTTCACCATAGCATTTAACACTGCGTTGGGGTACGAAACGTTAATTTTCTTTTTCTTCTGATGTGTGCTGGTTATCGTTACGTTTTCGGGGAATGAGGCTGGCAATACACACCATATACCTAAGAAAAATTGTTTATATCAGGCCGCAGAGAATTAAAAAAAACTTTTTAAAGCACATCTATTTTAAGAAAACATGACATTGATGAACATTTTTATGAAAGTTTTTAAATTACGATTATTTAACAGATTCAGGCGATATTATACGGAAATTTAGTAAGTTAAAGATGATAAAATTAATTAGCTAAAAGCCTTGAATGAAAAAGGTTTGAATGACGATATAAAACACTTTAAAACTTGATAGAAAATCGTAGGTATTGAAGTCTAATAGAAAGCTATTGGTCTATAAAATTATATACCGTCAGTGTCCAACTCGAGCGGTCGGCCAACTTGCTCGATGATCTCCCGAGCGCGCATAATTATGTTTGCACCGGTGTAGCATACGATGCCCGCCATTTCCATACTATGCCAGCGTGCTCTGTATTCATACAAAAATACATAAAGTCCCGGATACACTATTGGACATTTTGTTCCGCAACATGACGCGTAACACCAATCTACGTGACAATGCAACGTTGCACAGTGACCTGCAAAATGGCCCGCAACATTTTATGTGACGAGGGACATGGTGCTTGTTCCCGCTCCGAGAGCGAGCGCACGCGTCCCGCGTCAGTGTCGCGCCAATAGGGTATTACACCAATTTTCAAAAATTGTTTTAAATGAATCATAGAGTGATAATGAACCACTGTAATTTTTATATATATCTTTTAAAACCGAATAGTGACTTACTTTTAATCTATCGTTTTAAATTTTTGCGTGAAAACGCTAGCCGCCATACTGTTCAACTCGTGACGTCACTGTCTTAGAATTTTGACAATTTTGCAAAGGAATAAGTTACTTTTGAATGTTTAATAATGAGTTATCATCTATATCATTGTTGTGTTGTGCCTGATTGCAAAAATACGAGCATAAGAACGTCGGGGAAGTTATGGATTAAAGTGCCAACTGATTTAAATATGAGAAATATGATCCACGGTATGTACCCTAATGTGAATAGTTGTGATTAAAGGGATGCGCGCGTACTGTACTGTTCATATGTTGGGCGCTGGCAGAATAACAGCGTTGTAGGCAACTGCAACATTTATGCTGAGCTAGAGCCCATTCATTACTACATTATGTAATTCTTGTCATTTCTGTATGTACTCATTTTAACTTTATTGGTGGTAATGAATAAATGCTTATTATTATTATTATTATTATTAAATACTTGGTGAAAACTGGGAAGAAGAGGCCCGAAGGCATTGTCTACAAAATCTAAACTATATTTTTGTGAAGATCACTTTGATGTAAGTATAACTTATATTTAACTATCGATTAAACAAAACTTTGATTTGTAAGGATCGTGACACTTGGCGATCTGTTCTCTCTGGCTACCCCGTCAGGGATTGTGCGTGAAGATAAGCAAGCAAAAAAATTAAACAAAACAAAACATCATGACATGATAGGTACCTATTGCAAGGCAAATTTTGTAATAGATTAGGTTAATCGCTCATCTGTCCCGCCCTTTGTGGGCTATTTGGCAGCCATTGCAAGTGCAGTGCAGTGTTTTACTTAATTCCTGTTTTCTTCTATTATATGAGAATAAAGACATTGTTTGTACTCAGGACCAAATAGAAAAGTGGCTTTTTACTTCGTCTGAGAGTTTGTACAAAAAATATAACAAAAAGTTTTTCTCACCTAAACCTATATTATAATATCTATAACATTAGTGCTAAAAGCGAAGTAATAAACTCGCTTTTACGAATCCGTCTTCCATGATGCCTTTTCAAAAAAATTCGGAATAAAAGTCAACAACCGTAATGATAACTTAAAAAATTTCGAAAATAGCTAGTTAGTACACAGCACATAACCTAGTTCTTTGACCTAGTGACGTCACGACGCTATCTAATATGGCGGACATCGTTTTGCAGATTTGAGGCACAAGTAAAAAAAATATTCTTTAAATTGAAATATAAAATTTATAATGCATTTTTATAAATAGAAATCAATATTTCTCGTTTACTTTTTACAAAATCTATCATAAATATATATTTTTTGATTTTTTTCCATGGTGTAAAATACCCTATTGTTACCGGGTGTAGTCGTGTGCGCAACGTGCAAGTCAGTAGTGTGGAGAAACGAAACCGTGCTTTTACTTCTTGAGCTTTAGGTACCAGAGTCATGTTTTCTTGTGGGATACTTCAAACCACAAGCTTCTGGTACTGTTCTACCGATCAGTGGTTTCGATACTCGAAAAGTGTAAGACAAGGAAGCATAAGAATCTTCAGTCGACAAGTATATCACGCAATGGCAAGTCTGATATGAGGGCTAACAGCGTTCCGTAGTATTGTATCACGTTTGGGTATGGAAGGTCCGATCATTTGTAATCATCATCATCATTCATCATTACAGCCCTTCACAAGTCCACTGCTGAACATAGGCCTCCCCCAAAGAATGCCACAAAACACGGTCCTGAGCCACCTGCATCCATCGACTTCCTGCATGTCTTACCAGGTCGTCACTCCATCTCGTGGGGGGACGCCCTACACTTCGCCTACCGGTACGAGGCTGCCACTCGAGAACCTTTCTTCCCCATCGGTTGTCGGTTCTTCGAGATATATGGCCGGCCCACTGCCACTTGAGCTTACTAATCCGTTGGGCTATGTCGGTTACTCTGGTTCTACTGCGGATATCCTCATTCCTAAGTTTATCACGCAGAGAAACTCCGAGCATAGCCCTCTCCATAGCTCGCTGAGCGACCTTGAGCTTCCTCATACGGCCAGCAGTGAAGGACCACGTCTCAGTTCCATAAGTCATCACTGGCAACACGCACTGGTTGTACAATTTCGTTTTCAGGTTTTGAGGTATGTCTGACGAGAAGATGTGTCGTAGCTTCCCAACGCTGCCCAGCCGAGTTGAATCCGTCGATTGACCTCTCGGTCGAAGTTGGACTTACCTAGTCGGACTATTTGTCCCAGGTAAACATACTCGTCAACAACTTCGAGCTTAGTGCTCCCAACAACTACCGGCATAGGTGTGACATGGACATTGAACATGATCTTTGTTTTGTCCATGTTCATCTTAAGACCTATCCGTTGGGAAACACTATCGAGGTCATTGAGCATAGTGCTTAGGTCCTCCAGCGATTCTGCCATAAGGACTATATCGTCGGCAAATCGAAGGTGAGTGATGTACTCGCCATTGATGTTGATACCGTATCCTTTCCAGTCCAGAAGCTTGAAAACGTCTTCCAATGCAGCGGTGAAGAGTTTCGGGGATATAACGTCACCCTGTCTTACACCTCTCTGCAATTGGATAGGTTTCGTACTCTGGTTCTGTACTCGGATAGCCATCGTAGCCCTACTGTACAAGCACTTCAACACTTCGATATACCGACAGTCAACTTGGCACCGCTGAAGGGACTGCAGCACCGCTCAATTTTCCGCCAAATTTCGACGGAATCAAAGGCTTTCTCATAGTCCACATACGCCAGACATAGTGGCAAATTGTACTCTTCGGACTTCTGTACAATTTGCCGAAGGGTATGTATGTGGTCTATGGTGCTAAAGCCCTTTCGGAAACCGGCTTGTTCGGGAGGCTGGAAGTCGTCAAGTCTGCGCGCGAGACGATTCGTAATGACTCTCGAAAACAGCACGTAGACGCGGCTCAGAAGGGAAATCGGTCTGTAGTTCTTCAAGAGAGCGTTGTCACCTTTCTTGAAGAACAAGACCACCGCACTTCTGCTCCACGCCTCCGGTGTAATGCCACCATGGAGGACGGAATTAAAGAGCTTATGAAGGGCTTCAAGTACCGGTCTTCCACCCGCTTTCAGAAGCTCCGCTGTAATTCCATCCTCGCCTGGGGCCTTACCGTTTTTAAGGTGCTGGAGAGCCATTCTAATCTCGCTCAGACTGACGTCCGGGATATCTTCGGAATAGTGTTGGATGAGACTCGCTCTTGGATCGTTACTCACACTTGCGTGTGGCTCCAACGATGACGTGTACAGCTGCCCATAGAACCTCTCAATCTCACTCAAAATCTCAGGTGTCCCGGAAACGATGCTGCCACATTCTGTCTTCAGCTTTGACAGGTGGCTCTTTCTGGCAGACAGATCTCTGGCAAAGACTTTGGAGCCTTGGTTCCGCTCGATCGCTTCTTCAATACGAGCTGTATTGAAGTTGCGTAAGTCCCGCCGCATGCATTTGGAGATCTGTCTGTTCAGATGCCTGTATGCTGTCAAGTCTGTTGAAGAATGTAGCTTCATCTCCCGTCTAACAGCCATGAGATTAAGAGTGTGATCGGAGAGTTTTTGTGTTCTTCTGCGGCGGGTCTTGCAGAACTTAGCTCCGACCGCATGGACAGTTTCCACGAGCTTATCATTCATATCGTCCACTTCATTGCAGTCTTCTAGGCACTGAAAACGGTTTTGTAACTCGAGCTGAAAGGTTTCGGGACTTTGGAACAGAGCACGAGGGGGACGGAGCGTTGACTTCATTAGACGAGACCTCTCCAACTTAACGTTTAGGTTCAGTGTGCCTCTAACCATTCGGTGATCGCTACCAGTTTTCACCCTCGCGATCACGGAGACATCACTGAATAGTTGTCGTCTGGTCGTCATAATGAAGTCAATCTCATTTTTTGTCGAACCGTCGGGGCTCGACCAGGTCCACTTCCTGTGGGGCCGCTTCTGGAAGAAAGAGTTCATCATAAAGAGTCCCTCTTTCTCCATGAAGACGGCCAGCTGCTGGCCCCTTGGGTTCCGTTGCCCTATTCCAAATTTCCCTACTTTCAGCTCACCGTTCTCTCTTGTGCCTAGTTTTGCATTGAAGTCTCCCATTAACACCGTATATTGGGTTTTGGAGGAATGCATGGCTCTAGATATATCCTCATACATTTCCTCCACCTCCCCATCGGGGTGTGCCGAGGTTGATGCGTAAACCTGTATGACCTTCAGCGAATACCGTTTGGTGATTCTGAGTATAAGGTACGCAACCCTCGTCGACACACTCCCGATCTTTACAACGTTGTTAACGAGAGACTTGTGGACGATAAATCCGACACCTCCTTGGGACAGATGGTCGCCCTCCCGGTGATAGAGCAAGTTGCCGGATTCGAGGATTACCGTGTCCTCCCCCTCTCTTCGGACTTCGGATAATCCTATAATATGCCAGCGCAACTTGTCTATCTCTTCTTCCAGCTCCACGATCTTCTCGTCAGTCCTCAGGGTGCGTGCGTTGTACGTTGCCAGGTCGAGTCGTCTAAGGTGGCAACCGAACCTCCACCGGAGATTCTTAGCACCCCCTGCCCCGCCGTTACCATGGTCGCCACCGTAGCCAGGAATAGAGGGGCCGCCGGGGACTGGGGGCCGTCTCTTTGTTACATTCATAGGGGGGTATTTGCCATAGTTGCCACGCTTGGCGAGCGGGTTGGCAACCGCAGCTTTTTTATTGTAATTTTGGCTATTATCAGGAAGATGCTGCTGCCCATCTCCTGCCTGTTTCCCTTTGTCGCCTTTTACGACACCCACGGGAGGATATGGGGTAGTGGTATTCTTGACCGCCACTACACGGTTGTAGTGGCGGTCAAGAATAAAGTAATAAAGTTTCAAAATCAGATGTTGACATTCGAGTAAAATAAAATACACAAGAGATCCGTCAGACATTCGGAGATCACTTAAAATATTAATTCTTCTTTCTTCTCGTTGTAGTAAGAAATTCCGCATCCAACACCTTTTCTTTCTATTATGTTTCACTCCCGAAATAAGTACTATGTACGCAGCACTAATCGCCACAACATCCTCGAGCAACATTTCTATAATCACTGACTAGTGCAGTCTGCAAAATGTTCCGTGACCTATGTCTCGGGATATTCCACGTAGTTGTTGAGCGACATGTTGTGCAACATGCCGCTCCTTTTGTCCCCAAGTATATCCAAGGTTTAACAGTAACAACCAGTTACGGCTTATACAAGCCTCACACGTTGCTATAATCTGACGTCATTTTTAATTTTCAATTATACAGTTACAATTTTAATTAGTAAAGTGTAGCAAAGCTACAGCCTATATACATCCCACTTCTGGGCACAGGCCACCTCTAGAGGTTAAAATTGTGAATTTTTTACCGTCAATTTTTAATTACAGCAGTTATACAGTTGCCGCACGAATGGGTCGAACGGGAATAGACTCACGCTCACATGGAATATCAATATAAAATAACAGAATAGCTGTATGTGTCGTGTTGCAAGTGATGAGAAATCGAGGCTTTCCATCTTAGTCCTCAGAGGTGATAAGGCATGTGCATTTTGATTTTTCATATATGGACGATATCAATCACTTCCCATCAAGTGGTCTGGGTGCTTGTCGTTACTCTCAATTTTACAAAAAAAGTGATTTGGAAGAGTTTCATCAACTGTATTTCACTGTCCTTCAATAGGAAGTATAAGTTTGAAATAACAATTCAATGAAACCGGTAAATAATAAGTCAATTTAAAAAGAAGTAAAAAGCTCTGAGAAGGTTTGTAGGTTTGTAAGGTTTGTTAGCCACTGTCAGCTACTGTTAGCTAGTGTCTGGCACACTGACCCGCGCCGCATGACGTAGCCGTAGAAGGAGTTGAGGATGCACTTGTGCGCGAGCTGCAGCGAGTCGTACAGCACCTCGCGGCTCTTGGCGCTCTTGATCTCGGCCGCGTCGCCCGTCGCCACGGCCGCCGCCACCATTGCTTTTGCCTGCTTGTTCAGCGCCTTGTACTCGTAACGACGGTCCCTGCGATGAAAAATAATAAAGATAAGAGAATGATTCGCCTCGTTTTAAACTTCTTGAAATAGTATATGTTCGGAAAGCTGGGAAAAACTTTGACGTTCGAGTTCTTAAGCGATAACCACTTAATATTTTTCTGTAATGTAAAAAAAATGTTATTGAATTAGATTCTTAATCGGCTACATTTTTAAGTTGATCCTAAATAGTGGATATAAAAAAAATAATGCACTAAATGCCTCACACTTACTTCGTGCTGGACAAATATGTATGCAGCGAAGAAGGGACCAAAGCTAAAAAAACTTTTGTTTTAGAATATCCTCGCCATTTATACTTAGAAAAGATTTTTTTTGGAAAAGCTAAAATCTTTTATCCCCCGAGAAATGATACAATCATATCATATAGATAGAGTAACGTTAAAAATGGCACCTAGTCGAGTGATCGCCAATCACTGACCAATATATATACAAGTGTCACTAGTGCAATCACCAAAGTGGCAATTATGGAAAATCCCCTAAGTAGGGTGAAGCCCATATCAAACGACAGATTGCTAAGGAGCACGTTATCACAAAGTAGTCATTGTTTCAGAAGAAGAAAAATTAATAAAAATAGAAATATACGCAACAACTTGTTAAGCTTTTTTTTTTTAATTCTAACCTGAAAGCACGTACTGTGTCGACATAGAAAGAGTTCTCCTTTTGGCATACAGTTGTAGTCCTGACTTCAGTCCTCGTTACTTTCGTTTTCTTGTACGCAACCTTACAATAATCCACTAAGCGCTTTTTTTCGTACGCCGCCTAAAAAAAATATGAATCAAGTAAATTTATCAAAAAAACAAAGGGCTTGACAATATTGATCTAACCAATATTAAAAATAAAATAAAGTAAAGCCTCCTTTCCTTGCCAAGAGTCATGGAGCAAAAGAAATTGTTTGTTTTGACAACACATAACAATTATTTTAATTGACTATAGTGGTGTTAAAATAACCAATTATTTTTTTCCAAATCGGGGAAAACACACTTTAATCAAAGCATTTCCACATTAACAACTTGAGGTGAACTTACAAAAACATATAACAATGTATTTTTACCTGATCTTCCTTAGATAGAGAGTGGAAAGCTCTAGGTGGACCACCAGGGTACAAAGGAGGAAACTTTTCTGTCTCCAATTGTTGCTGAATACGTTGGTACTCGCTTCTAGTTGCGGGCACTAAAATGAAAATTTAGTCATCGTAATCATCCAAGGAGGAATATATTTATGGCGATGTTTACTATAATATACTATTATAATATGCTGTGTCGAAAACAGGGAAACGATCGTAATAAAATTATATATTATAAATAAGTTTTGTCTTGTACAAATATTGCTTGCCACATTTTCTACCGACTTCAAAAAGGAGCCGGTACTCAATTCGACTGTATGTTTTTTTTTATGTGTGTTACCTCATAACTTTTTACTGTTTGAACTGATTTCGATCATTCTTTTTCTTTTTATTTGAAAGCTGGTGCTTCACACGTGATCCTACATAAATTTGATCAAGGTCTGACCAATACTTTTTGAGTTATTCTTAATAATTTATATTGAAGTCGGTTGCACAAAATTTTTAGTTTTAATTTTTTTAATTTTTAACGTTTAATTTTTGTTATTCTAACAGTACAGTAAGAAAGTAACTACAAGCCTGAGGATGTTTAAAGGCTGTTCTTTTTCATAGCCATCATCAGCTAATAATAAGTACACAGCTGGAAATGAGTCATTGCTCATTCACACTCTCATCACACTTAGGATATCGATTGACGATCCCACCTTTTACTCTGTTTTTCATCGTTAATGTAATTATCTTAAATCTGGCATATAAAAGGTAATTATATCATATTATCATATTTTATCTATGAGTTCATACAGACTTTATGCATTATTGTAGTTTACGACACACAAGACGGCGAATTTCAGCTGTTAGGTACTTCAATTTGCACAACTTTTATAAGATAGGGTAACAAACGAGCACACAGTCCACCTAATGGTAAGTGTTTGCTGTGACCCATAGACATCTACATCTATCCTCAATAAAGAATCAAAATGCAGATGCGTTGTCACCAGTGAGGACTAAGATGGAATACCTCTTTTCCAGTAAAAAGGGTCTCTGGTCCTTTACACTCACCATACAAAACATAGCAGCATTAAGCTGCTATTTTACGATGGTATTCTGTGAGAGCGTGGTCTTTCCCCGGTCGAGGCGACCCATTCGTGCTACAACTATACTACTAATATAGCTGCAGCATGGCTCTACGTACGTAACAAGTGAACTAAACGTTCACACTATTAAAATTATAATTTCTATTATTATATTAAAATTCATATTAATACCACTACGCTGTTAGACAACTACAACTGTCAATCAGAAATTAGAACAAAGGTTGATCAGTCTCATATTCCTGCAGTTCCATCTAAGGGGTGGAGCCATGTTAATAAAAGTGGGACTCACAGTATTCTCCGCGCCACATCCAGTCCATGTGGCGCTGGCAGGTGGCGCCGGGGCGGTTGAAGTCGCACACCGCACATATGCTGGCGTTCACCATCGCAGACGGCTGCAGCCTGCACATCATCACCACATTTTTTTATAGTATAAAGCCGCGTATCGATTATGCGCTCCAAGAGGTCGAACATTTGGCGCGCGTCCCAGCCGCGCGAAATGGATACCGCCTCGGAACGCGCGCCAAATTGTTCGTTGGAACGCTCAAACGTGGAGCGGGCCGTATCAAAGTAGTTACGTTATAGACGGTTGTTTTCATTATTCGTATGTTCGTTGCGTTCCGAGCTATGGTTGCCGTCAATTGATAAAATTATATGGTTCAAAAGTACTGCTGTGGTATAGCAAAAGCAGTTTTTATCATAATAAAGGGCTCAGAGAAGATGCATGGAACTATAAAAGCGGCAGCTGCTCGTACACGACCGACATCTATGTTGAACGGTCAAACACTAGAACAGCTGCCGCGCGCGCCAGTAGCGCGTAATCGATACGCGGCTTAAGGGTGACAAGCAAGCACACAATCCACCTGATGGTAAGTGAATGCTGTGGCACGTAGACATTTACATCCATCTTTGATTCAGCATTAACAAGTAGACGCATTGTTACCTCTGAGGACTAAGATGGAATGCCTCGTTACCAGTAAGAAGGGCAAACATTACACAGATATGTTTGCGCACTACTACTCATTCACATTAATGAGTATGGCGGTAGCAAAGCATAACACTGCAGTGCTGTAAGACTATTATCACGATGTTTAGGATAAACATAATTTTTTTTCATAAAAAGCGTGTTGTACTTAAAATTATATTATACAGTTAGAAAAACGTAATCAGCGCACATGATTAAACATGTGAAAAAGTTAGATAAAATTATTAATGATTACGAGGGTGACACTGAAAGTTCTTAGAAAATCAAAAACTGAACAAACTAGCAATTTATTAGTTTTATTATATCCTTTCAAAATAGTGTCCATTTACATCAATACATCGCTGCATCCGATGGAAGTACTGGGAAAAGCACTTTGCCCACTCGTCCTTAGGGGTCTCTTCGACGGCATTTTGAAACAATTTTCAATTTGGCGCCAAATCGTAAACAAATGACAAATTAATAAAATATATACACAATAATATTGGCAAAGTGTTCCATTTTCAAAATTTGAACTTATTTTTTTATTATATCGTTTACAAGTGGCCAGTGTCGCGCTCCTATCTAACCATGTAGTGTCGGTGTAAGAAAATCTACAAGCCAATAATGTTATAGTCCCATGGGTGTCATAAGAGGCCACAGAAGGAAACAGGATAGAAGATGGGCAGCAGCATCTTCCTGATAACAACTCAAAACTATAAGAAAAACGATGGTTGCCAATCCACCTGCCAAGCGTGGTAACTTTGGTAAAATATTCTCTTTGAGGCAATCTATGTTTAGCAGTGGACTTTTATAGGCTGGTAATGAGGGAATAAGCAACGGTATAATAAATACAATTTAAAAATAAAGTTCCGATGGGTTTCTTGCTATTTCTTTCCAGGACAACGTTTTCTTTCCGAACCAGTGGTAAAGTAAATGTTACGGCCCTCAGTTGCCCCGACAAAAGTCGACTGGGCTAGGGCCCATCAGTAGCTCACTCGACGAGCAACCAGAGGGTTCGGGCCCAACTGGCCTATGGATAATTATTATTTAATGGCTGATAAGCAAACACAAACTTACCGAGTTCCGGAAGTAGTGTCGACCACAAGGCGCAGTCAGGTGGTAAGTAAGGTGTATGTAAGTAGTGTGCGAAAGTGTGTAATGTAACCTGACGTCACCGATGTAATCGGCCAGCAAACCTACATGCGCTGCTCTGTTGCACAATGTTCAATCACTCCAATGGGCGTTCACCGTTATCTGAACTCAGGTCTAACGTCACTTAGCACAAAACTATAATCGAAGAGGAACGCGAACTCCTCTCGGGTCACAAAGTTTTAGCGTTCCACCCGACAAAGCAAAATGTCTTATTACGATATTAAAAATGCCACCCAAGCAACTCGTCGACGCAAATTAATGGCAATCGAAGTTAAATTAATCACTCAAAACTCAAGATAAGCCTCGTTATCACGTAAAACGCACGAAATAGACAACGCAAAGGAGGCGGTCTTAACGCGACCTAACGATTCTCACGTGACTTCCCGACATATATCGACACGGCCGTCGCGGACGATTGATTGTTCCAGGCTGTTTCGCCCACGCGTCAGGCGACCGAGCGGTCAGCCGAGAGACGCGCGCGGGAGAGGGGGCTGGCGGTGACCTTAAATTCCATCGTATGAACACGCCGAGACGCGCGTCTTGAATGCAAGTTTTAAAATGTTACGATTTGGCCTAAGCAGTAAAAATAATGACTTTCAATAAGAATTAAGTGTAATCTATATTGAGTAAAAACTATTCTATTCTATTCTAATGGACTTCGGCAAAGAAATGTGATTCTATTAATTAACACGCATTATCATAAGCTGCAATGACCTGGTGAAAACACTAGGCCATAGTCATGAAATTATTGTATTGTCGTCGGTTATAACATACATATGCAAAATTTCTGATTATTCATACATATTTATGTGAATGAAAACTGAATTATATAAATTTCATTTCATACATACATACAGGTCAAGGTAATATAAAACATGTAGTAAATACCTGTTAGTCAAAATAATATTTGGATACATAGCACCCACATCCAAATGGTATATCAATGGGTTCTCGTCTCTCCGGGGATGGTCTTTCATGTGCTGTAATTTTGATTTGATCTCGGCACAGACTTCATCGAAGTTTGTGACCAGTTCTAATGGGATGCCTTCTTCTACTTCTATAGCGTGCTTCATTGTCTTCTCCGTGGTCTCGATCAACTTGTCCACAGCTGACGGCTCTATACGGAACTTGCATTTGATGTCGGCTCGGAAAACACCTGCAATATAATGAAACTGATTCCCAAAGGGCACATACGTCCATACCCAAAGGGTAGCTAACGGGACCCTATTATTAAGCCTCCGCTGTCCGTCCATTCGTCCGTCCGTCCGTCAGTCTGGCCGTCCGTCAGCGGGCTGTATCTCATGATCTGTAATATGTAGACAGTTGAAATTTTCACAAAATGTGTATTTCTGCTATCCGCTATAACAAATAATAAAAATAAAAATATATTAAAGGGGCTCCCCTACTAGAAACGTGTTTTACGATGTACGGAACCTTTTTAACTTGAGTTATATAATATTATCTAAATTGACTTATCGCTATTATTTTTGATTTTGTATCATGTGAACTCCAATTACAACTAGAGCATGTTTAAGTAATTTAATAAAAAAGTAATAAAATGCGATGGATATTGCATGCCAAATGGCGGAAAATAGCTGTACTAAATGTTTGTTCTATAAGTGATAAACTACGTAAACACCAACTGTATGAACCTATATTCGCAATAAACGATTTGAGTTTGAATTTGGTACGGAATGAAAGCATGCGCAAGTCCGACTCGCACTTGGCCGGTTATCTTTAATTTGTTACCATTTTGATTTTTACCATATAGTAGATGATACATAGATATGTAAGAATGTATGCTGTGTTCCAGTGTGAAGGGGATAGAAGGTCAGTATAATTGCAGGCTGTGAAGCATTCTAACTTATTCCTTAGGGGTGACTACGTATCTGTAGCCTTATTTGTTTGAAGTTGGCTGCTCCTTGGGCTGGAGTAGCCACTTACCATCTGGTGGCACTGAGAGAAATTTTATATATTTACCCTGTGACAAGTCGGAAGTGAAGTAGCGGTGAAACTAATCAGGCCTCACGATGAAGCAATCTATGGGAAAGGCTTATGATCAGCAGTGGACTTTTATAGGCTGTAATGGATGGATGGATAGATAGAAAATTATAGTCCTAATTAAAAACCCATTTTGTTCATTGTCCTTAACTGAATTTCACGTAACATTACAAAGTTAGTCTGATTACAAATAAAAAACAATATTACCTGATTCAAGTGCTTCAACGTGTCCACCTACATAGGTCTCGGATTCGAGCACGTGTCCATCACTAGTGAGCTTGTTGAGTTCTTCAACCTGCTTGTTGGGAAATACGATGTTCGCGTGAAACGCCTCCACCATCAGTAATGACTCGCATAGAGTTCCTGAGCCTTTGCGGAGCACCTGTAAGAAATACTCTACTCAATAATATTATAAAGGAAATGTATTTGGTACCTACATATTTGCATAACGATTTCATATATTTATACGAATACTACACACCGAATAAAACTAATTTTACGGCGTTTATTTTCTTTAATTTTACTTATTTTTAATTATCGACGTTTCGGGTGCTTCGTAGCAAGCTCACAACTGTTTGTGTTACAGTTGTATGCTCGTCATCTTTACGTTTACCTATACATATTTACCGTGTTTAGTCCCGACGTTTTAGGTGCTTTTCAGCACCCATAGTTATGGGTTGGGTTGACTAAGGTCTTTTACGTCCCAATGTCACAGTTAATCAGGGCTACCTTCAGATTCCGAATATTAATTTTTGATCATAGTAAGTCCTAATAATATAACTTTTTCGTTTATAAATTCGTTTATAAAATCGAAAGACTGAAGTTCTCTTTAATGCTAGGTTTACAAGTAATTAGGCATCTATTGTCTTATTGTGTTGTTAGATTTGTATTGTATATCGGATAAGTCCATTAAAATTTACCTCATCTGGCTCCAAAGGAATGATAGTACAGAGCGCGAAGATAAACGGGTGCACATATTTCATATACAAATAATAAGTCGCCACTGCATCTGACACTGAGTAGTTGGACAGTACCTGGAATTTAAATATTATTTTAAATGATTCTTGTTGGTATAACCACTGTGAAATATGTATTAATATATAAAACTTTCATATTTAGCAAGATATCACAAAAGGTTTTGCACCAAACGACGATAGTATTAGTAACATTAAGGTGATAATCCAACTTTATTTCTTGTTCAATGAGAACATTTAAAAGTGAATAGAAAGAAATTTTTATTAATTCTTTAAATTAATTTATAACCCAACAGTATTAATAATAATTTATACATACATATTTATATAAATAAAATTGAAGTGTCTGTCTACTACGGGCTACTATTAAGCTCAGTGATTATATGAATGGTATTAAGACATATGCAACCATTTTAGAATTTTTGTCTGTCTATCTGGAATAATCTTTGAAGTGGCTGTACTTATTGTGATGAAACTTTACACACACATAGAGAGCAATATACAGGAGGAATCTAGGCTATGTTTCAACCAAAAACTTGAAGGTTTTTTAAAAAAAAAAGTGTATCTACATAACTCCTCCTCCTCTTGCTCCCCCTCCCCTCCGGTCGTCGTAAGAAGCTAACGAAATAAAACGGTAGACGGTCCCATGTCCAGCAGTGGACTTTAACGAACTTATGATGAAGGAGAATCAATTTGTTAAGTAACGTGATACCTGCGGTTGTTCCGCCGCCATTCTGCACATGTCCTCAGGGTCTAACTCCACAGGGTCGTAGCGTAACTTCGCCTTTGCAACAGCCTTCAAGCCCTGGGAGCCAACCGGTAAATACGAATCTCTCTTTACCCAACTGAAAATTACATTCAAACTAAATTACCTCACATAAATACACATGGTGTAAGCACTTTACGAGGTAGAACTATGCTGCAGGAGCACAGCAGCATGACGCTGCTGTGTTCCGTTCCTTCGCGCAGCGACGCGCGTCGATGCTCGTAAGCCGCTTACTTTTCGCCAGGCATTTTTCCTACAATTTTTATCACTATAGGTGAAAGGCGAAAGCCTTGACGTTAAGCAGACATTGATATTTCTGTACTAAATAAATTAATTTTTCATCTTCGTCCATTGTCGTCGTAGTTCAGCACTGTCGTCCGTCCGCCATACAATAAATTATATAGCCTATATATCTCACACTCTTGGGTGCTGCTCTTCTCTCATTTCTGTAAGGATTTTAGAGCAAGTAAGTGTCCACCGCGCTGCCCCAATGCGTGGTCACGGACTTCACATGTCTTTGATTTTTTTTAATTTCTCGACATGTAGGTTTCCGCACGTTTTCCTTCACCGCCGAGCAAATAGTAAATCAGCATTTCAAATAGCAATTAACAAGTTCATTTGTGACGGCGGGGATCGAGCCAAGGTTGATCGCGTACTGTGAAATTTACAGCGAGCAATTTGCCCCTGCTGCCAAGATGGCCTCCAATAAGTGCCACCACGGCTCTTATTGAAGGCCATCAATTTTCTAATCATCCCATAAGAAAGAATAGAAAAGGATATGAAGTTTGAATCACATCGGAGTTACCAGTGTGGCCATTGGTGGGGGATTTCCCGCCTGGCATCATAGTGCCTACTTACACAAAAACTCTCCAAACTCTCCTTTGCCGTTAAAAAGTTTGGAGTTAAAAAATTAAATTATAGGCGATAAAATCCGTAAAAATTAGTTTCATTTAATGTGTAGTCTTCGCATAAATATAAGAAATTATTAATATATGTGACTGTAATGAAATGTACTGACCACAAACAATCCATATGCATGGCTGGACGACAGGCATATGTGCCGTCTCTAGCCGCTACCTTGCTAAATCCGATCTCTTGTTTCATATCCAGCCCCAACGTGGCCGCACGCCCTTCCACAAATGGCCAGTCGAAAAAGTCACCTTTATATAAAACAAAACATACAAATTAACTTAAAATATAATGATGGTACCTACACAATTTTTATGGTAATACATAATAGACTCATTAAATAATAAATATAATCATTCAATTAAGGAAGACCACCGAATTTAGCCTGAGAGGGGGTGAGAGAAAAAGCGCACTAATGAAAAAAAAAACCTTAGAGGCAAGAAGGAATATAGCCTAGACAGCAAGTGACTGCAGGACCAGTGCCATCTGATTTTCTGAACCATCACTTATGGGACAGTCTGACGCTTGGTAAGTTTGAAGATGAGAGTAATGATAAACAGCAGGAATGATGATTTAACTTATCTGCAAATATTTCAAATAAAACACATGAGATGTCATAAAGTGTAAAGTCTGTGTAAAGGAAGATGCAAGTTTACCCTTTACATCTCATGTATTTCGTAACTAAGCATTCCCCTCAGATTGCTTTAAGTCACTGAAAGCTTGCATGCTTTCTGCGATGTGATGTCATGATCTATCTAAAATTATCAGTTGGATTATGAGTTTTATTTATATTTGACGTATTTCAATTAAAATAGTTCGTCAGTACGTAGATATCTCTTTTTTTTGTTCTTTTAAAAAAACGTTACCCCCACACTAGGATTTTCTCCTGTGTCGTGGAGGCAGTTTACAAACATAAATTGCACAAGGACAAACATCCAGACCAGACCCGGAACAATTATTTGTAGGCCATACAAATACTTGTTCCGTGCGGGATTCGAACCCGCGGCCCCCAGCGCAACAACTGATTGCTAATCCACTGCGCCACGGAGCCGTCCTTGAATTTTGGACTCTATTTTAACAATGCTCCCATCATCTTAAAGAATTCAAATTAAATGCATATTAATCAGCTTAAAGTGTATTTCAATCCACCACAAGGTAGTGCTTATCATCCTTCAGACCATTCCCTATACTATAGGAATCCCATAAGTCTCATTTTGAGAAACAATATAACATTATTTTTAAAATATAAAACTAAAGTAAAATACAAACTTGATAGTAAGTGGTAATGTAGTCACAGAAAACCTGCAACCAACGTTAAATAAAGAAGACTACAAATGCGTTATCGACGTTAATCTTAAGATGGAATGCCTCACAGACTAATAGCATAATAGTGAGTACTGTACCGTTGTATGTAACAAATATGTGCGGCTTTACATCCATAATATGATCAAAAAACTTCTGTATCAAAGCCAGTTCATTTGCCTCATTGAAAATTATGAATTGCCTGCAAAATATAAATAATAACTGTATTTGCACTGAGGGAATAATTAACTCCAGATTTTTAGTAGAGATGTTACGGAGGTTCGATTCAGATTCCGAAAGTTCGGAACTTCCGATTGATTTTGCACTTTCGATTCCGATTTCGGTTCCGTTAAATTTTAATCGGAAGTTATATATCGGAGGTCGCTGCACAGTGGTGGCGGCGGCCGCGATCAGCGTGTACAAACAATTTTATATTTGTCGCCCCGCGAACCTCCCTCCCCCCGTGCCTTCTGTCGATTACTCTTTAACTTGATGTTTTGTTTCGTATTTGGCAATTGGCATGTTGTGCATTCGCGCTTCATTAATACTTATCCGAGTTTTTGATTAGTTTTAATAGTGTTTTATTTGACATGTAACAAATTTATTTGAATTGGACAATAAAGCCAAAATCAAGTGCCATTTGGAATTATTTCAATGAAGTTTATGATAATACGGCAAAGTGTAAACTATATTAGAAGATATATACACGAAATACCTCCCTTTAAGAAAATTTGCTTCGTTAAAAAGTCATTTGAAGTCTGTGCACGCCCCTGAATTTGAAGAATTGAAAAAATTTGAAACTGAAAAGAAAAATACAGTGCAATAGACCTACCCTTAACACATCTTTTTTGCCTCCACCTCGGATTCCAGTTCCGATTTCGGTTCCGGTTCCGACAAACAAAATTTAAAAACTCCGCTTCCGAATTCGGTTCCGATATAACCACTTCCGTAACATCCCTAATTTTTAGATACCAAATATACTCACCCTTCAAACTCTGGTTTAGGGGTGTATTCAAAATCCTCGACATCTGTAGATATTATTTCTCTATTTGTGATCAAATATCCTTGCCCATCAATCATGTACGAAATCATCATAATTTGGTCAGTCTGTACGTCGGGGAATTTAAGTGGAAGTTTAGTTGTCTCTATATCAAAAGCTAAGACAATAGGATCTGGTCTTTCAAGTATATCATCTCTTTTTGTGAATATGGGAATTTCAGTACCGCGACTCTTCACAGTGTACCAGGTACCACAAAATATCTTCAAGTCTATTGATACTCTTACATGATATGGTACATCATGTTCTCTATAAAATATTTAAAAAAAATTACAATAGTACAGATTATACAATACTTATAAGCATTAAATTTTGCAATAAAAAAGCTTTTGGTTTTTTTTAAATTAAAAAGTTTATAGATATAAATTCTCTGGCCCACTAAACACAGCAGCCACTGCTAAGTGGCTTAGCGAGACGGCACATAAGACTTATATTCATGGACTACACTCAGCACAATGAGTGAGGCAACATGCGATTTTTTTGTTTCCTATGGAAAATGTTGTCAGTGTGATATATTTTTTTTTTACAAAATCAAGTACTGTTCAAGGCAAGCCCAGGTCTCACCCTCACTATTAGTTATACCGAAACTTAATGCTGTGAAGTCAAAATAAGCCCAATTATTACACAGTAATTCAAAAATTCCGTTAAGGCTACAGAGTGTGCCAAAGAAATAGACGTACACACTTTACATATTAGAAAACATTACCCTAGGGAAATTGGATAAAAACATAATAAAAAGTAAGTTTTACGTGTTAGAGCCATTCTGCAGCTATATTAGTAATAGGTATAGTTGTAGCACGAATGGGTCGGCTTGACCGGGGAAGGACCACGCTCTCACAGAATACCAACGTAAAATAGCAACTTAACGCTAATGAGTTTCGTATGGTGAGTGTAGAGAACCGGAGACCCTTTTTACTAAAAACGAGGCATTACATCTTAGTCCTCACGGGTGACAACGCATCTGCATTTTGATTCGTAATCGAGGATAGATGTAGATGTCCATGGGCCACAGCAATCATTTACCATCAGGTGGACTGTGTGCTCTTTTGTCACCCTTATCCTATAAAAAAGAAAAAAAAGTCGAAATGTTGAAATAACAAACAAACAGTTCACCTGATGATAAGTGTCTATTGCATGCTATGCATGGACACTGGTAAGTAATAACCAGATTCAAGCAATGGATGCAGATTCATTGTCACCTCTGAGGACTAAGAAGGAATGCTCCACAGCTTGTAATTATGAGGTGGTAACTACCAAGACATACACTTAGGCAGACAAGGAGTCCTACCATCTAAAGAAACATTAATAACAAGAGCTGTACATAGATATACAAACTTACAAAAAATGTACTCCACAAAATAATAATTACATACCTGATATCAATTATGTTTTCCATGTGATCAGTTGTTTTCTTGGCGTGTTCTAAAGCTGCAGCACTGGTGAGTGCATTAGTCAACATTTCAGAGTATATGGCATCTTTCTTTTCTCGCTCCTTGTTTTTATTTACGGCGGTCAAGATCTCTTTTCTCACTTTCATCATTTCATTTTGTGACATGAATGATAGTTTTATGTAACGCTGCTTCAGTCCCGACAGATGATTAAGCTACAAATGTAAACCTTGCTTATTTAAATATCATTTTGCAGTATCCTATCTGATAAAAATGAAATTAAGCTATAGTTACCGATTTTATGGGTGTTAAAATGACTAAGACCCATAAAATCAAACAAAATAGTAAAAATCTTTGTAATAAATGATAAAAACACTACACTACTACACACACTGACTACTTTAAATACATAACCTTTATTTGTTTTAACAAAAAAAATTCTTAACCTTAGCAATAAAAAATATAACAAATAAATCCATTAAATAAAACTGACTTAAATCCTGATCTTGGCATAGGCTGAACTGGAAACTTCATCAAGCTTTTATATTTATTATTACAGGTAAGGCTCTAAGAATGCTTTGATTTGTTACATAAATTTCCCCAACATATATTATAACATATTGTATACATATTTCTTTGAAAATAATTGACACAAACACTCACTCTGTCATCCAGAGGAGTAGGCAGAGACTACGGACTTCCATTTGGCACAATCCTGACACACCTCTCTCGCCTCCTTTACATCCATATATCTACGCATACACGCTCGTCGGGTAAGGGTACTCCTAATCTGGCCCATTTTTAATGTATCGCCAATTTGGTCTATAAAGCTTCGTCTAGGGCGTCCCTTCCCGACTCTGCCGTTCACTTCTGCAACATAAGTTTGCTTTGTCACTCCTTCCTCGTTCATTCTTTCTACATGACCAGACAGTTCCAGAAAGTTCTTGTGGCTTTAGATAGATGGCGACTCACCATACATAGTACATAGTAGTACGTAGGTTACGCTAGACATAACATATCTAGACCGGCGACGGGCAGTATTACCAAATGTGTGACACTTCTGGTCTGTCTGGTCTGTGATCGTCAATCCATCGTCAAATACAAGTCCTACTTGCAATGGGAGAGCTTCATGTCCTGCAGTGGGTTTTAACGGGCCGATGACAAAGAGAATAACTTTAAATTAAACATATTATGCAGCTATATGCTAAGTTAAGCAATTGCTTCTTTAGCTCTTGTATAATTTGTAACAAACTAAGTCTTGGTGAATGACTGCAGTATGTAATGAAGACACTTTCGTTGGGCTATTTTGGTTACTTTGGTTCTATTGCTGATATTTTATTTAAGATCTGTGCCCTAAGTAAACATTCTCATCAACAACTTTGGGGGTAATATTCTCAACAACTACCAGCGACATTGAAATTATGCATGATCTTTGTCTTATCCATGTTAATCCAGATCAATCTCTTGTGAGACACTATTAAGGTCATTAAGCATATGGTTAGGGTCCTGTAGCAACTACTATATCGTCGGCATATAAGGTGAGTAATATACTTGCTACTGATGTTGATACTGTATCTTTTAAGAGTTGAGTAGCCTGAAAATATTTTGAAATGCCGAGGTGAATTGTTTCGGGGATATAACGTCACCCCGTCTTACACCTCGCCAGGGCTGCCGGGGCATCGCACTTTCAAGGAGGCACAGGAATTTCGTCATCATTATCATTGATATAATTTGCATCTATGTTTTTCATAACATAAAAGCAATATCTATTGATTTACGTAATATATCGAAAATAAATGCAAAGGTTAGAAGGTGCAATCCAATAAAGGTTCTCTTGATGGGTAATCCTTGATATGAAATTTGAATGAAATGACAATTAAATAATTTAGAGCAGGTGAAGTTTCCCGCTAGCCTTACCTAGGGTTACTTTTACGTGCAAGGGAAGCCCTGAGTCCTACCGTGACACTTCGAAACTAACTCTTACGGTTTTTAATACTTTTAACTAACAGTTTTAATTAACTTTATCTTATTTTTAAATCCCGTCATTTGGTCATCATGGTCATAGAGGGATGTAAGCCAACGAGAACTTAGGGAATTAAAAATAAGTCAAAATTTAATGATTTCATAAAATCCATAAAGTTACTTTTATTTTACATTTGAATGCAGTTGAAGCTTTGTGGAACAGCAACAGTAATAAGCGCTTGCAAGATGCAGAGTGTTTTGTGTGCTGAACCTTTTTTGGTGAGGCTAGTTTTACCTATGCTGATTTATTTTTTAACTACTAACACATTTGTATACTTTAAACTCTATAAGTACTTACACCAATCACTGACTATCGAAAAAATAATAAACCAATCAGGATGAAGGATTAACCACCACTTTGAACTTCGCTTTATACCCTCAACCAGACCTATAAACATTTACTGCACATGATAGCGAATGTACTAAAAAGTTTAAAATAAAAATCAATATTAATTACCAAATCCAAATCTTCTTTCTCAACTATGTCTATCTTGTGTATAGTTCCTGTATACTTTTTGGTTAAATATTGAATTACTTCTTGTTCACACTCTTTTCTGGATAAGATAAGGAAATAAGGTTGAAACATAAGGGACACCTTAAACCTAGAGCCATCCATTTCAATAAAATAATAGTCCATAGCAGCAACCAGCCTTTTATCCTCATCCAATATTTCAGCCTGCAAAAATCATTACCTTCTTAATCAGAACTACTGTGTAAATTATAAACTTAAAATTATGATAATAATTATTTTACCATCACTGATGTTAAATAAAGGAAAAAATAAAGCATTTAATTAAAGATTTAAAATAGGTAAATAAGGCAAGGAATTTAAATGCCAAATTTATTTATTTTTTATAGGATTGGGTGCCAATAGAGCACACAGTCTACCTGATGGTAAGTGGTTGCTGTGGCCCATAGACATCTACATCTATCCTCAATAAAAAATCTAAATGCAGATGTGTTGTCACCCGTGAGGACTGCCTCTTTTCCAGTAAAAAGGGGTCTCCGTATCTCTACACTCACTATACAAAACACAGCAGTATTAAGCTGCTATTTTATGCTGGTATTCTGCGAGAGTGTAGTCCTTCCCCTGTCGAGCCTACGCATTTGTGCTACAACTATGCTACTTATATAATATATATATATATAGCTATGAGAAGAACAAATGTATTCATACAGAACTAGTAATTTAAAAACATTTATGGTTTAATGTATATATGCTTTATGCTTGGCAAACAACCAGTTTAAAAATTTTATGAAACAGATACTGTATAAAGAGTTATTTTAATGTTGAATCCATAAATGAACATAGCTCCTGGTGATCAGAAATTGTACAGAATTATTATAAAATTATATGTCTAAAACAATATTCCCTCTGGGTTTCTTGTTGTTTTTTCTCAGGACAATAGTATTTTCCAAACCAGTCGTAAATAAAAAAATCTTTGAATAAGTGTTATGTAATAATCTATATTGAATGAAAGTATCCTATTGTTCTATGTTATTCCAATATTTTTACCACAAGAAATATTTAATGATGCCACAATACTTTTTAGATGTCACTAAGATCAAAAGATAGCAATCAGTCATGTTTTTGAGCCAATTTCTCAACTCTTAAGCACTTGAAATACAAGATATATGAGGAATTAACTCTGAACTTTTTCTTACTTGTATATACTTCATATGTTGAGTAGACTTACACTTTTGCATCAGATAGAAAATACTTTGCAATATGTTTACTATATTTCAGATGTTTATTTAGAATAACATTGAAAAGACTAAAAATTACCTTATACATTACTTTTTAGAGAATTTTGCTGTTCTTTTGTACCCTCTTGTTAATATAATTGTTTACTATATACTGTTAGGTGTATCTAAAGTAACTTTTGAATAAGACCAATATTTAAATATGTGAATGCATTTACAAATAAACTCAACAACTGGTTACAAACTCAAAGAACAGTACTTAAAAATTGAAGTATCACAGTAAAGACTGTCCAATTCTAACAATGAATGTTATGTCAGCAAAAGCTGCTCAACTATAACCATATGAATTAATAAATATACAGTAACAATTTTCCTGCTTTGTTCCACATGCCAACTCCAACAAAGTTCCTATTAAACACCTTTTATTAAGATGTTATTTATTAAGTTTGATTCAGTAGTTAATAATTTTAATACATTTGTATGTTCATATTTTGAAAAGATTTATTACAATAACAAAAAACCTGTTCGTTTTCATCTTGTCATCATTTTTCTTACTGTCACTACATATGCCTATTGAACTCATGCATCTATAAATGATTACACTTTTCAAATCAACCTTATTGTTGAGATTTAACATAACATAAACATACATAAACATAAACACTCACGCCTGTCACCCAGAGGGGTAGGCAGAGATTATGGACTTCCATTTGGCACGATCCTGACACACCTCTCTCGCTTCCTCCACATCCATATACCTATGCATACACGCTCATCGGTTAAAGGTACTCTTGATTTGGCCCATTTTTAATATATCGCCAATTTGGTCTGCTGATTATTTAGTATTTTTATTTAGTATTATTTAGTATTATTATTAAGTTATATTGTCTAACTTTTATAATTTTCTACCGACTTCAAAAAGGAAATGGTACTCAATTTGACTTTGATCTTTGTTTTTAATGTGTGTTACCTCATAACTGTCTTCTGGGTGAATTTCAATGTTTCTTTTTTTATTTGAAAGCTAGTGCGCTCGTGTGGTCTCATTTAAATTTGATCAAGGTCTGACCAACAGTTTTTGAGTTATTCTTAACAATTTATATTGAAGTTGGTTGTAAAAATTGTTTAATTTAAAATTATGTTTTCTTCATTTCCCTAAACATGCAAATATTATAATTTTTAAAATAATTTATCAGGCTCATACTATAGCATTTTACATACCAACCCTTCTGCCAAGCATGACAACTATGTCAAAATCTGTCCTATGATCCTACCTATGGGGGTTGCCTATGTTGTATCAATGGACTTTTATAAGCAGTAATGGATGGATGGATGGATGTATTTTTGTAATAATTTAGAGTACAAATAATGAAAATATGGTATAATAAATATAGTACATATGGTTGGCAACCAGTTTCTCTAGTTTTATGTGGTAGGAGCCATACTACATGTACATATTACGGTTGCAATACAAATCGGTTGGCTCAACCGGGGAAGGACAACACTCACACAGAATACCAGTATAAAATAGAAACTTTATGCTACTGTGTCTTGTATGGTGAGTGTAGAGAACGAGAGATATTTTGTACTAAAAATGAGGCATTCCAAACTTAGTCCCTAAGGGTCATAATACATCAGCATTTTATTATTAATCAAGGATAGATTTAAATATCTATGGACCACAGCATCTACTCAACATCAGGTGAACTGCGTGCTTGTTAGTTGCCCTTATTATATAAGAAAAATAGCGAATGAAAAGAAAAACACAACAAGTTAAGATACTTATGGGTTGTATCACTACTCCAAACATGTGGTACTGTCGGAGTGTAAACAAATATTGGCATATCATTATTTCAATTAGAATAATAAAAGTTTTACTTACAGTATGCATATTGATAAGGTAACCTGTTCTTTCTTTTGTATCACGTACTCTTTCAAATCCATATTTAGAATCAATTCTATCATTCTCTACTGCTATACGTATTCGAGATTCTGAAGATTCTTCTCTGAAAACAAAAAGACCTCGTAAAATAACTACAACTCATACCGTCCAAGTTCAAGAAAGGTTTATAAAATACCTAGAAGCCGAAGATGACCCATGGTCTTTTTTATTTTCAATTCTGTCTGCTCTGAACTTTCCAGTATTTTGTAGAACCATAGTAAGATAGAATAATTAAAATAAATACGTGAAAATACAAATTAGAAATCCCATCAAAACAAATACAAAATTGACGGACAATTTTGACATTTATAGAACGAACGTCTGACCTGACTTTTTGATAATCAAAATTTTTGGCTTGAATGTTTGGTTTTTAAGCCATATCTTCATTTTATCTCAGTATCAAGCGATAATAATCCTTTTTAATACACTGCGATAAAAGTTTAGGATCATTTGGTAGGAGGGGGAAGGGATAGAAGGGGGTGGAGAGAGGGGAGTGTCCTCTACATCCCGATACCATTCCCATGAAAAGGTAATATTCCGTTCCTGATAAAAATTCAAAAGAAAATTCTATAGACATAACCTCAAAATTATAACGTTTATCTCTCTCCGGCTTGAGGAGGAAGGGGGAGGGGGAGCAGAGGTGTCACCTATCACAGCTATAATTATTTTATTGCTGAGCGTTAAAAGTAAATAATTATGGCTGTAGCAGGAGTTGCACAGCGCTTCGCTGCCACCACAGTCTTCTAACCTAACTCAACTGAAAGGATTTCTGGGTATAAAGTATGGAGTATTAAACACAATTCTTTATAGGAGCATAGACCACCGAAGAACGCGGTGGATTATCCCTAAGGCAAATTCATTTTTTTTTCATAAATACTTAGGAAAGGGTATAGCGTGGGTTACAATCAGTACTAAATGTTGTCTTTCTTCTTGGCATACTCTTAATCAAGTAATCAATAAAATCTTGAGAGATAGCGTTTTATTCTTCGTATAATGCGTTTTTAAGATCTCTCAAATTAGTTAAGATTTATTTTCTTAATTTGTCTTTCAAGCTTATCCCATACATGTTCTATGAGGTTTAAGTAGGGCGAGCGCGTCGGCCACCCCATAGCATTGATTTTAAAGTCTCTAAGATATTCTGCAGTTACGGCTGCAGTATGGGGGCGTGCATTATTATGCATAAAACAACTCTATCTGCTATAAGTGGTAAAATTAAAAATTTTGTACAACCGACTTCAATGTAAATATAATTTATTGTTGATTTTTTAAGCCACCAATTTCGATAAAATTTAAATGGGATCACTTGGCAAGTATGCCCCTTGGAATAAGAAAGAATTTTCAAAATCGGTTCAGGCATCTTCGAGTAATCGGTGTACATACATAAAAAAAGATCCCAACGAATTGTAAGCCTCTCCTCCTTTTTGAAGTCGATAAAAGATGCAAAGGGCACTACAATTTCTTCTAAAATCTTAGTTACGTATTGTGCCGCTGTTAGTGACCCATTCTTAAAGACTTACGAAGAAGAATTACGTACGTGCCCCCATACGAGTACCTCTCCATACAATAACTAACCCTCCTCCATATGCCTCTTTTCAAATGATGTTGTTCTGAGCGTACCTCTCTCCCAAGTGTTTTCACGCTTTAATCCTTCCATCATCGAAGATCAGATTCAGGCAAAATATGGACTTAGTAAATAGAACTTAACTCCAAGCGTCATTATTCGAATTTTTGTGAATGCGAGCAAAATAAATTCAAGCTACTCGATGGCATGTAGTAAGTACAGGCCTCTGGCAAGTGAGTGTGAATTTATCCCGAACGAAGAAAAAACTAAATTTTTTCTTACCGTTTTTGTGCTTACTGTAACCCTTCGCTCAAACTTCTTGCAACTTCGTTCTTAACTCAAAAGAAGTAAAGTTCCCGTTTACGACGCTAATACGGATGAACCGGTCATCATTAGCCACAGTTTTCCGTTTACTGTGTAATCGTGTAAAAGTGTAGTCGTATCTTTATTATTTTGCAACTACGCAACTACTTATGTTACTATTAAACTACATTACAAATTATAATATACACTCATGAACAAATTTAGACGAACGCAAAAAAGCAGTTGTGTATCGCTAGCAACGCAAAGTCGGGAATTTACATTTGGAAAAATCCAAAATTAGGGGCTTTTTAGGTGCTAATTACGTGCCAAGTTTAAAAATTAGGTGCTTTAAAATTTTCACCGCAACGAACTGTTGAAATTTGCGTTGCTAGCAAAACGTCTCGCTAGCAACGCAATGAAGTTATCAAATATACGATAAATATTAATAGCAAGGAATTAAGTGCTAATTAGGTGCTGCAAGTATACGAAATAACAAGGAGCCCCAGATAAAAATAAAGTCGTTATTCAGAACATAGCAGATGCAAAATTCAGATTTCCTGAAAATCAAAATAGAATCAAAATTGCTTTTAGGAAAAGCCCAAATTAGGGGCTTATTAGGTGCTAATTAAGTACCAAGTTTAGAAATTAGGTGCTCTAAAATTTTCACCGCAACGATCGATTGAAATTTGCGTTGCTAGCAAAACGCCTCGCTAGCAACGCAATGAAGTTATTAAATATACGATAAATATTAATAGCAAGGAATTAAGTGCTAATTAGGTGCTGCAAGTATACGAAATAACAAGGAGCCCCAGATAAAATAAAGTCGTTATTCAGAACATAGCAGACGCAAAATTCAGATTTCCTGAAAATCAAAATAGAATCTAAATTGCTTTTAGGAAAAGCCCAAATTAGGGGCTTTTTAGATGCTAATTAAGTACCAAGTTTAGAAATTAGGTGCTCTACTAAATTTTCACCGCAACGATCGATTGAAATTTGCGTTGCGGGCAAAACGTATCGCTAGCAACGCAATTGACGTTACCAGATATACGATAAATATTAATAGCAAGGAATTATAAGTGCTAATTAAGTGCTGAGCGATTATCGAAACCCGATACAGATTAAGATATTATTCTGGGAATTATGGGGTCCACGACCATCATTACCTTACCATTATGTATGAACGGTATTTTTTGTTCTTTATCAGTGCCTAAAAATTAAGTGCTAATTAGGTGCTGAAAGATTATTGAGGTCGCATGTAGATGACGGTAATATTCTGGAAATTATCGGATTTAAAACCACCATTACTTTACAAAAAGGTATGAACGACATTTTTTGTTTTTCAGATTTAATATGATTATACTTATTTGAAAATGGTTGAAAATTGGTTGAAAATTATATTATATAATATTATAGATTTATAATATTATTTAATATAATTATCAACCAAATAAATGTTACAATTATTATTTTTAGACATGTGAAGGCTAAACTTTAATGTTTAGTACATATCGAAAGGATATTTCCTTCCAGTAATTTGCTTTGTAATAAATATCGCCATATACAAAGTTCTATAGTTCTAGTCATTTTATCGAATCAAAATCGATGGACTCTCAATGTGGTAAGTACGATAGACGCTAGATGGCACAAACACAAAGACCTGATTTTTGCATTTGCTTTGCCGAATAATTTTCTGAATAACGACTTTATTTTTATCTGGGGTGCCTTGTCATTGCGTATACTTGCAGCACCTAATTAGCACTTCATTCCTTGCTATTAATATTTATCGTATATCTAATAACTTCATTGCGTTGCTAGCGAGACGTTTTGCTAGCAACGCAAATTTCAACAATTCGTTGCGGTGAAAATTTTGGAGCACCTAATTTTTAAACTTGGCACCTAATTAGCATCTAAAAAGCCCCTAATTTTGGATTTTTCCAAATGCAAATTCCCGACTTTGCGTTGCTAGCGATACACAACTCACAAAAGCGTATATGGAAAAAAATATCATGGATATTTGTGCCAATAAATTTATTAATTTGGATTTGCTTATTATTTATTAATTTTATTATTGCAAAAGTCGAAAAAGCAAACGATCAAATAAAAAAGTTAATCAAATTAAGAAAAAACGAAAAATTTCACATGAAAGGTATTTTTGTACTTAACATTTTATTCATTTTTTCCCATAAATCTCGAATACTGTACGGTTTGCCGATACCTCTTAACAATTCGGCATGGAAATACATGTACTTCGTACAAACTCCGTGTACCACAGATTTCGATAGTCGTAATGTTTAGGTCACATGTTTGTAGGTGTGCCCAGTTTCATTTAAATAACAGCCAGCAGCATTCTCAGTTTATTGCAGTAACAATTCACACTTCAATTCAATTCAATTCACAAACAGGCTGTCAAGGCAAAACTTTAAACAAAACCTAAACCTAAACAAACTCAAAATCAAAAGTTGGCAAAATTTTTGCAGTATGAAAGAATGCAATATTACGCAATAATTACATAAACACAAATTAAATTCGAAAAAAAACCTAAAAATGTTTTTAATTGATTTTACTAATTTTTGTGGTCAGTCCTCACGGTAAATACAACGGGAGAAATTAAACCTTTTTTGTTCGTTCCTTGTTTGTCCATGAGTGTGGTTTATTTGCAAAATGACAAATTATGTTATAATTTACAATAGATGACCACTAGAAGGGCGCCGATGAGGTGCTAGCCTAGGGCTGTCGACATTTAATCCTTCTCTGACCGAAGGATGAGAATACTATAAAAGTATACAAATGTGACACTAGTCTTTGACATGTTCTTTCATCCTTGTCGCACTACACAAAATTATGTATGCTATCCAGCTTTCACATTAATATTGCATTTGTTTTTCATTGTTTTACCCATTTTAGTTTTTTTTTCTCGAAAATAGTGCATGCACATTTGGAGCACTCGTTTCACCGTTTCCACTATAGTATACATGACATTTAATACACAAAATCGCACTATCAAAATCCACTTCAAACCATTATTTAAACAAAAATACGTGAGCAGCAATCCGCCGCCGGTGCAAATTCCCGCCAAAACCCCCTGAGAGCTGTCATCTGAATCTGACAGTAATAGATGAGTATCGATACCTGAATAGTATCGATACTTACGTTTCGATGCCAAGTATTTGAGTACTTGCCACTTATAATCACGATACTTAGTAGGTATCAATACTTTTTGAAATACTCGATACTTTTAAGTCAGTAAATTAAAAAAACATTCAATAACGTTTTATTCAAAACCGGTTATGATTAGGAACCGTAAATCTTATTTATATCACATCACTAGTATTTTGCGATAAGGATAGAAGAA